TAAGTTTCACTCGACGAGTCTTGGACTGCATTCGTGCGCCGATGGAATACCGAGTCATCGTTTGCCAATCTCGTGCCGATGAGTGAGGCACGACGACAGCGTTATGGCCTCGCAGAGACTCGGAAGATTGTCTGCGAGTTGTCGTGGACTGCTGACTGCCCTGCTTGTACTATACAATTGCGTGAAGGCTGTCGAAGTTGCAAAGAAAATGGCGTAGCGCGGCCTGACCGCGCTCAATGGATGATGGTGCTACAGAATTACCCGTTGAGTGATAAGTAAAACACATGGATCAGAAGGTACGGGAGAAACCTCTACGAGTACCGATGCGCACATCCAACGGTAGCTAAAATGACTGTGAAAGGTGACTTTTTACCAAACCCAAGAGCTCGTTCTCGCATACGAATCCTCCAGTATCACGAGCTGTTTGACGCTCGCGGTCTCGTTCATATCGCGATCGTAAGCATTCACGATGTCCGGAACGTCTGCCAAGAGTGTCGTGCGAGGTTCTCACGAGTCGCTATCAGGGGGAAAACCGATCCAGCGAACGCGATAATGCCGCGTTGTCGGAACGTGGTTGTGCAAGACATGAGCGGAGCCGCGAACGACATGTGGCGGATCCCTATGTTCCAGCATACGCTCAACTAGCCAACACCAATTCCCGTCGCTATCAACCATTGGTGAAGGACCCTCACGCTGGTATCGGACGCGTGGCACAGTAACTTGCAAGTCCTGCACCGACTCTGAATCATTCAATTGCAAAGCAGCAGCAGGAGGTCGATCAGCGGATGAACTTCGTTAGCCATGATGCAAGTCAAGCGCGTGACACAGCCGAGGCTGCCGAGATCCTTGCTGAGGAAACTTTGTCTGCGATTGATGGATTTGCACAGCGTCTTGAGCGTCTGGAACAATTGAATGCCGCTCTTCGTCGGGACAACGCGGTGTTGCGTAGGCGGTGCCAGCCTGATCCGACGAGGAAACCACGTTATCGGGGACCGCGGTATACACCCGAGGTGAATCAATCAACGACGGAAGAACATCCGGACATCAACGTTTGAGACGGCCAGCATAGAAGGTTGGTAGGAGGCGCATCGAGGAAGGAATATCCAGAGTGTAGGCATCACCCTTAACTGAATGACCTTAAAAAGGTCGACATATATAAAAAAATATATCGCGGTGCCAGCTTTGTGGCGCCGAGATTCGTAACCGACGCATCTTGTATTCAATTTGTTGAGAGCAGAACAGAATTACCAACCTTGAGCTTCTCGAGATTTTTGCGTCCGCGTTGATCAGCGGACGCCTTTTGTTTGTCCACTACAGAGTTGATAGGGTCGCGCACAAACCGCACGACGGACTGACGTTGTTGCACGAACGCTTCAATTGCTGTGGCGTTGGACAAGCGAACGTTCTGACATCGGTATAACGTCGGATGTAGTACCCGGTGATGGAAGTAGTTGAGGTGCACGGCGTTCCATAATTGACGTCTGAGTCGCGTCATCTAAGACGGGTAAAGTACACTCGTGCTGAGAATCAGAGCAACGTTGAGTAAGTCGTCGAGAACTGCTTATGAAGACGCCGCCCATACCAAGTAATCTGGTGTTCCTCCCTCAGCAAGAGTAAAACAACCGGTCAATCCCAGAAGAGCAGGAACACGGAGATGGCGCGCGTTGTTTACGAAGAAGGTGTCAACCCTGCCGAAGTGTGAACCGCGTTATTAAGTGCAAACTCGGCAATGGGAAGAAAAGATTTCCATGACGCAAACGAAGTAGCGTAGCTACGCAACACAATCTTCAAGACGCGATTAACCCGCTCAGTCCGACCATCCGTCTCAGGGTGGGCAGCTGTAGACATCATTAGGCGGGTACCAAAGATCTCGGACAGACGAGATCAAAATACGGCGGAGAAGCAAGGATCTAGATCCAAAACAATCGTGGCAAGCATGCCATGATGCCGGAAGAACATGTCGACAAAGAGAGTTGCTGTCTACTCCGCAGTGATGGACGTCAAAATAGCTAAAGATGCACCATCTTACTAAACCTGTCAACGATCACCAAAACGCCAGTGCGCCACTGCGCATCGGCGGGTAAACCAAACACGAAATCCATGCTCACGGAGTTCCAAACATCCGTGGCGATCGATAGCGGGTAAAGAGGCGCCTGTGACAACGGAGTTGGCTTCACACGCTGGCAAACCTCACAAGAGCAAGCCCACTGCGCACCCACTTGTACATGTGGGGCCAATAAAGTCCCGAGATAGCGCAAGATACGTCTTCTTGCGACCCAGATGACCGCTCGACGCACTTTCATGATACTCATGAAGAATACGCCCACGAAGATCGTCGTCAAGGGAGACGATGATACGTGGAGAATCGAAACGATCGATCTGGTATGTAAGCAGCTTACCATCAAAAGCATAGAGCGTGATGTGTGCGAGAGTGGAAGTCGATAGGGACCGTAGCGCATCATCCGAGGGGTTACCCAAATACCGGACAATTGGCGAGTAGAGGTCATCGCGGGAATAGGATTCCGCGATATCAGCGCTGAGATGGTTGACCGCAGACACAGCCGTAGCATTGAGACCGAATGAACGCAAGTCGCACGGTCATCATAATCCGACTCTAGGGCGGCGGAAACAGAAGCTCCGGCGCGAGAATCATAATCAGGACGTCGTGACAAGACATCGGCAATGATTTTGGCGATCCAGGCTTGTAATGCACGACAAAGTTGTACTCCGCGAAGAACGATAACCAAGGCGCTATGCGCTGGCTGAGATGAGGGCTCTTCGTGGCGGTACGCAGGGACGCGTGGTCCATGTAGATGGCAAATATCTGCTCACCAAGCAGATAAACGCAAAACTTAACAAGCGCATAGCGCATTGCAAGCATTTCATCGTCATAAACGGGATAATTGCGCATTTACAGCTTTAGCTGCCGAGATTGGTAGCCAACCACGCGTTCCTTTCCCGCATCATCATGTTTCAACAGCGCACAGCCGGTAGCAAAATCACTCGCGTAACAGACAACATGGAATGGCGTGTCATGGTTCGGCAGCGCTAATACAGGAGCTGTCGAGAGCCTCTTCTCGTCGAATGCATCCTGATGCTCTTGACGCCACACCCACGTGGCGTCCTTCTTCAGTAGCTATGACAATGGATGAATCACTGCCGCAAAGCCTTTTAGTTGGCCAGACCCAACCATTGTCGAAGGTGTTTCTGGTCTTTCGGAACCGGCCATGAGCAAATGGATGAGATTTTCTCGGGATCAGTGCGAGCACCCTTTGCGCTCACGTAACTGCCAAACACTAAGATCTCTGGAGCACAGAAGATAAATTTCTTTAGGCTTGCATACAATTTGTTTTCGCGCATCGCCTTAAAACTTTGCGAAAGTGATTGAGATGCACTTCCAATTCTGGTGCGTCATCGGATGCACGACTATGCACTAAGATGTTATCGAAATAGCTCGGCGTAAAGTCGCGAAATGGGCGAAGCACGTAAGAGACCATGCGGTTGAAAGTAGCAGGGAATTTCTGAGCCCCTGCAGCATGACAAGCCACTCTCAACGCATACCAATAGGCGTACGGCGGTGAGTGTAACCGCTTGAGGCCGCATCAAGAATCTGGTAGAAGCCGTCCGTGAAATCCAAAGACGAGAATATTGTGCTTCCTGACATGGCATCCAAAACCATGTCCTACCGACTGGCGTCTGCGACGAAATAGTCGCATCGCTCAGTTTGCTTAAAGTATGAAAGATGCGCCATCCTCCCGTTGCCTTCTTGACACAGAATGTGGAACAGGAATGGGGAGAAGTGCTCTCACGTACGTGACCTGCGGCGTGGCACCCTTCAAAGAAGGTGTCAATAGCTTCTACCTGGCCACGATAGAGCGGCCACTGTCGAGCGACGCAGTACTTCGAACCAGGAACAAGATCAATCTCGTGCCGACTTTTCTATCCACAGGACGAACCGCAGGGAGCTTGTCAGGGAAGACATTGGCAAACTCGCGCGCAAGCGCGAGAACAGGGTTCGTTAACGCAGCGATTTTCTTTCCAGGATTGTGCCGCGAAGCAATCTTCGCGTCATTCTTTTTAAACGCTCGTGATTGTTGAGCTTGGAATCTTGAACGACTAGACAGAGTTGTTCGGTCTCTCCCCCTCCTCATACCATGCAGTAACTCATCCCAAGAGAGTTCCAAAAGCTGCGTAATGCCAGGCGCGTTGCGAGGTGGACTCGCGACCTGTAACGAATAGCTGCGCGGACCAGCACCACTCATGTTAATGACATTGATGGTCTCGAATGGAGATGCTGGCGGAAGAGATGGTGTCGACAAGGTTGGACAAACACGATCACGGCGCCCATGGCGACGACGTGACACAGGAACACGAAACGGTTGCACAACCGTTTGTACGAAAGCCACTGCCTGCGCGTAAGTCGTCCGAACCCGCTACTCCGACGTGTTGCCCTCCATAGGCACTAACACGGGAGCCACTGCTCGCTCGTGACGCACGGAAGGTCTCCACCTTGGTGCGGTTTTGGAAGAACGCACACGCATGGGAGCCGCTGCTCGATCATGAGACACCCGTTGCCACTGATGTGGGTTATAATCTTGACTCAGGAACCACTGTTCGACTGAGGGTCCGACTCAGGGGGAGAAGGTTGCTGAATTACACACCACACTCGAAGGGCCATCACACACTTCGGGGGCATGATCAGTCGTGGATTTGGGGTCCACGACAGCAACATGCTACCAAGTACTCTTCGGTCTGTTAAGAACGGCGAGATTTGCATTGACATCAATATCACGCGGTTGAACCGTGCAGCTCAGCTGATCAGTGTCAGATCAATATCGTGCAAGCCACGGCATCCCAACAATGCAGTCGAATGAACCGCTCAAGTCGATAACTTGGTATTCATCACTGCTCTCGAAAGCATCGATCCGGCAAGGAAGCACCACCGAACGATGTCGGTGCGTGCGGGGATTTCCGTCTGCATACTTGATGATCATCTCCCCTCAAGACTCGTGGACACGCAACCGCGACGGGATAACGGGTAAACTTTCGGCGCGGACAACATTGTTCGTCGCGCCTGAGTCCAGCAATGCGCGAAGTGGACGTGACGCACCGTCAACATAAAAACTAGGCACGATCAATCGCGGATCATTTCTGGACGTGGTGGCATTTAGCTGTGCATAGTGCACAGCGGGGCTAGGAGAACGCGTCGCCACTGCAGACATGTGTCTCAGTTTCCACCAAGTAGGACGCCCCGCGCGTACCGGTTGCCGTCATTTATTGGCTGATCAGCGCTGACGGTGACGCCAGACGCAGCGACAGAAAGGACTGGTGCAGGTGCACGGCATATAGCCGCGTGGTGACCAGGCTTACTACAGCGGAAGCAAACCAGCCGTTTTGGTGCTACAGGCTTCCGGAATCTGGCGTTCGGAGCACGCCGAGAGTTTGTGGCGTGCTCAATCACGTCGACTTCCATGGGCCCAGGATCTTGAGTAGCAGGAGGAGGCGAAGAATATTTTATGCGCAAAGCCATGACACTGAAGTCTTCACGCAACACGATCGCAAACGCCTCTTCAATTGACGTAGGGGGCTTTCGCGTCAGGTAAAAAAGCTGATGCCCAGCGTTCATTCCCGTGACGAGCATGCATAATTGCGTCATCATATTGATCAGATTGGTGACGATACTGGACGCAGGTGTCTTGCTTGCTGGATATAGTCCAGCATTGACAGACGACCCTGCTTCAGTGCCAAGAAAGCCGAGAGGTGGTGGTGCTCATCCTGCGGAGACTCAAACGCCAGGCTCAGGTCGTCCTTGAGGGCCTTCATGTCCAGGAAATATCCCGGATCGGCCACAAGCTTGCCCAGCACCCACTCCTTCGCTTGTCAACTTGGACAAGAGGAGTGGGTGCGTGCGAAATCTGACTTGAGCTGACGGGCTTGGACAGCGATGTCTACTTCACAAGCCATCGATTAAGCGCAAGGCGCTTCGGGCCCTCGACGATATAGCACGAGACGTCGAGTTTGACGACGTCAGACCCTGTGGCAACCGCGGGAGTTGAGGCTCGCCGACGCAAATCGGCGTGCTCGCGGTTGACAAAGTCCTGGAGTGGCTACACGCTGTAGCCGCTCAGGTGTGTCCTTAAGCATGGCGACAACGCTAGTTATACCGGCTACGTTCGCTAGGCGAAGCAAAGATTCCCATTTGAAAGAGGTCAGATGCTGGAAGTCATCATGATCCAGCATCCCTCCCTCAGCTCCCTGGATAGGCAGAGTGCTCATCTTTGTTCGAAACACTACGAAGTGCTACAGGTGTAACGGAGTAAGGACACGTTACGTAGCTTATACTAAAGGACTTGCGAGGAAACGTTAAGGAACACGCGTTAATCGAACACGCTTTTAGATCATACCATATTCAGCTCTGTTTATACAATTATGATGTTAATCTAAGTACGAGTGGTCTCCAAACGTTTTGGGAGCCACTCAGTATAAGGTTGCATTCTATTGGCTGATAATGGGCCTGATTCCCACTTATCAACAAATAGGAATACGACATGCTGGAGCCGCTATATCGGGTACAGCGTATACCTTACTATGTAATATATGTACTTAGCCAAGTCTACTTATGAAAGGAACTGCTAGGTCATACCTAGCAGAATATGTACGGCCGACTCCGTTACCATTGTCGGAAGTTGGTAAAGCGCATGGCGCAGGTGTTGGTGAACAAGCTCTGGTCGTTTTGCTTTGGGGCTTTACAAGCAGCATAACCCTGGCTTGGAGCAATTTGAAAGCTTTTGCTCAGACCGCGGCAATCCGTGTTCGTGGCACTCATTAAGGCTGTGTCCATCCGCAAGACTCATGCAAGCTTCTAGGTGAGCAATCTCAAAATAAAGCGCTTAATTGAACGATTGAGATGCTTCCGTCCTGAACTGCACAGAATAGGGTATCAGTATGGACTCACCACCATTTGATCCCGATGAATTAGTTCACTGGCTATGCCACTCCAAGCAATTTCGGTGTCTGCTATAATTGCCGCAATCGCGGACATACAATAGACGGCACTATGCAACTTTGGATTTTGGCAAAAAAATGCCATGCAAGAAGATCCCATAGCTAAAGGGCGGTGTGTAGAACCTGCGTGCACGACGCAAGGGGATTACACCGACCGTTTTTGGCCTGGGAAATGCAAGACCACAGTAGGTGCGGAATGCGGAATATGAAGGTACCCTATCTTTACAGTTGTCAAAAAATGGGTAGCCAAGTCCCTGAGGTTCCAAAAACGTTGGACCTCCACCTTGGTGCTTGAGTACCAGGCTATGTCTAGGTGAACATTTTTTGCTAAGTCTGGTGCATCATATAGTTTTGTTACGCTCGCGGCTTGAAAGATGAGTCCGTCAAGCTATGAGTCGCTTTGACAGGATGTCGAGCGAATGTGGTGACCGTTCGTATAGCGAACGGCGCGCTCAAAAAATTTAAGGAAGCTCAAGTTGAGATCGCCTTCGGATTTAGCAACTTCTCTCATAAAGAGAAGCTCGCTGTGCTAGGCAGTAGATTCTATGTGAACTGACTCTAGGCATGCCTTGGTTGGCAAAACAACTAGCATGGATAATTTGGCGCTCACGCATAATCGCTAACTCTACGCAAGGCACTACTATGAATGTGCTCCTGAGAGAAGCTTATGTGACTGATCCTGTGTCAACTACAGCGTTAGTGGGTGCGTTGACGGTATGTCATACGTTACCAGGTACCACACAGTCTTTGTAGCTGAAAATATAGCGACAGGAATTCGTGTGATCGACCTTTACCGGAAAGAATGGTGTAGTGAAATACCGATGACTAGTCATCCGTCCAAAAGTCCTCATATTGTATAGACCCTGTAGCAGTTGATAGCAAGCTGACAAGAAGTAAAGCGTCACAAAAACCGGCATAAAGCCAAGAGCCTGTTGCGGCTGTAAGGGGTCCGTTAGCTGCAATAGCTATGACACCCATTTCTAGGTCAAAAGCTGTGGTAACTCGCAAAACGATTTATGACAAGTAATGAAGATCTAAGGAAGACGTTGAAAGTGACATTGATATGTTTCAGCCAAAAAGAACATTCAGACAAAATGATCGAGGTCGGCAAAGACAAGATGCCGGGAGAGGTGCTCTAGTATGTCTTGGGATCTTTCCAGGAGATAATAAATCTCTTGGAAATGACGTAGGGTCTTTCCTGATCCGAGGAAAAGGAAGACAAGATCCACGACATTGTCGCACCAGTTCCAAAACAAACTTGGTAAATTGTTGCTCATCATTTAAAATGGACGAGAGCGTCTTGGAATGAGACAAGAAGAAACGGTGTGCTGCTTAAGGCCGGAAAGCCGTAGCGGACATCCCGTTTTACGGTGTTATGTGAAAACATTTAATATGTTTACAACAGAAGTGCCGTATAGGGGCATCAGGCACGGAATTGACCTGGCACCAAATATCGTGTTTTCAGCCATGGCTGTCGCCGAAGGAACAAACCAATTATATCGATGAGTTTTTCAACAAGCGGTCAAATACTGGACGTGTACGTGAGAGAAAGTCGCCTCACTGCAGTCCGCCCTCTGTGTGAGTAAAGCTACAGGTGGATGGCACGTAATTTAGGATTATAACAAGCTAAACACTGCCACGATTTCGGTGAAAACGCCATTCCCGCGGTAAGATATTTTGTCAAATTCAATAGGGAGGTGAACTATCTTTTCCGCATTGCATAAAAAACGGCAGTAAGACACCTAAGCGGCATGCTATTGGAATGGCCCAAAAGTTGAAAATTGCACCGGCGACATCAAATCGAGTAGTGGATCACGTTGATGCGTCAGCATCGTGTCTAATTTGGCGATTTATTCGTCCATAGTTGGAAGAGGATGAGCTGAGTGAAAATAGAGTCGCACAGACGTCATTTAGACGCTAATCTGAAGACTCTGAATGATGCCCAGTTTAATGTCAACTTTCAAAAGTGCGTCATAGGTTCCCAAGATAGCTGTACTGGTCTGCATTGATGGTAAAAGGGTGTACGAGCAGACCAAATAAGGTAAATGCTGTCAAGGAATGTCCAGTCCCACGTCATTTGAGGCCAATTTCTTGGGCTCTCAATTTTTGCCCAAGTACAGCAAAAGTTATGCAGAGCAGACAAAGCCATTGTCTCCCCTGTTTAAAAAGGATGCAAGAATAATAGGTTTGGTGCAAAGAGATGCTGTTTTATCAGCGAATTAATCCTTTGTAGAAGCACCGGTCTTGGCACTGCAAGAAACGGATAAGCCCTCAAGTGTCGTCTGCGATGCATATAATGTAGCAATAGGCAGCGCACTAATGCAGAGGGATGACGACGGCGTTGACCGTGTCATGTCGTATCTGTCCCGGGCTTAGAAGCAACGGGTTAAATACCAGGTGCATGACAAAACCTTTAACCATAATGTATGCTTTCGCATGATCGAATACACCTATTAGGCAACGATATTCGTTTTACACGGAGTACCCATCACAGGCGGATTACAATAGAGTACTGCCTGCACCTCTCGTAAACGCTAGCAGCCAAAAAGGTCTACCTCGTGACAAGCTCATAGCCTCCAAGATAAAAAGAGTTACAGTCAAGACGAACATTGTAGCCTGCTGCTAGATCGCTTTAATGGTCAAAAAAGTATTCTTCTGTCGCCAGTAGAAATAAACTAAGTCACTTTTAGATACAGTGATGGTGTAACGGAGTCGGCCGTACACATCCTGCTAGGTATGACCTAGCAGTTCCTTTCATAAGTAGACTTGGCTAAGTACATATATTACATAGTAAGGTATACGCTGTACCCGATATAGCGGCTCCAGCATGTCGTATTCCTATTTGTTGATAAGTGGGAATCAGGCCCATTATCAGCCAATAGAATGCAACCTTATACTGAGTGGCTCCCAAAACGTTTGGAGACCACTCGTACTTAGATTAACATCATAATTGTATAAACAGAGCTGAATATGGTATGATCTAAAAGCGTGTTCGATTAACGCGTGTTCCTTAACGTTTCCTCGCAAGTCCTTTAGTATAAGCTACGTAACGTGTCCTTACTCCGTTACACCTGTAGCACTTCGTAGTGTTTCGAACAAAGATGAGCACTCTGCCTATCCAGGGAGCTGAGGGAGGGATGCTGGATCATGATGACTTCCAGCATCTGACCTCTTTCAAATGGGAATCTTTGCTTCGCCTAGCGAACGTAGCCGGTATAACTAGCGTTGTCGCCATGCTTAAGGACACACCTGAGCGGCTACAGCGTGTAGCCATCCAGGACTTTGTCAACCGCGAGCACGCCGATTTGCGTCGGCGAGCCTCAACTCCCGCGGTTGCCACAGGGTCTGACGTCGTCAAACTCGACGTCTCGTGCTATATCGTCGAGGGCCCGAAGCGCCTTGCGCTTAATCGATGGCTTGTGAAGTAGACATCGCTGTCCAAGCCCGTCAGCTCAAGTCAGATTTCGCACGCACCCACTCCTCTTGTCCAAGTTGACAAGCGAAGGAGTGGGTGCTGGGCAAGCTTGTGGCCGATCCGGGATATTTCCTGGACATGAAGGCCCTCAAGGACGACCTGAGCCTGGCGTTTGAGTCTCCGCAGGATGAGCACCACCACCTCTCGGCTTTCTTGGCACTGAAGCAGGGTCGTCTGTCAATGCTGGGCTATATCCAGCAAGCAAGACACCTGGCGTCCAGTATCGTCACCAATCTGATCAATATGATGACGCAATTATGCATGCTCGTCACGGGAATGAACGCTGGGCATCAGCTTTTTTACCTGACGCGAAAGCCCCCTACGTCAATTGAAGAGGCGTTTGCGATCGTGTTGCGTGAAGACTTCTGTGTCATGGCTTTGCGCATAAAATATTCTTCGCCTCCTCCTGCTACTCAAGATCCTGGGCCCATGGAAGTCGACGTGATTGAGCACGCCACATACTCTCGGCGTGCTCCGAACGCCAGATTCCGGAAGCCTGTAGCACCGAAACGGCTGGTTTGCTTCCGCTGTAGTAAGCCTGGTCACCACGCGGCTATATGCCGTGCACCTGCACCAGTCCTTTCTGTCGCTGCGTCTGGCGTCACCGTCAGCGCTGATCAGCCAATAAATGACGGCAACCAGTACGCGCGGGGCGTCCTACTTGGTGGAAACTGAGACACATGTCTGCAGTGGCGACGCGTTCTCCTAGCCCCGCTGTGCACTATGCACAGCTAAATGCCACCACGTCCAGAAATGATCCGCGATTGATCGTGCCTAGTTTTTATGTTGACGGTGCGTCACGTCCACTTCGCGCATTGCTGGACTCAGGCGCGACGAACAATGTTGTCCGCGCCGAAAGTTTACCCGTTATCCCGTCGCGGTTGCGTGTCCACGAGTCTTGAGGGGAGATGATCATCAAGTATGCAGACGGAAATCCCCGCACGCACCGACATCGTTCGGTGGTGCTTCCTTGCCGGATCGATGCTTTCGAGAGCAGTGACGAATACCAAGTTATCGACTTGAGCGGTTCATTCGACTGCATTGTTGGGATGCCGTGGCTTGCACGATATTGATCTGACACTGATCAGCTGAGCTGCACGGTTCAACCGCGGATATTATGTCAATGCAAATCTCGCCGTTCTTAACAGACCGAAGAGTACTTGGTAGCATGTTGCTGTCGTGGACCCCAAATCCACGACTGATCATGCCCCCGAAGTGTGTGATGGCCCTTCGAGTGTGGTGTGTAATTCAGCAACCTTCTCCCCCTGAGTCGGACCCTCAGTCGAACAGTGGTTCCTGAGTCAAGATTATAACCCACATCAGTGGCAACGGGTGTCTCATGATCGAGCAGCGGCTCCCATGCGTGTGCGTTCTTCCAAAACCGCACCAAGTTGGAGACCTTCCGTGCGTCACGAGCGAGCAGTGGCTCCCGTGTTAGTGCCTATGGAGGGCAACACGTCGGAGTAGCGGGTTCGGACGACTTACGCGCAGGCAGTGGCTTTCGTACAAACGGTTGTGCAACCGTTTCGTGTTCCTGTGTCACGTCGTCGCCATGAGCGCCGTGATCGTGTTTGTCCAACCTTGTCGACACCATCTCTTCCGCCAGCGTCTCCATTCGAGACCATCAATGTCATTAACATGAGTGGTGCTGGTCCGCGCAGCTATTCGTTACAGGTCGCGAGTCCACCTCGCAACGCGCCTGGCATTACGCAGCTTTTGGAACTCTCTTGGGATGAGTTACTGCATGGTATGAGGAGGGGGAGAGACCGAACAACTCTGTCTAGTCGTTCAAGATTCCAAGCTCAACAATCACGAGCGTTTAAAAAGAATGACGCGAAGATTGCTTCGCGGCACAATCCTGGAAAGAAAATCGCTGCGTTAACGAACCCTGTTCTCGCGCTTGCGCGCGAGTTTGCCAATGTCTTCCCTGACAAGCTCCCTGCGGTTCGTCCTGTGGATAGAAAAGTCGGCACGAGATTGATCTTGTTCCTGGTTCGAAGTACTGCGTCGCTCGACAGTGGCCGCTCTATCGTGGCCAGGTAGAAGCTATTGACACCTTCTTTGAAGGGTGCCACGCCGCAGGTCACGTACGTGAGAGCACTTCTCCCCATTCCTGTTCCACATTCTGTGTCAAGAAGGCAACGGGAGGATGGCGCATCTTTCATACTTTAAGCAAACTGAGCGATGCGACTATTTCGTCGCAGACGCCAGTCGGTAGGACATGGTTTTGGATGCCATGTCAGGAAGCACAATATTCTCGTCTTTGGATTTCACGGACGGCTTCTACCAGATTCTTGATGCGGCCTCAAGCGGTTACACTCACCGCCGTACGCCTATTGGTATGCGTTGAGAGTGGCTTGTCATGCTGCAGGGGCTCAGAAATTCCCTGCTACTTTCAACCGCATGGTCTCTTACGTGCTTCGCCCATTTCGCGACTTTACGCCGAGCTATTTCGATAACATCTTAGTGCATAGTCGTGCATCCGATGACGCACCAGAATTGGAAGTGCATCTCAATCACTTTCGCAAAGTTTTAAGGCGATGCGCGAAAACAAATTGTATGCAAGCCTAAAGAAATTTATCTTCTGTGCTCCAGAGATCTTAGTGTTTGGCAGTTACGTGAGCGCAAAGGGTGCTCGCACTGATCCCGAGAAAATCTCATCCATTTGCTCATGGCCGGTTCCGAAAGACCAGAAACACCTTCGACAATGGTTGGGTCTGGCCAACTAAAAGGCTTTGCGGCAGTGATTCATCCATTGTCATAGCTACTGAAGAAGGACGCCACGTGGGTGTGGCGTCAAGAGCATCAGGATGCATTCGACGAGAAGAGGCTCTCGACAGCTCCTGTATTAGCGCTGCCGAACCATGACACGCCATTCCATGTTGTCTGTTACGCGAGTGATTTTGCTACCGGCTGTGCGCTGTTGAAACATGATGATGCGGGAAAGGAACGCGTGGTTGGCTACCAATCTCGGCAGCTAAAGCTGTAAATGCGCAATTATCCCGTTTATGACGATGAAATGCTTGCAATGCGCTATGCGCTTGTTAAGTTTTGCGTTTATCTGCTTGGTGAGCAGATATTTGCCATCTACATGGACCACGCGTCCCTGCGTACCGCCACGAAGAGCCCTCATCTCAGCCAGCGCATAGCGCCTTGGTTATCGTTCTTCGCGGAGTACAACTTTGTCGTGCATTACAAGCCTGGATCGCCAAAATCATTGCCGATGTCTTGTCACGACGTCCTGATTATGATTCTCGCGCCGGAGCTTCTGTTTCCGCCGCCCTAGAGTCGGATTATGATGACCGTGCGACTTGCGTTCATTCGGTCTCAATGCTACGGCTGTGTCTGCGGTCAACCATCTCAGCGCTGATATCGCGGAATCCTATTCCCGCGATGACCTCTACTCGCCAATTGTCCGGTATTTGGGTAACCCCTCGGATGATGCGCTACGGTCCCTATCGACTTCCACTCTCGCACACATCACGCTCTATGCTTTTGATGGTAAGCTGCTTACATACCAGATCGATCGTTTCGATTCTCCACGTATCATCGTCTCCCTTGACGACGATCTTCGTGGGCGTATTCTTCATGAGTATCATGAAAGTGCGTCGAGCGGTCATCTGGGTCGCAAGAAGACGTATCTTGCGCTATCTCGGGACTTTATTGGCCCCACATGTACAAGTGGGTGCGCAGTGGGCTTGCTCTTGTGAGGTTTGCCAGCGTGTGAAGCCAACTCCGTTGTCACAGGCGCCTCTTTACCCGCTATCGATCGCCACGGATGTTTGGAACTCCGTGAGCATGGATTTCGTGTTTGGTTTACCCGCCGATGCGCAGTGGCGCACTGGCGTTTTGGTGATCGTTGACAGGTTTAGTAAGATGGTGCATCTTTAGCTATTTTGACGTCCATCACTGCGGAGTAGACAGCAACTCTCTTTGTCGACATGTTCTTCCGGCATCATGGCATGCTTGCCACGATTGTTTTGGATCTAGATCCTTGCTTCTCCGCCGTATTTTGATCTCGTCTGTCCGAGATTTTTGGTACCCGCCTGATGATGTCTACAGCTGCCCACCCTGAGACGGATGGTCGGACTGAGCGGGTTAATCGCGTCTTGAAGATTGTGTTGCGTAGCTACGCTACTTCGTTTGCGTCATGGAAATCTTTTCTTCCCATTGCCGAGTTTGCACTTAATAACGCGGTTCACACTTCGGCAGGGTTGACACCTTCTTCGTAAACAACGCGCGCCATCTCCGTGTTCCTGCTCTTCTGGGATTGACCGGTTGTTTTACTCTTGCTGAGGGAGGAACACCAGATTACTTGGTATGGGCGGCGTCTTCATAAGCAGTTCTCGACGACTTACTCAACGTTGCTCTGATTCTCAGCACGAGTGTACTTTACCCGTCTTAGATGACGCGACTCAGACGTCAATTATGGAACGCCGTGCACCTCAACTACTTCCATCACCGGGTACTACATCCGACGTTATACCGATGTCAGAACGTTCGCTTGTCCAACGCCACAGCAATTGAAGCGTTCGTGCAACAACGTCAGTCCGTCGTGCGGTTTGTGCGCGACCCTATCAACTCTGTAGTGGACAAACAAAAGGCGTCCGCTGATCAACGCGGACGCAAAAATCTCGAGAAGCTCAAGGTTGGTAATTCTGTTCTGCTCTCAACAAATTGAATACAAGATGCGTCGGTTACGAATCTCGGCGCCACAAAGCTGGCACCGCGATATATTGGACCTTTTTAAGGTACATTCAGTTAAGGGTGATGCCTACACTCTGGATATTCCTTCCTCGATGCGCCTCCTACCAACCTTCTATGCTGGCCGTCTCAAACGTTGATGTCCGGATGTTCTTCCGTCGTTGATTGATTCACCTCGGGTGTATACCGCGGTCCCCGATAACGTGGTTTCCTCGTCGGATCAGGCTGGCACCGCCTACGCAACACCGCGTTGTCCCGACGAAGAGCGGCATTCAATTGTTCCAGACGCTCAAGACGCTGTGCAAATCCATCAATCGCAGACAAAGTTTCCTCAGCAAGGATCTCGGCAGCCTCGGCTGTGTCACGCGCTTGACTTGCATCATGGCTAACGAAGTTCATCCGCTGATCGGCCTCCTGCTGCTGCTTTGCAATTGAATGATTCAGAGTCGGTGCAGGACTTGCAAGTTACTGTGCCACGCGTCCGATACCAGCGTGAGGGTCCTTCACCAATGGTTGATAGCGACGGGAATTGGTGTTGGCTAGTTGAGCGTATGCTGGAACATAGGGATCCGCCACATGTCGTTCGCGGCTCCGCTCATGTCTTGCACAACCACGTTTCGACAACGCGGCATTATCGCGTTCGCTGGATCGGTTTTCCCCCTGATAGCGACTCGTGAGAACCTCGCACGACACTCTTGGCAGACGTTCCGGACATCGTGAATGCTTACGATCGCGATATGAACGAGACCGCGAGCGTCAAACAGCTCGTGATACTGGAGGATTCGTATGCGAGAACGAGCTCTTGGGTTTGGTAAAAAGTCACCTTTTACAGTCATTTTAGCTACCGTTGGATGCGCGCATCGGTACTCGTAGAGGTTTCTCCCGTACCTTCTGATCCATATGTTTTACTTATCACTCAACGGGTAATTCTGTAGCACCATCATCCATTGAGCGCGGTCAGGCCGCGCTACGCCATTTTCTTTGCAACTTCGACAGCCTTCACGCAATTGTATAGTACAAGCAGGGCAGTCAGCAGTCCACGACAACTCGCAGACGATCTTCCGAGTCTCTGCGAGGCCATAACGCTGTCGTCGTGCCTCACTCATCGGCACGAGATTGGCAAACGATGACTCGGTATTCCATCGGCGCACGAATGCAGTCCAAGACTCGTCGAGTGAAACTTACCTCACGGCGCGTGTAGCCACGGTGGGGTTTCCGCGTGTTCGTCTCCATTAGTGCCACATCTTACGCATTTACAGGTCTCCACGCAAACGTTCTATACCACTGCAGTCGTATAACTCCCAGACGCGAAGGGTTCCAGCGTATGATCGTGGTATAATGGACACCGCCATGGATGACGGTGTAAAGGTCTGCGTTCCGGTGTTGTCTGCGGTGTTACTGCACGTGGTGTCGTCTCGTGCTCATGGTAGCCGCGATCGCTGCTTCAGAGGCAACGATTCTGTTGGTAGTCGTTTTGTGTTTTTCTTTTTCTTTAGTTTTGTTCTGCACACAAATATGTGTGCTATATTATATGGGGGTAACGTAACGGAGCGTACCATACACAACCTGCTAGGTACGACCTAGCAGCATAAGTAGACTTGGCTAAGTACATATATTACATAGCAAGGTATACGCTGTACCCGATATAGCGGCTCCAGCATGTCGTATTCCTATTTGTTAATAAGTGGGAATCAGGCCCATTATCAGCCAATAGAATGCAACCTTATATTGAGTGGCTCCCAAAACGTTTGGAGACCACTCGTATAAACAGAGCTGAATTTGGTATAATCTGTGTTCCTTAACGTTTCCTCGCAAGTCCTTTAGTGTAAGTCACGTAAAGGGTCCTCACCCCATTACAGATGGCCTGACATGGTATCAGCCGTTGCCTTGTGACCTCTTAAAAATCTATGCTCCCCATGACACATGTCTTAAGCTGAAGATTCTCTACGTGCTCCATGATACACCATCTGGTGGGCATCTGGGCCGTGACAAGACACTCTTACGAGGGTCGGACGAATTTTGATGACCCTTTCTACCCCAGCGTCTAGCCAACTATATTTGATCCTGCGAACAGTTCCAGCGTAATTTCCTGCATCGTTTAGCAGTGTGCCATTAATGCCATTGCCGATACCAACTGATTGTTGGGATTTTCTCCAGCTTGAACATTCTGTTTGGTATGCCACCTGACCATAAAGGTATAGCGGGCCTTGTCGAATTTGTAGACAGACCGAGTAAGATGGCCATGTATTACCAAAATCACGGCAAGGAGGCAGCTTACTTGTTCCTGGATCACGTGTATCTTTTACGCGGGATGCCGAGTCCATTGTCTTGGATCGGGATCCGCGTTTCACGTCGAGTTTATTTGGCGTGATGTGTTTGAGCTGCTGGGCAGCAAGCTCCACATGTCACAGCCGATCATACCTTTACCGCAAGGTTTACTGGCAAGATTGGACTATTCAATTGAGTCATGGTGGATGTGCTGCGCACGGTAGAAACTCCCAAAAAAAGACACAAGAAACAGTCATTCGTGGAGTTTACTCCTAATAACAGTGTCCACGCCAGTACGGGTAGGACACCGTTCTATATAAACGGACTGCGCCAACCTTGATTGACAGTCTCGTTTACTCTCCCCCCAAGTTTTGGTGGGGCAGGGCTCTTTACTGAGCTTGCAGCAAATTTGAAAGAGCTTCAAATTTTTGCCGTAGTGACGATTATTTATGTTGTAAATGGGTCTATGGTAGAAACTCGCCCCTGCAACCTTGCCAGTGTAGCAGTGATCACGACACCTATAAGTGTTGGTGAGTGTAAACGGTAAACATGCCTGCGTTCGTCGATTAGAACGATAAATCGTTAATCGCAGCTACGATCCATGACCGACCTCTTTGTGGACTATTAGGCAACTGGATGCTAGAAGCGTGAGCGGGTCTCAATGTTTTTTGGATGAGCGGTTGGCCATCACACGAAAGGTCCGTGACGCAATGGCAAGCGCACAGGATAAGCAAAATGAATACGGCGCAAGAATATAACACCATAGGTAGAGAATAAGGTATTATTAGTTACTGCTACCCTACCTAAAATTACAGTTTTGTACTACCTGGAGTTATTACCAAAATACTGCCGCGGTTCATTGTATCGTTAGCGTTGGTCAAAGAGTTTAGACCTAAACTATAAGCTTACCATTTCACCTTATATGAAGACGCGTCCGTAATTTACGTGGGGCATCTTAAAAAAAGGATATGCTGATCTTACATATCTATCGTGACTAATGGTGACGCCGCCGTGACTTGAGTGCCGTTGTTGCTGGGGCGGCGGAAAAGAAGAATTACTTGCAGACGTTGGGTGTCGTCAATTCATCACATTTACAAAGAGCCGATGCAGATCCATCTATCATTGTTTATAACAATGAATGCACACCGCTGCCATCACCAAAAAGTGGAGATGAAACAAGCAAGCTTATGGAATGGAGATGGCGCTTTTCAGCCTCTTTTTGATTCCATAATGTGTTTTTCCAAGGATACGCCTAGCCTTGCGAAGAGTTTTTTGCCTTCCGTCTACGAGATATTTGTCTGGTCGCATGCGCCAACGAGCGTAGTGACTACACTGAGAGCACTGCCCATGAAGGTGCATTTGCCTCTCATACGGGTCAAAACCCACCGTCTGCAGTCGAGACAATCCATAATGAAGAGCACGACTCAGGAGAATTCGAGCATAAAGCTCCATTATGACCGCAAAGCATGTACTATCGGTACCATATGTGCGCCAAATTGAAGGCATCTATTATCATGGCGACATTATATTGGTTCCACTGTCATTTTAATGGCGACGGCCAGATGGTGTCTCGGCACCACTTCTAGCGAGTGCCACGATTGACTCGCGTAAATATCAAGACGTATTGTTGAATTAGGAGTCGCAGGGGAAAGCGCTTGGTTGCATTTACCTATTCCGATCGTGTTGAGTTTGAAAAAGGCGGTCAATACGAGAGAAAAATAATTGCGCTGTCAAAACGCATGCAAATGGGAAGAAACAATGGTCGCAGTGAATCAACTTCGCTATTGCGCCTGTAAGCGAAGCGATGGGAGCTGAAAGCCCCTTGCTAGTCCTACTGAACCTATCGGAGTGGGTTCAGATGGTGATCCTGCTCATAAGCAGTCGTTATCCTCGGTAGGCTGACGCGCAGCCCATCAACCGGCTCCTTAGAGTCAAACCCTTCGGGCACCGTTTCCGATGATCTTAAGCGGTAAGCCAACAGCCTTCATTAAAAGGATAATTGTTTTTTTCACCCGCATCCACCAACGAAGGTGACTCCCGATAGGTGTGGCAATTCTTCCCGCCTATTCGCGTCTACCTACCGTTCTTTCGTTCAGACGCAGGCGCAGAGTGCTGCTGTCGACAAATGGATTGGGGATCTTTGAAAATTAAGTTAGACGATTAATCTCGGCGTACCATTTTGTTCGAACAAAGATCGCCAGGGTTACGACCGGCTGAAACTTTGTGTCAACATTTTGGAGCGGATGTTGATGGGAGACTCTCGTCAAACGTTCAATCCTCCTCTCTCTTTGACTTGCTTCGCCAAGTTTTCGTGCCCTGTTGCCGACGCAACAGCAGTAATAGTTGTTAGTTTGCAACAATGACACTATAGGACGGCGGCGAATCATCGAGGCGCATGTGGTTGTGTGGTTGTCTTTGCAGACTACCCATTAACTGTGTCCCGCTTTGGTGGCATCAAATATAAATCAGTCTTACATTTTCCACTTACTGCACGGTACGCGCATGACGACGGTCTTACCGCTTCTGCGACGCTAGTGCTATGGGCCCTCTTGTGTTAGTAGATTTCGCCTTAGGCGTCCACTAACTACCACGCTGCACGCAAAAAAAGGCGGTAAAACCGCTCCTGGACGCGCGTAGGGAGTGTGGTCGGTAGAAGCGTCTGCCTACATATTTACTGATGCCAACGTTTCCGGATTGGGTTGTGTTTTAGCGTATTTATCTATCAAAGAAGCGGTCAACTTTCAGTAGCTGTGTCTGGATCTTGAGCGGCTTTGATACCACATCCTAAAGCAAAGCAACAAGGTATGCTAAGTAAACGCTACCTATAAATCTCTTAGCTTCGGAAAGAATGTTTTTTCTTCAAAGAAAGAGTAATAGGTGTGTTGACTATATGTGCTACCCAGTGCAGCCCCAAACGTCAGAGACATGCGTAAAATCAAAAAGTAACAAGCTCAAACGACCTTCTTCATTCAATTGTTCAATACGTGTCCCATATGAATGAACAATTTGGCGAACGGACGAGTGGAAAGGCTCTATCGATTCAAAAACTGCTTCAAGCTCTGATCAAGGTGGACGTCCAAAAGAATGGCGAACATTGACTGGGCCAACCACTAGGCTTTTTGTCAACACGGCGTTGTCGATGGTACGACACAGTAAAAGTGGCCATTTCAGTCTCTAAGTGACGCCACCAGTACTAACCTCCAGCGTTGCGTGCCATGAGATCCCACGTGCTATAAAAACAAAAGCTGACTTTGCAATTAAACGCCATTTAAACCCCAGAAGATCTAGGCGTGGAACAATTATTATTAACGAACTACATGAATCTACGTCACCACAACATACAACCCTGACCTCATAAGAGAAGCACGTAAGGAATTGTTTCGCACGTGTCGGTCAATCGAGCAAATCTATCGAAAATGTGGATGAGACAGTGCCTCGCCTTGTCTTAGTTCAATAGAATAAAGAATTAGCTCCCATGTACACAATAGCACGAGAGGAGATCCGCGTCATCCAGTGACGAATAGCGCGCATAGCTGACTTGAACGAAGTATCAATTGTGGTTGAGTCGACGTCTGTACGGATTGCTTATACCAGGACATTATTACCGTGCATGAATTGGCACATATTTGCTACAAGCTTGAACGCAATTCTTGAGCTACGGCAGCTTCGTCTAAATGTTGCAACTTGATGAATTCATGCGACATGGCCGTTTCTTCTGACCAGCGCTCGCGATGGAACCCTTACAAATCTTAATTAAATATAAAAAAATGCTTTGGAAGATGGTCGATGGTTAAAGACTGTTTGCACAGACTACAAATTCCAAATTTTAACCTGACGTTTGGACAACATTCAAAAAATTAAGCTAAAAATACTATTAATTGCGGTTAGGAGTGTTTGTCGTCACGCCAAGACCGGCGTTCCACTGCTTAAACTGGATACTCCCGCACGAAATGGGAATGCTGTGCTCAATAAGGCTGACGCATGCCATACTTGATTCAGCATCAATGCTGTACGTTCACGGCTTAATATTTGTATTCATGTCGCATTGGAAAGGAGTAGACACTGCTTCTTAATGTGTGGTTAATGGGCTGTTCAATTCGCATCTCCCCTAGTTATTCTACATTCTGCCAGGTTCGGCTCAAGTCCTCCTTCCCATACAAGCCAACCGTGTCAGAGCAATTTCCAACCGCTATAAACTTCCCAATTCGACAAAACCACCATGCTGTCCTGCAACAAGATGTTCACCTTGTGCGCTGCCGCGACTATGATCGTGTCCAGCACCGCTCAGATTACCCCTAACCTTTTAGGCAGCTTAGTAAACGACAATGCAGTTCCCTCTGACTCCACTCCCACTGGCTTTGGTCCTGGCCTAAGTGTTGCTGCAACCGTTAACATCGGTGGCATTGGTGTCAGCGCTCAAGTTGTCACATACGGCGTTGGTACAGGAATAGAGCCTTGTGACGGTGTCGCTAGCGGTCGGAATCTTAGAGACAATTACAAGTGTAAACATGATCTTCTGAAAGACTATCTGAAGCCTCTGACATTACTTGGAGTCTACGAACCTGTTACCACGCCTGCTCTTAATGACAACTCTGGTACCCAGCAGGAGGTGGCGCAACTTCCGGCTGACAACGTTTCTGGCCGACCTTTTGGTCTCAGTTCCGTATCTTCTGGGAAGAATGGCCAGAATGGAGTCCAGACGCATTAAGCCTTGACTAGCAACGTCCCCTCAGCCCCTGGTTTACCCAGCAACAATGATGTCAAGCAATCCCCGGAGCAAACGAGGACGAGCTTACCAACTGAGATGGCCCCAATTGTGCGGGTGTAAGTACCTACGTTCATCCCAGGAACTCATTACATGTACTGCTTAAATGTTCTATTCTTTTCAAATAGGCTGTTTGCTTTCAGCAGAGTCGTGTTGTCGATTTACTGGATTAACGATCGGAAGTATACCACATGTATTCCCGTAACCAAAGCCTTTCCGCGTCGTCATCATTGTTCACGTAATAGTGTTGGGCCTTGCATCTTGTCTCTTCCATTGCTATCACCTTTGGTACCATTCATATTAGCGTTTTCTTCTTCATCACGATGTTGTGCCTGAGCGCAACGCTGCTGACGATACTTGTTCGTTGCCCGATAGGTAGTCAAGGGCGTACATCTGCTACCGTTCTTGTAGTTGGAAAAGATTGGAACTTGCGCTCGTATGATCACAAGATATTGCAACGATACAAATTCAATCGTGTTGTCTTAGCAAAGCTATTTCTGTGTTTTGTATCATATGTATCGCGATAGAAACGAGTATGAGTTTCTAGGACGGGTCCACATTGCCCTCCCCTAGGATCTGTCCCTCTGTAATATGCAACCAAAAATGAGTTTTGACTTAGACGTCGCCTAGGTGCTCTAAACCGTCGTCATGATGTTGCGCCATATATTCGTCAGCAAGGACAGGTACATCATCATGCGCCATGCTTTGCTAGCGGTTCTCACGAGCCTTCGACTCAGGAACCAATCTGTTTCCACTGTTTGTTTACCGAGTTTACAGCGGTGTTCACATATACTTTCAACTTCAAAACAATGTCGTGCTTGCCGACGTGCTCTAGTATTTTTTCTTCTCCGTGGCATTCATGCTGACGTCTTGAATACTTTGAGTCGTGAACCTCGAACATAACATCTAATTGTAAAATGCTTCTTCAGGAACGAGTACTCGCACAATTTCGTCACCGGAATGGCTTTACACAGCCCACCGTTAACTTGTCTCTCAAAGGCGTCCACTGACCCGAGACCATAGCGTAAATACTAAACGCTGAATTTTCGAGCGTACTCTTGTTTGCAGTATTCTGTAAAGTCGTGCTCGCTCCTTGCGTCCGACTTCTGGATGCATTCAATAAAGACTCGCTCGTAGTGCTGCTACATCTTTGTCATTGTAGCTAGATTGTGTTCACTAACATGTCCATCATCTGCACACTGCGCGAACACAACACTGCATCCTGCAGCAATGTTGGTATTTGTAGGCCGGTGAGCTGCCCATTGGGTGCTTTGCAAAATCAAATGTCAGAACGCTGTGCTAAAGCAAATCACAACTTACAGGCGACTGCAGATGAAATTGCAGAAGCACAATGAGTGCAAGACATGTTATTGTAGCACAATTACAAATACTAGCTGCTTCTTCGACCGCTTTGATGTTGCGAAAGATAAAAGAGTAGAATTGACGGCTGAAAAGCCAACACAAATACTGGCTGGCTTGGTTAACCCAGCCAGTTTTGTGTTGACTTGGCTGCCTACTACACATTTTCCACGAAGAGCAAAAAGGTCACGTATGACCAATCACAAGGACTGTTCGGGTTTTGGAATATCGAAAGCTGAATGGAACGTGGCGACCGACCGTTCCTGTTCCACGACAATAGGTCGCCAATTGGTACTAAGTTTGTATGTATATGACACGTTTTGTCTTGCAATATGTAGATGCTGAGACTCTGTGAATTGATGTCGTGCATCAGATGCGGGTCATATCTTTCGATATTTGCAGTGCGTTTGAGATTGCGTTAGAGTATGACGGATTTAATGGTGAGTCTTCATCTTTTCTCCAGATGTTTATGGTCGGTTGCATTCTCGTCCACGTATGAAGTTGATCAAGATACTGACTAGGATGTTGCGGTACGACATCACATTGCGTGCGCTGACACATAGCGCAGCACTGTACTGGGTTGATGTACGTGGTGCCAAGACATTTTCATTATATTGACAGGTGTTTTGATTGGTAGCTGACCCATACTATTGATGCTTTTTACAAGGACCAGTACCACAACGCCTTTGGGATGGCAAACCTTGTTTCCACCACTAGCTGGAGGCTTCGTATGCAGATCTGAAGACGATATTTTGGTGAGATCGATAAGCTGCTTTCGTTACGAGAAGGCACGCTTCCTCCACCCCACTTTGCGGCCTCTGTATTTCAACTCGTAAGGTGGAACTTCCAACTGCTAGCATTCTGCTGTGAAAGCGAGATACGGATCAATCTTGCTCCTTGCGCATTCACTGCTCAGATCCTAAATCTGTTGCTGTTTTCTTAAGAAAGCGGTGGACGATGGAGTTTCGATTGGCTACAAGATCTGCTGATTGCTGTCAAGTAGCTTTGATATCTCGACCAGAAAATGCAGACCAGTAGGTGTCGTTACTGCCAATATCTAACACAATCTCCATACCAATTTCAACTTCACTGGTAACAGGCGTAGCCTGAACGCGATTCCAGTATGTCGCTTCATGAGTTCTTGCATCTTGATAAACATCTTCAACCTGCTTTAGACAGATGTGCCTTGGAATAGCTATATTTACATGAGTACAGAAAATTTACAACAGCATATAGTCATTCGAAGCGATTGAAAAGCAAGGCAGCATGAATCGCCTTTAGCTCAACACAAATTAATACAGTCAATCAAACGAATGACTGTATTACCACTTCGGCCTTATTTTAAAAGAATAGAACATTTAAGCAGTAGTAAAATAGTTCCTGGAATAAACTTAGGTGCAGCATTGGGTCAGAAAGGTATTCAGTCTTCTCCGTCTGCTCATTAAGACCATTGTTGTCAGGTGGTTTGCCAGTGGCGCCGTCAGTCTAATTTTGATATGACTCGCCTATATTCTGGCCACCACCATTAGCAGGTGGATAAGGAATTGCGTCAGCATTGTTGTCCTTTGTGGTTTGAGATGAGTCGCCTCCATTCTGGCCACCACCGTTGGCAGGTGGATAAGGAGTTGCGTTGTTGCCATTCGGGGTCGGAGGTGAGTCGCTTCCATTCTGGCCACCACCGTTGGCAGGTGGATAAGGAGTTGCGTTGTTGTCATTCGGGGTCGGAGGTGAGTCGCCTCCATTCTGGCCACCACCGTTGGCAGGTGGACAAGGAGTTGCGTTGTTGTCATTCGAGGTTGTAGGTGAGTCGCCTCCATTCTGGCCACCACCGTTGGCAGGTGGATAAGGAGTTGCGTTGTTGCCATTCGGGGTCGGAGGTGAGTCGCCTCCATTCTGGCCACCACCGTTGGCAGGTGGACAAGGAGTTGCGTTTTGCCATTCGGGGTTGGAGGTGAGTCGCCTCCATTCTGGCCACCACCGTTGGCAGGTGGACAAGGAGTTGCGTCAGCATTGTTGTCATTTGGGAGTTGAAGTGCATCGGTTTCCTCCTGGCTATCGTTGTTGACAAGTTGAGTAGGGTCGCCAGTGATGTTGGTAGTCGGGATAATAGGTAGTTCCTCATTGTTCTGGTTAACATTGTTGTCACCTGGAATACGATTAACGTCAGTACCTTGCGAAGACGACAGCGGTTTGGGGCATGGGGCGCCGGTAATGTAGTCTGCACCACCAGTACCAAGGTAAGGACCAGCATCCACACCAATGTTACCGATGTTGAGTCTTGCATCAGCATCAAGTAGGGAAGATAGTCATTTTGAGCGCCTTTGTTTTGGGGAGAACGCATGCCGCCGACGTTGACGCCTAGATCAACATCAAGTAGGGGACCATAGCCAGTTTGAGTGCTTTCGTTGTCAGGGCATGGAATGTTAGTTTTTTTGTTATTGTCTCTAAAGCCACGTGATTAACAACAGCAGCAACGTCAGCCGCGTTGGTATAGGAGCTCGCCTTCTCGTAATCGGAGGTCTGGGGGATCGTCTGAGCAATGCTGGACATGACCATAGTCGCGGTAGCGCACGTGGTGAGCATCTTGTTGCAGGAAAGCATGTTGAGCAGGAAAGTAGGTTGCGCGTGGATCTTCCGTCGAAGAAATGAATGGACTTGGGCTGAGCTGGCTGAAAGTGCATCGAGCTGAAAAGCGATTCGAATCCTTTTTGATAAGGGTGTATTAACTTTGTAAATGCAGATGTCGAGTCACGAACGTACTGCATTGTTGCTGAAGCAAGTATGGCATGCATCAAATCTTACAATATGCACAGCATTCCTTTCTCGAGGGACGATGGTATTAATACTTCAAATAGGTGAGTTTCTGATCATATGATTCATGCTAGCTTTAGTCTTGTACAATCGTCGGGTTGCCAACTTTTTGGAATGTACAAAGCACGAGGTGCTAAAACCTACTTCAAGTTGATATGTTACGTACCATTACAATTGAAGCAGGTAGGTTGTAGCAAGTAAACACCGTTTACTCTTAATTAATACGTGCAAATGCTGCTATTCACTTGGTCTTGTCATTTACAAAATCACTTGCTCGCTATACATCAAACAAATTGCTTGTACGATGTCGAGCTTACACTTGACTCTTCTGCTAGCTTTGACTAAGGGTGATTGATTGATAATCGGCAGTGCCAAGATTCCTTTGAGAGACAAAGTTCCCATCGCTGGTGGTGCTCGAACATGCAATCAGAAAGAGCTGTTATGTCGCATGAGTTTGTCAATCGTTGCAGCATTTAGACGATACGACTTAAGCTCTCAGGATTTGTCTTCAGGCACAGTAATAAGACCCTGGTACAAGCAGTCCCTGTGCAGACGTCGACTAAGCCAAATCTTTGATGCCTAGTTCGAGTAAAGTTAGTCATGCGCTTTATTCGTCGCTAAATAGCGTGAATCTCCTGTAGCACCACTGCGTACAATCAGGTTGCTAATTCTCGTCATTGCATTGGAACGAAACGGAGAGAGGCTGTTTCATGCATATTCGACAGATTTGCTCGATTGACCGACACATACGGAACAATTCCTCACGTGCTTCTCTCATGAGGGCAGGGTTGTATTGTGTTGTGGTGACGTAGATACATATAGTTCGTTAATGGTAGTTGTTACGCGACAAAAAGTGCCTACGTCTTTTGGTGTTGCATCGCGTCAAATTTTCCATAGTGTCCGGTTGTTGCAATGGCAGTTCTATATATTCAGAAAAGTACGTGCGATCATATGGCGTGTAAGATCAGTCGTGGTGGCTGGCGTCTTAGGCTGAGACGGCCGCTTTACGATGTCGTATCATCGCCACGTTGACAAAACGTCATGCCAGCTAGTGATTGACCCCAGTCTTACCTCGCTTATTATGAACGTTCCACTTCCATTTGGCGTTTGCACTATATCAATATCGCCTTGCTTGCCACTTGGAAATAGGCCATGGAGTGACTTGATATTTGTGTTAAAACGTGTTATATACAAAAATGAGATTAGATTATTTGATAGACAAATGTGTAAGCGACTATTAACGAAATTACCTATTTGTACCTAATACTAAATTCGAATGCAGTCAAATCGGATGAATACCCATTTTTCTGTTCTTTCGTGAAACATAATATTGTGTGGCGCACCCAACAGTATTTGCCGTCTCATCATGCGCGAGGTGTTTGAAGCATTCTTGACGGATCCGATTCGTGTAAACGAGGACGTCTTTGGACTGTGGCTAGAGGGCCACAATGCAGGTGACTCATTGGCTGCTCGTCTGCGTCTTTCGTCTTCCGTGTCAATGCCTTTTTTGGGTGGAAACGCGGCCGCTAAACTGCGTGAGCTGCTCTGGAGAGACACTGTTGATCAATATCGTCTCTATGATAAATTAGAACACTACATGTCACAACCAAATCTGTTCCGTTCTCAACTACTTTTTCAAATTCCACCATCTCAAAAGTACTATATGGTAGAACGCTATTACATGCGGGATGCCGACGTAGACCGCTGGTTGCTGGGCAAGAAACTTTCTGGGAGACTGGAGAAAGACCTGGACGATGTGGCAGAATGCTCTGGCCGGACGTTAAAATGCTGTCGTCGACACGTGGAAAACCTTCGAAGAGTTTATTCTGTTGTTGAGGAACGCAACTTTCATGGTCTTTTGTGTCATGCTGTTAGTGAGCACTTTTTACTCTCAGAGCAGCTTGCTAGCAAGTATGCATGTCTACTGTTTATCATGCACACGAGATTTCAAGTACATCCTCAACATTCAGACACAGGGTTTTTAACGTGGCTTGATTTACGTTTTGTCGCTGTATTGCTCATGACGCATTGGCTTCCGCAACAGAAGAGACTATCAAAGCTCATGTTTCCTAACGGATCTATCTCCAAAGACCCAATTGCCGATACTGTTGTTGATAATGGTGCCGAGATTGCGCTGCGCTCTCCACACACCGGTGAATGGCCTGCAATTGTTTTTTTGCAGGAAAAATTGCAGCCAACGAGCGTATGGGAGACGGTTGGGTTGGATATAAGTCATCCCTTTGCTAACTGTTTGCGCGATCTTAAAGCCCACCTCATTAACGACAATGACACTCTAAGAGTGCTCAGGGACGAAATATTGGCTCGCATGCGATCATGGACTACTGGAACAGGAGCGCTACGTGAAAGCGCTAGCAGCCTAGACGAGTTGGAAAGCAAGATGTACCTAGTACTTCATGGGTTCTTAACCATTGGTGCTGGCCTGTCGCAGCCCAAAGAATTCCAACACCTACTGGAGCACTTGCTGACTCGAGTTGTACGTGTGTTGCACGACTGCAAGATTATGAAGGGACAGCTTGATGCACTGTTTAGTGCTATAGTTGATGCGTTGCCTGAGCTGAATGTGTGGTATCTTAACGGCCAGGAAACGCGCGGTCTACTGCTCTCTAGTTGGTACCGCTTTATCAGCGTTTGTCGAGCTATTGTACTGACGGTCTACGATCGCTATCATCCGTTTGCCGTCTCAACATACAAGCAAGCTTCGTTTGATGGTGCATCTGGGGAGTCGGCTACAACAAGCGCTTCAGCGACGTACAACCAGATGGTAATTGCATTTGAATCACAAACTCGTCCGTAGTATTTTGGAGCACCTTTTGACATTACAATCTGATATCGTATAGCTTAAAACGCAGCAGCAGCAGACGAGCTTTGATTGCTCGTGCTTTCAGTCAACTGAGTCTTGACCAATGCGTGCAAGAGCTACATCTCCTTCCGTTGGTTGACAAACGTGACGTGACTGTTGCACCTCAATACGCCGAGACGCTTTTTTTGTAGAGTTCTTCCTAGGTGACATTGTAAGAATCTTGGAGCAGCCTTCATTGAGCATTCATGTGATACGCAGTCGCTGCAGCCGATTGTGTGTTTTCGTTTGGCAAAGTGACCAAATCACATCGAATGATGGCAAAAAGCACTTGCTGCGAACTGTATTTCTATTGCAGACGAATGAATGAGATCAGTATTGTGAAAGTACGCTACATAGACACACAGGAACGGACGCAACAATGAAAAAATGGCAATAGTCCAACAGCTTGAACCTCAGAAACTTGTCAGAATTTGGGTCTGATTTTGACCAAAATCAGGCAAAAGATTCCGTGGACAGACGTTTTAGTAACTTAATTTAGTGCGTGTGTGGGTGGATCGATCTATTGACTTACAAGCAAAACGGACTTGGAAGGGATAAGAAAAGAGAAGTCGGAAATAGTCGTAAATACCCAATCAATGGGTTGTTGTTTATCCCGAGAAGATGATCGCTTTAATGGAGGCAGTGAGGTACTATTGCCTAAAGGTCGAAACACAAACAACAAGCGAGTGTACGTCATGTGTGTCTTTTCTTAGATTGACAAGATAACAAGCAGTGAAAGATCTGGTTAAGTGTGACGATTCTCATTAAAACGTGTTTTTTGTCTGCTGTAGAAACAAATTGGAAGACGGGGATCTTGCTAAGAAAAAAAAGAGTACAAATGGTAGCAGCAACTACAAATCACCGTCAGCTATTGTTGCAGCCAGAGACGCCGCGGTGAAGGTACCAGTCAAGTCGCAGCTGGCTAAGAACGTTGTCGAGAACGTCGACCTGCTGCGACATAAACCACCGACACCAAGTGTAGATGGAAATGTGGTGGCAGTGGCGTTTACTTCTATTCTCGGAAAGACTAAAGATGTTGACAATGACAGCAATGACGATAAGAGCGATGACGACAAGATTGGAAATGACAAGGAAGATGACAATGATAAAGCCATGGAAAACACCAAGATATCCAAGCCCAAGAAGATTGTTTCAACGAAGAAGTCGAAGAAGAAACGAAAGGTGCGTTGTTACTGTCAATCAATAAATTTGTTGTCAAAGTCGAAGCTAAGTCTTGGCATATCTGTGGGCTTGTAGAAAGGAAAGAAATGAACGCCCTCGCTATTACAGCTATGAGCCCGGCCATCATTGCAGCGTCTCTTCATTCACGACGCTGATACTTGGAGAGAGAGTAGTAGTTTGTTCACAATTTGAGGAAATCGAATACGACTGACCGACCGACCGTCCAACATGGCACTTACTACCTCCCTTTCGAGCTCTGGGTTCAAGCTCCTTGTGTTGTGCAACAATGAGCAATTCTAACTAAGAGACAAACGTAGGCGCTTTTTGCGCTTTTGCAAAAAGATTCCGTCCTCTTCATAGGTTCTTCCAGGTGCAGTAACTAAGGTGTCTCGTGCTGATTGTGCAGGACTGTTGCCGCAATTTGCGTTTTCCGAGTGCTGCCGCTCAGCCATCTGCATCAGGTCACTAGCGATCTCACCCAATTCTTTGTTATCCCGTTGCAACTTGTCTTTCTCTTGCCGCAAAGCCGCAATTTGCTCGCTATGAGCATGGAGCTGGTTACGAAGCTGAGTGTCTGCCTTTTGCACTTGTTCTGTTTTACTCTGAAGTACAGCCTTCTCGGTCTCAAGCCGTGTGATCTTTGCCTGCAATTCATCGTCATGTCTAACCACATTTTCTTGAGAAACCAACATTTGCTGAGCATTGTCATGCAGCTTCTTCTGGAGCTCCTGTACTTGCTTCTGAGCCATCTTTTCCGTGCCGCGCAGAGTTGCCAATTCTTCACAAATCTCGGCCATTTTTTGTTCGTAGTGCTCTGTCAGCTCTCGCTGAACGTGCTCCACTGATGCTGCGCGCTGCTCGTCTTTGCTGGCGAAGCGATGCTGCAAGTGCGCGACAGACTGGGCTAGTACCGTCTCAGTCTTTTGGTAGCTGGCAACTTGCTCCTCTAATTTCTTCACTCGTTCTTGGGCTAATACTAGTGTCTGCTGCTGCTTCTCAAACGACTTTTGAAGCTTCAGCCGAACGGCTTTTTCCACGTCCAGTATCGCCTGTAGTTTTTCTAGCTTTACGTCTTCACGCTTCATACTTCCCAGCGTCTGTTTGTTTTCTTGTAGTACGGCATCCAATCGCTTCTGAACAGCTTCAAGCTGCCTTACCAAATTCTTTCGCTCCCGTTCAAGGCCTACAACTTCGTAGCGTCTCTCCACTAGCTCTTTCCTAGCTTCCAATAGCTCTGTATCTACCGCTAATTTCGCTTCGTGCTTAGCTTGTGCAAGTTTTACCTTCATCTGAGCTGCTGAGAATCTTACAACAAACCCATCGTCGATACGTTCATCAATTTTATCGACCGCGTCATTCTCAATATTCCTAACACGTTGAATACAACAAGATACCAATTGGTTCATTCTGCCAATGTCTTCCGTATCAGCGTCTTTTACTTGTGATTTAGACGCTTTGAGACCGTTCTCTTGAGTGTTCATTTATAAGTATTATTACTAATATTATTATTATTATTATTATTATTATTATTATTTGAATGGGTTCATTATATTTTAGAACCAAACGAATGAATTGATTTATCTTCTTGAGTAATTTATCAAGTTGCTTCTTTTATTTATAACCTATAAGCTCTGGTTTTTATTTGCTCACAGTAAATACGAATTCCAACATTGTGCCATGTATATGGTACATTTATCCACAATGGCCCAATCCCTGATACGATGACGCGCTGGTGGAGTATGACGTCTCGTGCCTTACGTATGGGCTCTATGGGTAGTCTACTACCTCTATTAACAGTATCAGGTGCTTGCTCTTTTGCTGATCGTCATGACGCCCTCACAGCGCCACCGGAAACCTCCAAGGCATCGTCTTCTGACTGTGTCTCGACCACTGCATTACTGATCTTTCGAGGCATTGGAGCGGGTTTAGCCTGGACAATCAGTGTAGACGGGTATGAGCTAGCCAGTATGACAGATGATCAGTGGAAAAAACGTATGGCATCATGTCGAGGCTCTAGTATTGCGCGTGAAGCAGCAAGGTCGCTTGTACGCCTTAGTATACGCAACATGCTGGGCTTTGCCAGTTTCCTGGGTATTTTTGGCGGCATGAGCTGTGCATTGGAAAAAATGCGAGGCAAGAACGATTTGCTGAACCCGTTTGTTGGTGGATTTACAGCTGGTATGGCCATTTTACCGGGTGAGCTGCGTAATCCGCGTACGCTCGTGATGGCAGCGTTTCTTTGTGGTTCCGGATCGATGGCGCTACACCACTTTATACCGACTGGACACAACAAGAATGACAGTTTTCAAGTAAATGTGCAATAGTATCGAGTCAATTTCGATGACGCAGGAGCTGGTGGTCGACAAGTACATTTGCGTTATTAACAATTGTATCAGTGGTGTAGTAGGCAATGTCAGTGTTTGAGACGAAAGTTTAGTAAGTGATGCCAGTATTTGAGACAAAAGTGGAGAGGCAGTTAAATTGAGCAGGATGCGTGTGGTCGGACACCTTATATATTGTCAACATGGAAGCATAAAGGAAGCAAAAATTGATGCGTGGTGCTGCAGTATCCAAACGTTCACAATCAGGCTTTCTTTCCCTGACAGCCGAGCTTTAGTCGATGAAAGCGCGTGTTCTGGCACACGACAATAGAAGATTATGTCCTTTGGAATTGCTAGAAAAGATAAGGACGAGACCTCCTTCGCTAATGTGTGCGAAGTGTAGAGATTGCGTCACATAGTTCCACCTCAAGCACGTGTAGAGTGACCAGCTTCAAACGAGGCTGGTGCTAAACGTCTACGGTTGGTTTTCATAGCACGTATCGGGTCAAGTTATCATTGTAACAATGTGTTCTGATGTTCTATACTTGTCTTTTTGGCTATCTTGACCAAGCACAGAAATGGTGTAATCTTCTCGTCGCATTGACGGGCAAACCGGTGCAATAACAACTTCATTACTACTGCTACGCTATTGCTCACAGTCTGTGCGTCGTAAATTGTAGTCATATATTGAGAATGCGCAAACGAATGTGCCGGATAACCTGTGAGCAACTGGGCAATGGAACAGTAGTTGTAGGTTCTTCAAGCAAAAAAAACACTTGTCACTTGAGATGTACAAGTGACAGTTGGTCCAGTCTCTCCTGTCCCAAGCAAGCTCGAAAAAAAAACATAACCGTGTCCACTTGTAAACAGGTAGCCCAAAGCCCAAGACCACAATACGCAATCGCTCACTTTTCTATTGCAGCCAAATGGTGATATTTTCTTGGGCATTGCGGCTATTTTCACTGCTGTCACTATCGCAATATGTGATCTCGTGTGGGCGTCAACTGGCTGAAACACCCCAACATTGGCAGACTGCCGACGCGGTTGTCGTGTCGCATCCACTCGCAAAAGATCAATGGAGTCTTTTTCGTAATCATGAGCAACTTCCACAAACGCTTCGTATCGTCGAACATGGTGCAGCTTCCGTTGCTGTCAACTTCAAATACTTCAATTTGTTGACCGGTGATAAGGTCATAGTGCGTGATCCAAACCACACTACGTCAATTACCATTACCACAGCAAACACCAGCATGCTCACGGAAACAACAGTACTCGACAAGTCGCCACATTCGGTGCTGCTGCGTACACACCCGTTCTTGGTAACAGGTGATACCGTGGTGGTTGAGTATTTCCCGAGTATTCCAACACTTATGCTGCCCATCGCGGCAGCCCTGCGCGACAATCCAGTTATAATTTTGGACTCGTATGCGTCTCTTAGCTACAGTTTCAGGTCTGGACTAATAAATGCTGGAGTTGACACCGAGAGCACGGTCGGAGCTGTTGATGAATCTAAAGAAGCCATTTGTTACCGCAATACACAACCCCAAATGTACGCCAAAGCTCGAGCAGTGGCACGCCTAATGATTCGCAATGAGGAGGAGCAACGTTCGGATATGTCGGCGCAAGTAGCGAGCTGGGTATTTTGTACGGGTTGGCTCGTTGGACGGGGCAATTACTTGATTACCAACCATCACTGCATAAAGGACGCAGCTGTAAGAACCAGACAAATTGGTAATACTGCTCACGATCGGAAGATCAGTGAGGCAGTCCGCTTGGGGGTCCTGTCCAGTGCTGCCAACCAATTCTCGCAAGTTAATAGTCCTCGACCAGACAGGACTCACCGTGTCGTGGAGGCCGTCGTGGGTTTCATGGCTGAGACTAAATGTTGTCGAGAGGTGGGATTCATGGAAAGGGTTGGCATTGTGGAGGCCACGCGAGTATCTGTGGTCGCCGAAAACCCGGAACTGGACTACGCTTTGGTGCGTGTGCTCACAAACGACTCAAAGACTGACTTATCGCAGCGCTACGGATACTTGCGCCTGCGCGCTACTGGTCCTATTAATAAAGAACACATTTATATTCCACAACATCCACGTGGGGAGCCCAAGGAGATTGCAGCAGAAAAGGATGGAAAACCCGCTGTAATGGAAGTGCTGCCAGTACATTCAATCACGTCTCTAGCATTCGTTCCTCGGGAAAGTTATTTAAGAGACATGGAGCCAACTGTGTGGTACAATGCCGATACAAAGCCTGGTTCATCTGGTTCACCAGTAATAGGTCGCAACGATAATGCGGTTGTGGCATTGCATCGTGCTGGGACGTCGGAACTCGCGCCATCAGCTTCTACGGATTTATTCAATGCCGGAGTACGCATTGACTTGATAGCACGTGACCTCCAGCGACGTCGTGTCTTGCCTAGAGATGCATTGGCTTCGTAAGTAGTAGCAACATTTGATCACGGTGTTGTTATAGTAATTTACCCTTTGCCTCTTAATTACGACAAGTACTTCGATGCTTTGTTAATAGACTTAGATTACTTACTACTTCAGATATGTTTTTTATTATAAATGTCTGCTTGGTCTTATTCATGACTTTATTTTAAATGACTACTCTACACATTTAATAAAGAGCGTTAAACGTAAATAAGATTCCTTATTGATAAACACGATTGGAGTAAGGCGACTATCAAATTGAGACAATATTATTAAAATGCAAAACCCTTTCATACAGCATATTCCGCGTATTCAGCACGATAATTACATGTTTGAGGCATTTCAACCAATCACTGATCTCTATCACACTATACTGCTCGTTGCTGTTGGCCACTTGAAGCGAGTATGAAGGCGGCATGTGCGGCAACGAGCAGAGCAAATAGTTCTACCTCTTCGACATTAGAAGATAGTGAACATGGTAGTGGAAATGCTACTCCATCTATTGATGTAATAACGACTTCAATTGGACCTTTAGAGACAACAGGACATTCGATTGAAGTCAAAAACACCGACTTGACGAGACGTCGCATCCAGCAACGCTCTAATTACTCGGTCAAAAAGAAGCGTGAGCTTATTGCTTTGGCTCAAATTGCAGGTGTACGTGAGGTCTGTAGAATAGAAGGTGTACCACGCCGTACACTTCGCCACTGGTTAGATGATGCCGAGAAGATTATTAGCTTTGAAGGTCCAGACTCACGAAAATCCATTGGACGTTCAGGACGTCGCGAGATTTTTCCATTTGGACAACAATTGACTGATTTTTTAGAGGAAGGAAGACGTCAAGGACAAGAAATGACGTCTTCTCATATGATTGGTTTTATTAGAAAGAACTATGGACAATGGCTAGAAGGATATTTAGCAGATAAGAAGAGTGCTGAGAGTGGACAAGCTGCTTTAACAAGACTTTGTCAGAGGTTTGTGGAAAGACGCGGACTTGTACAGGTTGATATCGGCACAATGCAGTCAAAAGCAATGACGACTATGGTAGTACCGGACACGAAGACTAATTCTCCTACAGTGCATCTTGATGGGGCTGTGACACGTTCTAGTGAGAGTACGTCTCATCATTGTACTGAAGACTTGGAGCATTCTAATTTGTACGAGTATGATTTGAAAGATGATGGACCTCTACTTTTTGGACTGGATATTGGCACGACCGCCATTAAGTGTGTTCTGGTAAAAGTCGATGGCGGCCAAGTTGCTGCCGTTGCCAATGTCTCTCTCAGTGATGTGATCGTACCTGCTGCATTAAGAAAAAAAGCGGTGGAAAATAAGATTGGCGTGCAAAATGTAGACCAGGTGGTGTTGGCAGTGCAGCACGCTGTAAATATGCTGCCGGAGATGGGAAGAAGACGAGTTACGTCGGTTGGTATCTGCGGCCAAATGCACGGAATTGTATGGTGGTGCAGTCGTGAAGTACATGAGGCAGCTGAACGCTTGTTGTCGATGGGAAGAAGTTTGGACCATGAAGAGGATGACGACTCTTACGAAACTGCGTGGAGTGAGCTAATAACGTGGCAGGATCAGCGCTGTACGACTACGTTCTTAGATAGCTGTCGGGAAAAGGTTGCTTATACTAAAGATACGGGCAAATTTGTACTGTCTAGCCGAATTGCTGCTGGCTACGGGCTAGCTTCATTTGCCTATACGTTAGAATACTCCCCGCGTACGTTAGTAGGAATGGATGCTTGCGGGACAATTCACGATTTAGTGGCTTTTATTTTGTGCGGCCACACACTTCCCAGCGAAACGTTCATGGACATTACCGATGCTCACAGTTGGGGTGGCTTTGATTTGCAAACCCAGACCTGGGACCCTAAGGTGCTGCGTGCGCTACAGATACCATCATCGATGCTGCCAGCTGTAAAGAAGCCGGGAACTTGCATTGGTCACATCTCTTCCGGGCTTTCTGGATTTGGGTTACCTGACAAGAAACCTGTGTATGTGCCGATGGGTGACCACCCATGTTCCGTGGTAGCTGCTTTGGCGCAGCGCCAGTCAGCTTTGACTAGTGACTCCAACATAACGTGTACGTTGTTTGCTGAAATGGATTGAGGAAACTTACGAGATACGCACTTGACGCACTTTGTGACTGACCTTGTTGCTGCACACGTGTGTCTGCTTGCTTGTGGTTGTAATAGTGGTAAATATAGGCACGTCAGCTCAGATGGCAATGGTGCTCACTCGTGCAGACGTTGCAAAATTGTCTTCTTGCTCGAAGCACACCTCAAATCATATGGATAAAACGGGTAACACAAGTTTTGAAGTAAGGCCGTTCGTATTCAAAGATCGCTTTTTGGGCGTAGCGGCCTCGCTTTCCGGGTCCGTTTGGCTTGCTGCCATCTTATCTTTCCATTCTAAGCTGCTCTCACCTAACAAACTAAAAATGCATGTGCAGCGGTAACATATTTGCTTGGCTCGTGCAGCAATGGCAGCAGTGGGCAGAGGAAATGGGACTCGCTCCAGCTCGTTGCGATCTGGATGAAGAGCAAGCGGTTCAACGTGAAGCTGGAGTCTACGCCCGGCTGATCGCGATGGGACTGCAGTGTCAGGATACCGACCTGACATTCGTGCCGACGCTTAACGGTGAGCGCGTGGATCCCAATGCTACCGGTAGCATACTAAATTTGCGGATGAACAATTGGAGTTTGGGCGATATCAGTGCCGCGCTGTCTCGTGGTCTTGTGGACAATCTCTTTGGCATGATCCCCACGGAGTTGCAGCCGCTGGTGCTCGTCCAACCGTACGTAGTAGGCTGCAATTGTTTCTCTCTGATTCTCACGTATCAACTGACTGTGTTTGCGAACAGGATAATTGGTACGGGCAATGCTCTTGTGCGCAACGAACTATTGCAACGTTTCTTATTGCGTTGTTTGGCTCAGCCCTCGCAACTAGAGCTGCAGACGGCTGCAGACGCAGCCGTGGGTGCGGCACTTACCCCCTCGCTCTTATCAGGGTCCTCAGTCGAGCCGAACATCTTAAGACCTTTATAAGGTTGTGAAATACCAGTCAAGTCAACGCAGTGCCAAGCTCAGCTTTCGCATCTACTTTGATTGACTTGTGGTGCCTTGTACAGATACATCTGTAGCGCCAAAGCTGCAGCCATGCGTCTCGGCCACATTTCAATATGGCCGTGACTGCCACAAGCCTCATCATGTTCGCCATTGCAAGGTCATCATCAACAAGAATTTGGTCGTATTTTGCAGCCAACGTTTTCGTGACCGTATTTGCGTTTACCACGTCGCGGTCATCAACACATTACCGATCGCACTTCTGGCCTAAAGTCATGCAGAACCATTTGCATATGCACTTAAAGGTGCTGCAGACCAGCTTTGAGCTTCGCAAAGGCTTGCAGCCATACACTAAAGAAATTGAAATGCAGTACATGATGGGTATAAGACAATCACCGCATGAACGTCAGTGTTAATCAAGCTATGACGCTATTATCAGTAGTTAATTGAGACGACATCGAGTAGATGAAGTGGAGACACACGCAGATGTGCTTCGTCAACATGACACTACTGCTTATTTTCGAGCCAACTGGGAATTGTTGTATGAGCTGAGTCAATATGTGCAGTTACCGAAGTGCAGCGCGGATCCTTCGCATTGATCGCATACCGTTGCGTCCTTTATGTAATTCAACGACATCATTTCTTGCAGAAGAGGATAGAAACAACGTCCAGCTAGCTAAACCTCTAGTCTATCTGTATCTTACAAAGTGCTTGGTATTATTTGATTCCAATAGAAGATTGAACAGGACTAGAGATGCACGAATGATGTCGAAACAATAATAAATGTCCAGCATGTCGTTCATTTGACGCATTGATGCTGGATACACAAATGAATGCATGAAATGGCTCCATGCAGGCATTAAACTACCCATACTTACTAAAAGATTACGTCATCATTGTTTAGGTTGTTGGTAAATATACTTTCTTGCCTAGGACCAGTCAGTATAGTTAGAAAAGCTACTTTTCAATGTCCTCAATGCAGTTATCGTTACTTAAGTATTTGGATCTACTGCAATTCGATTTTCACTGAAGAACAAAAAACAAATGAATTGCACGTTAAGAGCCAGTAAATGGCCTGACGTTTGTTTTCTACCACCTACTAAATCTAGAACATTCTTTACCATGATGTTAAGGTAAAGTATACAAAATATACTTGCCAATCAGATGTCATCCCTCCCGAGAGCCGTTTCAGTGCAACCCAAGAGGTCAAATTAACAAAGCCATGTGGCCACTCGTTTTGCAATTCATTTGCAATTCCTTTGCAATTCATTTGCAATTCAGTAGAAAAAAACGCGAGGAAAAGCCGCGTGGCACGAGAGGGAGAATTTAAGAATCGCGCGTTTAGTAAAGCGTTTGAACGGCGTCAATTGATTCATTCCCCTCAGTGAAACAGGAATCTGAGTGACTTTTTTCATTCTATTTGAATAGTAATTACATTGAAGAGAAAGAGTCGTAGCTAGGACAACAGACAGACAGGGGAGTTACTAAATAGGACAAGTCTCATTGCTATATACTCAATTAGCTGCAACGACACACACACACACATACACATACAACACTCTCGCTACTACTAGACAAGCACCTATACCCATTATATTTGCTTGTTGTTTTCCAGTGCTTTCTACTCATTAATCGTATTTTATTACACGTTACTTTGCCTCTGGTAAGTAAAATATTATTCAGAATATTACTTTGGGGGGGATGGAGAATATAACTGACGTTTTCTTATCGTGATTGATATATTTTACAGTCAAGAGTGGTATTATACTCCAAACACCAAACCTCTTCCTTTGACTGTATACAGAGCAAGCAAGCACTTTAAAATTACCAGAAAGAACATGACAAGCGATTGGATTTTTACTGATGAAGAAATGCGCGCGACGCCTTCGATGCGTGATGGCATGAAGTACACGGACGAACTGATTCTACGTCGTAATGCCTGTAACTTTGTTGAGAAGATGGCAAAAGCACTGGACTTGCCAAAACTCGCACAAATTAGTGCCAACAATTTTCTACATCGCTTTTACATGCGGCAGTCATTTGTGCGGTACGACAAGTTTCTTGTTGCAGCTGCGTGCGTGTTGCTTGGCTCTAAAGCAGAAGAAAGTCCAAAGAAGATTGGCTATGTGGCCAAGGAATATATTGCTGTACGCAAGATTGTGGAGAAAGATCAGATATTTGCGATACAAAAGCACGAACCTCAACTTATTGCAAGCAAGATCATATCGATGGAGGGCGTTGTGTTGCACAATTTGTCATACGAACTGACACTGTCGCACCCGTACAAGTACATTAACGAAAAGGTAGACAAGGTAGTGCGCCTTCAGCAGTTAAATGATCAGGAGTCTAAGGTCATGAGCAGCAAGATCAAGCAAGTGGCATGGTCATTTTTAAATGACAGTGCCTACACGACGGCGTGTTTGCGTCTAGAGTCAGTGGATCTGGCAGCTGGTGCAGTGTATCTAGCTGGACTCTACGAGAGTTACGTGCCGGAGGACCTGTGCACTGCTAGTGGCCAATCATGGTGGAGTGCGTTGTCGACCCCTCTTCATACCTTGCAAGGTATAGCCATGCTTGTGAACATTGTTCTCCTGTATATGGTGCTGGCAATGTTTAAAGAAAGCTATGTTCTGCCCCGTTTGTCTAGATGCGGCTCGCTACTTGCTCAACGCTTACACGGCGCCGTACATTAAAACGAACGTGCTTGCAGCTGGACTGTCGAAGCTAGTCTATTTGTTTTATCCGCCAAAGCTGGTTGAGAGCCCCGCGTCCTTCGCAGAGTTGAACGTTGGGGAGCAAGAACGCTCATCGCCCATGGTATCATCGCCAATGGACTCCGCTGCGTGCGTGACGTCCCCGGAGTGCGGCAACAGCCAAGGCCGGTCACCGTGTGACCACGACTTTGATCACGACGTCAAATCGCGCGTTAAACATAGCGAAGAAAGTCCCCGCGAGACAGCACTGGTTCCCGCGACACCCACATCGCTGTTGGACAATTTCCCTATTGCCAACGATAGATCAAGTGCTGACAAGTTGTCGGGAAGCAATGCAGCGATGCGCGCGGGGAGCAGCGGCAAAACGGCGCGCAAACGCGGTAACGACGTCGAAAACATGTTTTGTTCCGGAAAAAAGTTTAAGTACTGTTTGTAAGAGACGCTGTGACGCAAGAGAGGCGCGCGGTGGTGCATCTTTCGTCGGGCGTTCCACAAGCTGCCAAGCACTTTAAGAGTCAGGGACTCGACACGGCCATTTTGCCAGGCGGCGGATACGGATCGAGGCGACACGCATTTTTCCTCGACACTTTCTCGATAGCACACCGTTTGCTGGTTACGTAAGCAGCAATATTTCTCGAGACCTCCGCCATCAGTCTAGAAAAAGTAGAAAAGCGTTAAAAACTCGACAATAAAAACATATTTATACACGCACCGACCCTTTTGCAAAGTCATTGCAATTGGTAACACTAGAAATTTGGAATAAAGAGCAGAAATATCAAGCAGTATGATGACAACAAGCTAAACATTCTCAATGAAGGTCACTTCAATGTGTCTTTAAGTAACAATCATTCCTTCCATTATACTTGACGCTTAGCAGTCAAAACAACAGCTTCTAGCAACAGACACGGAAAGAATTCATGTTAAAGTTTAGTAAACACACGCCGTTAAGTAAGCGTCACATGCAAATAAAGAACATTTGTTACATACAAAACTAGAATACACATACTTTACATAATTTTACAATACTTTTTCATCAAATAGTGAGCAGAGTTATAAAAGCCCATACTAATTATTACACACCCATACAAATTTCCATACATTATCTTTATGACATTCACTTATCTTGTTCAAAACAAATTACAAACTGTTTTCCTTGTTCTGCACATATTTTTGAGCAATTCTTCCTCGTCAAAATTAATCGCAACCTAAATCGGTTTTATAAGATACTGATTGGTTGGGAAAATATCATGCGACAGCCTCACAAACAAAGCCAAAACTGGCCTCTTTACACAAATATACACAATTTAACGGTTTCTTAATATACCCAATCAATATTTCTAGTGCTCGGTCCAAATTATCGTAGTGTTGAAAGCATTACAATGAGCTTTTGTGGGATATAAATTGGATGTCATTGTACTCCATGGCAGTCTTTTGTCTAATGTGTTATTCCATTTAATATTGGTGTAGAAAGAGACAAAAGAACATTACACGAATTACAGCATTAAATTGCTCCATCTTTGTATACAATAATGAAGAGGATTGTAAAGATCCTATTGTAATAATTAGATATGTTTGATTGAAATTCTAACGCAAATTATCGTTTTGACGAGACAATCACACATTTTCGCAGTAAATTTGCGACATGATGCTTTTTAATCCCTCTATTTCATCCATAACATTTATGTAACAGTACACAAATCCTATAAACTGCAGTTAGTAAAGACTTTTGCTTGTATTTTATTTATTCCCAGGGTTTAAGTACCATCGTCTTGTCATTCTTTGTCTCTTCGTTTAGAAACGTGTTGGAATCTATCGACAATTTGTCTTCAATATCGCGAATACCCGGTACTGTCTCGCCCTTTTGAATAAGATCCATCACTTCCTTGAATGACTCTGGATATGAAGGTTGTGTCATTGTTACAGACGGAGAGATTGAGCTTATTGCGGACCTCAACATCTTTTCTCCTTCCTCGTCGCTAGCATTATTCGCTGAAAAAGATGACACAGCCTTTGTCTCACTAACATCCATGTTAGTGACATTGCCGACGCTGGTTTGCTGCTCCAGTCGTGCCATAAACGCATCGAGACTCGTGGATGTCGAATTCGATAATGCGTTGTCACCGTTGAGCACACTATTGTGGCTTTGCGCTGTTACAGGCATCTCCTGGGTACTTGAGACAGTGCTACAAGTCTTGATGGTGGTCATCAAGACTTGTGCATTCTTCTTGTCTTGCTGAGAAAAATACTCGTCCAGACTGGCATGTGCAATTTCTTCGAGAGACAGGTTTGAACAAGCATTCGGACTTGAGAGAGATTGAAGAGCTTTGAGCACTGCACGCAAGATTGCAATGTTCTCATCATATGCACCGGTCGTTTTGCTTGCCGTGTGCCATTTCCACTCCATATTGAGACCTGATGTTTCAAACCCAATCGACTTGAGAAGTTCTTCGTGATGCTGCATGACACACAGGTGTTAGTACCAACGTTTCTTGTTTCACAAATTGTGTTAGATAATAATTACCTTAAGAGGCTCGATTTTTTGCTTAAAGTTTGCATTGCCAGTAGCAATACGCCGATAACGGGGTACATCGGGGTTCTATAGCAAACGATCCACGCGGTCAATTGCAAAACAGACACAATCGAACGATCAAATGCTCAAATTGCCGTTACCTCGATTAGATTCTTGACGTACATACTGAGGATGCCTGCTGCCAACTTGAGCTGTTCCAGCGAGTTCTGCATAGCAAGATGTAGACCTTACGTCATCGTACAACGAAAGTGCATACAACGCATTCAAACTTACCTCAGTTCGTAGCATCTTTAATGCTTTCTGCATACGCTCGGCCGTGGACATCACCTGTGAGACCACTGCAGGGTGTGTATCTGTCGCTGTTGAGAGAGTTTTCTTCTCAGTCGTTAGAACACTCACTGTCTTTCCATCTCCACCATTTTTCCCCGTGTCAATTGAATCCGAGTCACTCCCACCCAACGTCTTCTTTGCAAGCAAAAGAGCCTTAAGCGTTGATATTTCAGCCTTCAGCTCAGCTATGGATTGCGCATTGCCCTGCTCCGCAATTGAGCTGGAAATTTGGGCACTCAGCATTGTCTTGTTCTGCCACTCACGCTCTTTTGCGTCCAACGACGAGCTTAACTTGGCTAATTCTTTCGTCTGTTTCTCAATAGCAGCTGATATACCTGACAGCTCTGCAAGCAGTGCTTCATCTTTCTTGTCTTCCTTTTCTTTTTCCTCCTGCGCTTTGGCTGCTTCAATTAGAGACGGCATTGGTCGCTACAACATCAGTGTAGCAATTTTAATCAGACACATCACCAATAAAATCCCCTTTGTTCAATAGCTGAACGTACTAGCCACGGGATGTATCCCAATTGCACTGCGTAGTTCCATATAAACGTGAGGATTGAAGCCGCACCAACAAGCGATGACACTGTATAAAGCACTCGAACGTAGGCAGGAGGATATCGTGCTCGATGATGCATCATTGGAGGCATGGACGTAGATGGCGTCATCATCATGGTCGGATTATATGGTTGTTGTTGTTGCGTTTGCAGTGTCGCTTGATCCGTAGAGGACTCTTCTTTCTTACCATTATGATAGCGTTCAATCGCTTCTTGTATCTCTTCTTTAGTCATTCCTTTTCCTTCTAGAAACGTCATACGCTCTGATATTGGCGTTGACTGCAGCAGAACAAGACACATGATCAAAAGCATAAGAAGAGAATGAACACAAAGGACGAGACTATGAGATAGAACACGCACTTGAACGCTTGGATGCTGAAGAAACTTGAGTCCACTAACGACTTGATCCTCACGCATACCAAACAAACGAATGAATGAATGAAGGACAAAGAGATCTCAATCGATGAATTAGGAACCTCCGAATTAACAAGTGAGTAATTCGGACCTTGTAATTCGGAGTTTCAAAACTTCATGTTACGCCATAGCCAATCAGTCAAGGTATTCAGTCATATTTGACTCTCTAGTAAAATAAGCTCCAAATCAAATGGCGTCTCAGGTAAAGCGAGTAAAGAAGAATGAAGGGCAAGATACAGCGGATAACACTGATTCAATGGTATTTGAAAGACGTAATCCATCGCATATTAAAAACAAAATGAAGCGTCAACTTGTCATGCAGAAATATCGAAAGGAAAAGAAAGAGGCCAAGAAAGCGGCGCAGCTCAAACGTCGACGTGAAGCTGAGGAAATGGGCGAAGAAGCACCAGCTAAAATGGAGCCACGAACAATTGATAATACACGTGAGAAAGAAGTGACGATGGTTAGTCATGAAGGTGACGAGGAAATTGATGGTGATGAGCATGATGACGAGTTTGCAAGGATCTTTGCCAATGAAGAAACACCAAAGCTTATGATTACAACGCGTCCATTTCCATCTGGTGATCTCTATCACTTTGTTAAAGATCTCATGGATCTAGTACCTAATTCATTCTACTACAAACGAGGTACATTTGATATTAAAGAGATTGTACAGTTTGCAAGTAACAAAGAGTTTACGCACTTGATTGTGCTCTCAGAGAAAAGCAAGATCTGCAATGGGTACGTATTAGGAACACCTTCAATTGATGATGCAGTAGTGATTGTATAATGATGGATGCATTGATACTGACTCAACTCTACCTCCTGTTGTTGCAATATGTAGCATGCTCGTGAGTCGTTTGCCCGAGGGTCCGACAGCATTTTTCAAGGTATCAAACGTCAAGTTGACAGCTCACATTAAGGAACGCGGTCGACGCACGAATCACCAGCCGGAGCTGATTCTTAACAACTTTTCGACGCGTCTAGGCCACCGTGTGGGCCGATTCCTGGGCTCGCTGTTTGAACATCAGCCTGAATTTGAGGGTCATCAGGTCGTGACGTTTCACAACCAGCGCGATTTTATCTTTGTCCGACATCATCGCTACACATTTGAGAACGAGAAGAAGGCACGTTTGCAGGAGATTGGGCCACGCTTTACAATGAAGCTGCGTTGGCTGCAAGAAGGTACATTCGACACCAAATTTGGCGAATACGAGTGGATTCACAAGCAGCATCAGCTCGACACGTCACGCCGAAAATTCCATCTCTAAGCAGGGTAGTATCTTCCGTCTACTTGATTGTTAAACTATGCAATGGATTTTGCACATTTGCATCATTGCGTCACTCATTCAAAGAGCTGTATCGTCAATTATGATGCAACTAAAACATATGACAATTGGCAATCTCATCCGTGCCACCCATTTTATTCGGATCAAAGGTGCTGCTACACAAACAGACATGATTAATATCATTCCATTGCCAAGTGGATGGTTGCTAACAGTACCAGATGCTCCTAAGATGCTACAATTGTCTATGTCGTATCTGACCACTCTCTCTAAGTACGTCTCTTATCTATACATCCTCATAAGTTGATGTACTCGACAGATATCAAGTAGACACACAAAGTAAGTAGCAAAGCCATTGACCTGTTTCAGCCTGTTTCAAGTAGTTCCAAAAGCGCTACGTGCGTGTGTGCATCAAAGCAAGTTGCTAAACCAATCGTGTAATCTCATCCAATTCCTTAACTCATTCTAGCCATATCATATCATATATAATATGTATACCACTAGTCTTTATCATAGAGAATTGAATATCTATGTCACTGTCTGCTTTCAATGCAGCAGTTTTTCCGTGTCTTCTGTTGCAGATTTATTCGTTCGTCGCTTCCATCAAGTACGCAATCAAATCACGACGTTCTTGTGGCTTCTTCAATCCAGCAAACACCATTTTCGTACCCTTAATGTACTTCTTTGGTGCTAAAAGATACTCAAATAGAGTTTCATCCGTCCACGTGACACCTGAATTCTTGTTCGCAGCCGAGTACGAATACCCTTCTGCCTGACCAGATTGACGATTAATCATACCATGTAGATTCGGTCCTTGTTTGTGAGCACCACCTGCATTCGTCGTGTGACATTGAGCGCATTTGGTCTTAAAGATCTTGGCACCTTTTACAGCATCACCTTTTCCACCAGCAACATCAACCATTATCTTCTAAAAATGTATGGGTAGGAGGGATGACACGTTACGAGTATTTACTTAAGAGTGGAATTTCCTAAAGTGGCAGTCTTTTGAAAAACTGTGGTCACGAAGGCACACAAAAAACCTTATCAAACGAGGTTAAAACGCAACGTGCGGACGCGAAACGACGGAAAAACCGCCTTCTTTTTGGAAGCCACTGAGACATTGCCACAATTTGGTCAAAAAAAGAAACAAGTTGCATCTGATTTTTACCGTTATTGTAATTATTCGAGTACAAATTTGGCATTTGATTCGATTGAAGAGGGAAAAACAAGGTCATTTTTCACTGGATTGCATTGAGTGCATACAATACCTTGGATTCAGTATGTCGTCGTCAACTAGGTAACAATGCTGCTCCTGCTTCTCCTATTCTTCCTCTCTTTCGTTGTGACCTTTGACGTTAATTCTTCTTTATCTTTACGTATGATTTTGTTGTTTGTGTATTGTTCTTAGTCGATCTGTGACTACTGCACAAGACGATGAGTATTTTCCGTCTTTTTTAACGGCCCTTCAGTCAGCACCAAAGACTGATACGTCCAAGGAAAATGCTCCTCGTTCACGTTCTGAAACTGATTTGGTTGCGTCAAAGGGAAAACCTCGTTTGAACTTTGCAGAGAGTTTGTCGATGAATCCGAAAAAGCAACAGGGTGTACAAGTACCTGAGAATTCGCCATTTAGTTTTGGCGGTAATTATCAGGACAACTTGGGTGTTCGTCGACGCAAAAATGCATTATCTCAGTCTCTTGACAATGACAATGATACTGGGGATAAAGAGATGCTGCCTCCACCAACAATGTCGTTGTTGGATCCAGTCGGTTTTACAGCAGGATCTCAATGTCTAGACGACGGCGAGGCAGACATGGCGACAGCTGCTCGTCGTAGTGTTGCAGCACGGCCTTCGTACTACCCTATTGTTCACAATGATGAGTGGGGTCAGGACAAACAGTACTGGGTCACGGTATTTGGCTTCCCGTCGACTGCCAAGTCTTTTATTTTACACCAATTCCAAGCCGTGGGGGAGGTTGTGAATTATTGCAGTAGCACTGGTGGAAATTGGCTGCATCTGCGCTACTACACAAGACTACAGGCTGAAAAGGCGTTGGGCTATGATGGGCGCACACTTGCCAATAACATCATGGTCGGTGTCAAAAAGTGCTACCCGTCTGACAGGGAATCAAATGCACTCGACGAGACACCTGTGTCTAGCTACTTTGGTACGCATGCGCGACAGAGTCTCGGTTCTCGGAACCTAGAGGTGGATCCTAATGATGTCGACATCATGTTGCCTCCTAGACGCCGACAGGATATTTGCTCACGGCTTCTGGGTTTTCTATTTAATTGGTGACGTGGCTGTGGTCTTACGAAGAGGAAGAAAGATGTAACAGCGTAGCAGTTGTGAAATGGTACATGGGCAGAAAGTGGTTAGTATATTGGGGATGAAGCAAGCAATTCGGACATGGCCAAGTTTGCATTGAGCTTGTAAAAGCATATGTGTGCCGAAGCCCAGTTGTTTCGTCGGAAAATAATAGAATATACACAGCAGAAGTGAGTGATTAGTGGCAATTGGAGCACATCAAGCAAGAAGTGTTTTATATTGTCTCAGCTTATTATGCAGATTGACCGTCTACAGATACACTTCGTATACACACGAGGTTTACAGAGTTTTACATGCTTGTTGCTACATAATATATGCAGACGAATATTGTTGAAATGGCAATACTATGCCATTTCGTAGCTAGAAACCCTGCAGCATCTGATATCATCAGCTAACTCAGATCATGCGGTGCTGTCGCAGATTATTTACAACACTTATGAGAGAATTGTCTGACAGTAAAAGTGATGTTAAAAACATCATTCAAATATCAAGATTATCATTTTGACGTGTTACGTTCCGTATTTTCAGAATTTCCAAATATTTTCTTTCGTATCTTTTTTTTTTGCTTTGTTTAAACCGTTTTACTCGTCTTTTATGTATCAGCGATTCCAACTCATCATCTGACTTCACTTACAGTTTAGAATTCTAGACCATTTCTAAATCCTAAAATTCCATTGTCGCCGTTATGCTGCCGTCCATCGTCCCCCGTTTCCAGCAGAAGATCATGGAGCACCAGATTGTGGCCAAAAGTCCCAAGCTTACAGCCATGCTGGGCCATCCTGCGGGGCCCTTTACTGTCCACTTCTGGGCACCCACCATCAAGTGGGCCATCTCCATTGCCAACGTTGCCGATATGCGACGCTCGCCCGAAACTATTTCAGTGGCTCAGCAGACGGCTGTGACTGCTACTGGTCTCATTTGGTCACGCTACAGTACAGTCATTACACCTAAGAACTGGAACTTGTTTGCTGTCAATGTCTTTATGGCTGGCACGGGTCTCGTGCAGTTTTATCGCAAGTTCACATACGATCCAAAGCAGAATGAAGACGGAGTCGATTGAGTAGAGCAACAACCGTTTAGCACTGATCACAGTATAGTACAGTAGACGACTGACTTTTATGATTACTCATAGCTACAGTAACTGTTGCTTTCGAGCAGAGACGACCTATTGTTGGATGAAGTAATTAAATGATCATGTTTCAAGGTACCTTGTCCTTTGTTTGATTTTTGTATCATACTTTTGGTAGTAGCTCTTGACGCTGTCCTGGTATCATGTCGTTTGTTTAGTTCGGGTCAACAAATCTCTGTCTTAATGCCTGCAACTTATTCAAGCAGCTTTCAACTAGGAACTGCGTTGGCTTGTGCTGCACATCTTTGCTGTACAAGAACCAGTATGGACCAAAGTCTGAAGTCTGTAAAGCAAAACGGTTGAGCGGGGTATTGCAGTATTTGTGCATCACTTCACAGTAGCTGCTACCTTTTTTCAATCTATGTTCATTGACGTATAAAAGCCTGCAACTGATGAATAAAGTGCATTTACTTAGTAGAATCCTATAGCAATTGGCTACCTTCTAGATAACAATTTATCAATCCATCCGCCTCGAATGGACCTTTGCGTATGGTATCAATAGTTCTGGATACTTTTCATTAACGTAATTTGGATCTTCTATTTACCATAATCCAATAGTTTACTTTGAACCACGTGTAGATCTTCTTCATAAACTTTGGTGTATTGGGGTCCTTCATCTTCTCCGACATCTTGAAGCCTTTTGCCCAATCTGGCATCTTAACATTTTGAAGCCACTCTGGTATCTTAAAGTCTTTCAGGAACGCTCGCTCTTCGTCTTCCATTGTCATGCCTTCCTTTTGTAGGGACTTTTCGACAGAAGCATCGTTTTCTAGGGTGGAGCCAGACTGTGAATCGTCAAGCGACGTGATTGTTGGACTTGTGGTTTCTGTAACTTGTGGAGCAGCTTCAATGCTCATTAGTATGATAACCAACGCTAGTATGGAAAGGTAGGGATAATGCATGAAGTTTCTTCTACAACTTGTAATTCCAAATGAAGTCATGACGTTTGAACAAGTTTTGCACCACTTGAGCATTTGCACATCAAATGATTCATTATTCCAGTTATCATCGGTGTGTAATGCTATGGAGACTACAGGCAGTTTAGTCCATCACTCAAGAGCCACAACGCCCCAATGCAAGGCACGATGCGGCTTGATTATGTGTTGATGTCTGTCGCACACAGTGTCTTCAACGCATTTTGAAAGCAGCAAGCGTCAAGAAAAATGCGCTGTTTTTACCGGAAGTTTCTCGGCTTAGTGGCGTCTTTTGCGCCACGCTTCATCGCTTCGGTGGTCACACAGGTCAGTTCAAGGGCTGTGTGAGCGTTGCCAAGGTGATCTCTCTCGCCCCACTACATGCGCAGTCGCTAAGGCTACCGCGCTCTTCGGCTTAACGGGCCGCCCGAACGGACTGTGCACATACCATGGGAATCATAAAACCTTCCCACTTCTCAAGCAAATCGTGTCACCAAGTGCAAATTGCATCACAACTAGGGCAATCATTGTACCAGCTTCCCACGTTCGCTAGTACAATCGTCGACAACGCATCAATCTTGAACCACAGAATCTCTCTGAAAAAAGTGCCGTCATTAGCATTGCTTCTGAAAATACTAAGTTGGCACATTCTTCTTGTGTAAGATTGCGTAGGCGTTCCAATAGAGGAAGACCAAGGTTTAGCATCGCATCTTGCTTGTCAACCAATTTGCTTGCTGTTGCTACTAGTGGTGCTTGGAGGCGTTTGCGATATGTGACGGTAAAGGCGAAACGAAATTTATAATTGATGGGAACACAAAGGTTGTACTTCTTGAGGAAGCACCGTTTATATATTGGGTCAGCTTATGCACATGAATGAAAATGATCATTAACACATCGGATGGGTTTGAGAAGTGCATGCGACATCCATTCCATCGGTTCTTTAGCCGTGTTGTGTCTTTTTCCTAATTGTTAAAGTGCTAATGATACAATTTAATCAGGCCGTTTCTATCGTCTATGATCGTCATCAGGTATCTTGGTCTTGCTTTGGTAAGAAGAACTGATGCGTGCGTGTGTGTGTTCATCATACTTGCTTGCTTTTCATTCGGCTTGTGATGCGTGATATCACTAACCTAGGAAACAAACAAAATGTGTTTATATGATGGACTAGTAAAGTAAAGGATCAAGGCGATGCTTGTTTGTTGTTTATTTAGCTTATGAGACATTACTACTTAGTGTAGGCAAGATACTATTCGCTTGAGTAGCCACGTCAACTTTAGAAAAGGAGAAAACGTTTTCCATCTGATACCGTTTCAAGCTTCAGCAAAAAGTGACCGACCGACCTTATAATACAGCTGGAGTAGAAACTGGAGCTAAATAGTACCCATTTCCTATTATCCGTAAAATCTATGGATTTAATCAAATATAACCTTTTAACAAGAAATGCCTTTCAAAACCTTGTTCCTATTTTATCCAATCAAACCTCGTAATTTGTCTCCTCCACACATCGTCACATTCTTCCTAAAGTTCATGTTATTGACGACGCGTCGAGTGGTGCGCACGGCTGCTTCTGCTGCTGCAAGGACGCTGTACCCATCCACGTGTCGTCTTGCTAACACTGTAAAGATTCGGTGCACGTTTTCGTAGTGACAAGTCGAGTAATGTGGTTGACGGAAAGAAAAACTTCAAACTCTTTGCATCAAAGGGTGACAGTGACTCGGACTCAGATTCTAGCTCGGACTTCGATTCAGACTCAGACAGTAGTGACTCGGAGCCTGATAATGATGACGATAACGTGCGAGAAGTGGAAGAATTACTACCAATTGATGAAGAAGGTATTTCGACTGCTGAGCGACGGCGCCGTCTTGATGCATTTCTGAACCACAATGACGAGTTTTTTGATGAGGAGCGCTGGGGCGCCCAGGATGGCGAGAAGTGGTTTGGTTTTGATGGAAATATTGACGCTGTGACTGATGAAGGCGTTCCTACATGGCTACAGTCGGTGCGCAATATGATTACCGTCGAGGAAGAACGTGCTATTCGTGCAAAGTCGGCACGTATTGCTTTCCATGAAGCCCGCCACAAGATTGTACGTGTAAAAAAAGTGGATGAAAAGGGACGCGCTTACGGCACGGGTCGTCGTAAAACTAGCGTCGCTCGTGTGTGGATTAAACCCGCTGATCAGCCTTTTTAGTGGTCGCATCAAGGTAAATAAGAAGGATCTGGTGGACTATTTTGTGCGTGACACCCATCGCGAAGATGTACTTCAACCTTTTTCTGTAGTGGAGCAGATTGGTGGTTTTGACGTGTACTCTACGGTTAAGGGAGGAGGTATGACAGGTCAGGCTGGTGCGGTGCGTCATGGTATTGCTCGTGCGTTGGAGAACTTTGACCCGGAGTTCCGTCCGGCCCTTAAGAAAGCGGGGCTGATCACGCGTGATCCGCGTATGGTTGAGAGAAAGAAGGCTGGTCAGGCCAAGGCTCGTAAGAAATTCCAGTGGGTCAAGAGATAGATGCAATAGCAGCAGGGCTCTTGTTAGTAAAGATGCAATAAGATTGACGAGGTGAAGAAAAAGGAGAAGGAGAGATGTTGTGGCATTTGACTCAACACTTTACCCACTGCAGTTTGCCGATTGTGTCCATTTCCTTTTATTTCCATACATGCGTGAAGAAAACAGACACTACAGAGCGACGCAGCGATTGCTACGATTGTTGCCAAGCTCTTGTGTCCTGTTAACCTTTTTTCCTCTTACGATCTGATGCGCGCTACAGCGCCATGGATGCTTCAAGCTTCCTCAGCGCCTCCAACTCGTCTTCTTCCGCGCTGCCTACCACATTAATGTTAGACTCGACGGTATGGGTCGGCACATCTGGCAAGTTGTACTGAGCCATCGATGCAGGAAGCGTCGATGGAGCAGTTGGGATAGCAGCTGGAAGAGACGGAGTTCTGGCTGCTGCTGCTGTCGCATCTGCTGGTTTTACTGCTATCGGCTCCAGTGTCTTCTCTTCCAGTTCCAGCTCTTCCATTTCTCGTAGTTCATCCTCAAGCTCATCATCATCATAAAGCTGCGACCCAAGTGGCTGGGAAATAGCACGTCCGATTTCATCTGCTGTAGCCATTTCTTCCTGAATATCGTCCATAATGTTATCGACTTTATCCACATTCATTTGTCCATGAATGGCTTTCATCTGTTCCGCACCCGAGCGTAATGCTGTAAACGTTTCCATATTAACATGTGCACTCTCAAGTGTCATCACTTGTGTCTCTAACGTCATACGTGCACCCTGTAACTTTTCTACTTCAGCCTCAAACATTTTCTTACGTTTTAGTGCAAAAATCGCCCCACGTTTATCTTTCGCAGCACTTTTCTGTTTCGCTTCTTGTAATTGAAGTGCAATTTTCTTTACAATATGAAGTTCACGTTTCTCTAGTGACTCAAGCTGTTCACGTAATTTACGGATTGTATCAGCTGTTGCCACGGGACCCGTACGCGCAGCTGATGACGATGTCTTGCGCCCAAATAGGTTCATCCTTTCTACTCACAGCAATACTAAAGTAACACGTTCCTGGAGAAGACAAAGTGGTACTTTGTAAAATTACTTTATTCACAAGTAGCAGTAAAACAACTTATATAATTTCATACGTATCGTTTTTACACGATCCCGTCGGTATCTTCATCTTGCATAAACCTACCATACGCGATACTAGCAGAGTTCTCTCCCCTTTGTAAATCCTCAGTGTCTCATGACGTCCATAACTCGCCAGTGGCGTGTGTTCATGCATCAACCAGTATTACCTCGTCATACAAAACATCGATATTCTTCCTTACGTCATTTTACACTCTATCGTACATTACTTTTGATTCTTCTTATTTCCATCTCGTGGGGATATACACTCTTATTAATACGTTATGGTAGTATCTCACCTCTCGCTACATCACTCTTTACAACCGTCTATGATGGTCGTCGAGCTGATGATGTACCACCATTATCTCCACCATGGCGTCCTCCATTTCGTGTAATTGTATCACTTACTACAACACCCAATCGATTACATAAAGTCATGGAAAGTGTGTTTTCTCTCATGAGACAGAGTCTTGAACCAGATCGAATTTACATTAATATTCCTATTGGATCAATGAAGAGATTTCCAGAGAGATCATATGAGGAGATTAACATACCATTTGAGCTTACGAATCTCGCACCTTTAGTCTATATAAATCGTTGTGTAGATGATGGTCCAGCTACGAAATTACTCGGACCTTTACGATTAGAAAACAATGCGTCTACATTGATTATCACACTAGATGATGATTTTCAATACCCTCAAGAACTCGTAGCGTCTTTAGCATGGGAAGCTCTAATAAAGCCGAATGATGTATTAGGTGTATGTGGATGGGGAATGATTCCAATGTGGCATCAAGTGGGTGTAGTACCGGCATACGTGCCGTACTTTATGCGTCCTAATGGTCGCTATGTGGACATTTTACAGGCATGCTGTGGTAATGCCTATCGAAGAGGATTTTTTACGGATGTGGAAGCTCTTGCAGAAATTCCACCGATTTGTGTGACGGTCGACGATGTTTGGATTGCTGGGTACTTGCGGACGGTGGAGCACAAACGTAGTGCCGTGATCAGCAAGAGATTGGATCCTTTGGATGCAGCATGGAAAAAGAAGGAAGCACAATCGTCTGAACGACAAATGACTTTGTCCAGCTATAACCATGAACATCAGATACATTACAAGTGTGTACAGGCGCTTGAGCATAAGTTTCAGCGACGGTGGACGCGCAACTTTGAAGAATCGACACATTCATAGAGGCAGCATTGGATAATATACGTCGGCGAGTATGATAGATTTTACAGGTAGCGGGTACGTTGTGAGCACTGCCTGTACACGCAGACAGTAATTGTATTCAACTCCAAAATGTTGTTACACTTGCGCCATGCTGTATATCGGTGCGGCCAACGCTTACCGTCTACTACAGTCGCTGTATCAAGCGTGAGCATTTCAACAAACATTGCAAGGTGACGAGAAACACAGGAAGGCAGAATATAAGTCAAAAGATGAATGCAAACCAGTTCGAATTCAACACGCTGCTGATGCTAGTCTCTTCAAACATGGCCCAATGCATTTACTCGTTACCGTTGTGAATGGCACCAGCCTCGTCTACGGACGAGATTTGACTGCAATAGAACATACCACATACATGAGACTCTTTCAATAACAAAATAGAGATACAACAATTACGGACATCCACTTCTTGTCAAGCGTCTCCTTCCAGAGCGTCACCTTGTGGTCGCCCGAAGACACAGCTAGCACGTTGCCAGTAACAGACCAGCTCACACGCCACACAGGTGCGTCGAACGTGTGCAGTAGCTCACGTTTCCACGTGCTGTCTTCTGCAGTTTGCGACCAGATGTACACGTGCTTGTCCTCGGAGCAACTGGCAATAAGATTGACCGGTAATCCTGTGCTTGGGGCCCACGCCACGTCACGCACCCAATCGCTGTGCGCAGGAGCAGAGCTCAGTTCCTGCTTTGTCCACTCCGTCTCGCCCTCTACCAGGCTCCAAATCTTGATTGTCTTGTCACACGATGCCGTCACTACACGGCGGATCGGGCCCGCAGGACTCTGTGAGCCTACTGAATTATATGGCGCCCAGCTCACGGCATTGCAGCCGAGCGCACTGTCCTTAAAGTGACTCACACTCCATCCCTCCGCTGCAACAATCACACAAAATAGCACCACCGAGTCGTTTTTAGTCACTCCAAACGTACTATCACTGAAACTGCGACGTACGAGAGTAGCTAAGCACAGACACCATGCCATCTGCCGATGCACAAGCAAGTGCAAGTCCATACTCATGTGGTGCCCAATCAATACTATTAACTGAAGACTCGTGAAATGCGTGCACATACGCTTGTGTCCACTGACTTAAACTCTGTTCTCGGTAGATAATCACCTTTCCATCATACGAACACGCAGCTAAGAGTACACCAAACTTTGGATGAGCCCATGATACTTGCCATACAGGACCTTCATGGCTACAAAAAGTAATAGATTCAATAGACACAAGACATTCGATTAGCATTCAAGTCATCGATATCTGTGTGTATACATGTATGTATACAATCAAAAGTCTCAATCTGTATACCCCGTCAAGATTTGTTCATTATTCTGTACATCTCCTGTCACATCGTATACTTTAATCGTACGATCAGAAGAACAAGTTGCAAGACGTTTTCCATAATAATCCAATTGGGCATCATGCTAGAGTACAATAAAGTATACCATATTCATCACATGAGTATACATGACCATCATCTTTCATCCGTTGCAAAATTATTGTCTACAAGCAGAAAGAGTGATAGAAACCATACACACTTACAATCATATCTTCATGTTGTGTGTCAATAGACAGGATAGGAGCGCTCATAATCAAGCAAGAACAAGCGCAATACGATACGAGCTCACGAGGTGGTGATGTGTATAGTCGTCGACTATCACTTGCTTCGGTGGCAGCTCAAGATTTTAGTGTGGTCAACACTGTTTTCTGGTTAGAAATGAAAAAAAAGTGTTTTTTTATTCTTGCTTTGTATAGAAATCGCAACTACGGTCTCTTGAGCTTCTCGTCGTCGTCGTAGGACGTCGTGCTTACCAGCCCGTATTCTCATCTTCATCTGGTACGACCATGACAAGATTTTGCCAGCCAAACTCCTTCCAGTTAAGTTGAAACAATAGAAACCATGATATAAAGAGCACTGTCCATACAAGAAAACCCATAAAGGACCGTCGTACCCCTGTATCAACAAGATGAACACAGATACACAACACGAAACAAAAAGAGTGTTAGTTTTATACTGCAATTCTATATCGTTATATAAGAAATAGTGTGCGGTATACTTATCAACATACACAATGTCACAGATGCGTCAAGTGAAGGATCGAGGAATTGTTTACGATAGAAAATGACATTAACAAAGTGAAGCCATGGCAGGAACATAAGTCCGCCTAGAAACATCTTTTTCGCAACAAATTCGTCCGATTCTTTGCTTAAATTGCGCGTGAAATTACCGCGGTTATTTCTATCAGCAGGATTAGTGGATTCAGGGCGTACACTTTCTTCCAGCACGGGCGTGTCCGTGACGGACTCATTCAGCGGTCTTACCATTAGTAAAAGAAATGGAGAAAGAAGATAGTCGGTCGTTTAGAAACGAAATGGACATTTCTAACGACCCTATACCATTTTTATTTTGTTTGTCTTTGTTTTTATCCAATCAGATGCATGAATGATAGGATTGGTCAAAATCTCGTCTCCATTCTAAAATTGAGTCAAATGGCAGGTACGCGGCTACAGATCGTAAGTGCGTTCGTGTTGTTTACGCTCCTGGCAGCTCCTGTGGCATGGTATTTAACCAAAGTAGAGCGTATGGACCTTCCGATGTCACGTATTCATCAATTATCGTGGCAGAAGTCCCGCTTTGGTGGTCCAGACAAGTTCCAGGTGGATATCTACAGGCTTAGCTCAAGTCTGGCAGCATTACCGTCTTTTCTGCCTTCTAGGGCCTTGAATATTGTATATGTAATGCATGAGATGGAACTGACTGCTGATGACAAGGAAATGATGCAGCAATCAGTCAAGTTGGGTCAGCAGGCTACGGACGACGCCCTCAAGACGCTGGTGCGGACGATGCCGAAGCATTTTAGCGTTTTCTTGCTTTGTGGCGACAAGGAAAGCAATGCTGGTCCATTGTTGACGGTTGGAAAGTATCGCCATGCTTGGTCATGGAAGTGCCAAGTGACTGCTGGAGATGCAATGCACTCTGCTATTGAGAAGCTTATACAGAGCCATGTGTATCCTCCACAGTTTGAAAAGAGTGTCAAGCAAGATATGAAGACAAAGATTGCGCGTAGATCACTGCACTATCGTCTGAAGTTTTCATTGTTAAAGGAAAATCCTGTTACATTGTGGAAAGAGGATCTACAGACGTTGGTGGACCAGTATTTGGGCAGATTTGTGCAGAAAATTGGAGCTGTCGCTAATTTTACAGTGGAGACGCAGGTTGTGCAGTATGCAAGACTGGCGAAGGAGATTACACCGAGTGTTGACGGAAAGGAGTTTTACATTAATGCTGAAGATCTTAAACATGTAAGTGTGTTGTGCTGCAACTTTGTTTGGTGAATCGAGAGGGCAGACGTATAACTTTCGAGCGAATGCTTTGGCTCTTTTTGTTTTAGTTTAAAAGCGTAAACGATTTTTTGGACGCATCGGTGCTGGATGATGGAGAGCAGGTGCTGCACTTTATGGCTGCACTTCCAGATGTTATACACGCTCCGTTGTATATTCGTTCTGCTGGTAGAAATCAAGGCCGCAATGACCTAGCGACGTCATTCGAGCTGCCAGGGTGGGGCATTGCTGTCATTGTAAACCCCCACGCGCTGAATGAGCGAGCAGTTCTCGATGACAAAGCTGCGTCTGCTTCAGGCCGCAGGGCACGTGAGCTTCAACGAGTGATGGGACTTTTTGTCTCGGAGTTTCGCACACTACTTGGCATTCCGTCTTTCTCGCATCGGCAAAAAGAGGAGCTCATGGCAAGTGTCGATTCATCCAGACATGAACTTTTGTTTTTGCCTTCGCCAGCCGATGGTATAGCTGATTGGGAATTGGATGTTGTCATGCGAGAGCGTTTCACTAAGCTCATGCAGTCGGCCATTGAGACGCTGCAGTCAACTGTGAAACTTGTGGAAGCGCTACCACAACTGAGTGTTCTTGGACGAGTGCAAGCTCGAGTGGAGAGTGCTGTCACGAAACTCGAGGCCATCCTGTTTGACAAGTGTCAAGAAGAGCAGCAAAACTGTGTGGACATGTCAGACCTTGGTCATCTACTGGCTATGGCTCGCCAAGCATCCGAGTTGACAGATGCTGCGTATTACGACCATACAATGATCCGTCAGCTCTATTTCCCTCAAGAACAAATGCTGGGCGTATATGCACCACTGCTTGCTCCTCTCTTGCTACCTTTTGTCTTGGGATTCATACGTGAAGTTAAACGGTATAAGGCGAAACGCATTGCGCAAAAGGTCAAAGTACCGTGATGATTCTGACAATAAATAATCTCATGTGCGTGTCGAAATATATAAGTTTCAAAGAGGTATAGATAAAGTTGCTAAAGTAATTTCTAACATGTACACGCAACATAAGAAGAAACGACAAAATCATACGCAACGACCTTCATTCTCTCATTCCAATCTAGAACACAAGTAATACCTATCTAAAGGTTTAGTGACTCAGGTATATGCTCTTTTCCTGCTATATTGATGCTATTTCATGACTATAAAATTACATCAACATGTTTACTAACGTCTTGTCTTTCGATTTATACCCTTTTGACGTCCTAATGGTCCCTCTAACGTCTATATCTATCATATCTTGTATGTCCTCTTATTTATTATAACCCTTTTAATAATTATAGTTTTGTAGCCATATTGAAACGTCTGTTTATGGCTTCAGAAGACTCGCTCTTTGGTACGTCCATGGACGGCCTACCAGGATTTTTTACTAATGGTAATGTGGACGACACGAAGTACGAGTCACTCTTGGCTGATTTACGTGCTCACGATCTCCTGGGACCCATTGAAAGCAGTACACAAGCTACTGATACAAATGGATCATCACTCTTCTTTAATGATGCATTTTCTGCTATTTTCATGGGTAATTTTGAGTCAAAAGTGACTCGAGAGGAGGATCCGAAAAGCACTGGAGAGACTCCAAGTCATGCAACGCGTAGTTTCAATGCTCCTCCTGGATTATCGTCACCATTAGAAGATGTTAAATGGGCTCGAGGTCAAGAAGAATTCTTAAGACTGGAAGAGAAATTGTACGATACAGTAACAAAGAAATCAGGACCACCACCAGGTTTAAGCTTGGAACAACAAGATTTGGACCTTGATGAGAGTCAAATACCTGGTCTTAGTGGATTGGGTCTTGATGATGATGACTCTGTACCGCCAATGTCCAAACAGACGTCAGCTCCACAAGCTTCTTCCATTCCAAATCCACCACCGCCGATGCCTCCTACGCAGAATGAACGACAGCCAAACGCATGGGGTGCGCCTCAGATAGCACCATCGACACCGTCTATCAACCAAAACCATCAACAACAGCAGTACATGTCATCTCTGCCGTCTCAAATGCAAGGACAGTCTCCTCACCCCCCCAATGCATATGCAAGGACCGTCTCCTCACCCCCCCAATGCATATGCAAGGTCCGCCATTGCCGCCCCCGCAGGGAATGTACCCAGGTGGTCCTCCACCGCCTCCGCATTACTTTGGCCATGGTTCACCTCTTCCAATGCGACCACCATATCCTGGATCCCCTGGCGCATTTGGGCATAATGGCATACCTCAGCCGCCGCCCCATGTGTACCCTCCTGCTTTCAAGATGATGACTCCGCGCGACGTGAACTTTGTGATGCAGCAGCAGATGAAGTGGCTGCGCTCTAGTGATCCGTTCAGTGATGATTACTACTTCCATAATTACATGCAAAAGCGCTCACGTGTCGGCTTGGCGGGTCGTCCGTCAGTTCCGCTTCCTTCATGGAAGCTCCAGCACGTAAAATCTGTCGACCCACGAGACGTACAACGCGAAGTCAAGTCGCGCAACTGGGAGTCTGAGTATCACGTACTTGGACGCAACACTAAGAGTAGTTTGTACCGTCCGAAGCAGTTGCTGAATCTTGCAGGCACAGGTGAAGTTAGTTTGCCTCCCACATCGCCCACGACAGGAGCTGAGAACCCAGAACGTACACCATCCAGTGCTGGCGAAGGTGAGGAAGAGAGTACATCTTCTACTTTTGCGGCAGCCGAGTCTAGCAGTGAAGCTGGCAGCTCCACTTATGTGCGTGGATCAAGTCCTGGTGCCCAGGTTGTCGCTGCGGAAGCCCAGGCTGCCAAGGTCTTGTGCATGAGCGAGGATGCCAGCCGCAGCTCGGTTTTTTCTAACGACACATGGAACCTGCGTCTTCAGTTGGATCGTGGAATGCAATGCTTGCTGTCTTTACAGGATGCACGTCACTTGCTGGATGCCCGCGGCATCAATGTGCAGCAGTTTCATTCAATGAATGACGATGAAATGGATCCAGCGCTTGTTGAGCTGCGCTCGAGGACGACGTCGCTGTTGCTGGAGCTGGCGGCTCTGCTTGGTGTCAATGTAACCCAGCCTGGTGATGCGGACAATGGCGCTGCGTCTCCTGGTGTCATGAGTTGTGATTTACAGCAGCTGCTGAAGATATTGACAGCAGCCAAGGGTAAGATGCTGGTAAGTCGTGCGCTACCACTCTTGCACCCGTCAGCCCGTTTTGTCCTTCTGCCTCATCTGGTGAATTATCTTTTGTCCGGACGGACAAACAGTGGACGTCAACTGGATGCCAACGATGGGGGCGACGATCGCCTCTGCCAGACACTGGTGCTCATGTTGCTTTATGTACCGCCTGCACCACCTGCTGAATTGCTGACTGAGTGCCTCCATCGGGCACTGGATGGCCATGATGTGCAGTCATTATCCAGCGTGCTTCACAACCGTGCGCGTGCTGAGGCCCTTCAGGCACTGTTGAAGTGCGGAGGGTTGGCCGTGCAGCAACTAGCGGAGACTGAAGGGGCCAACGTCGAGCATGCGAACAATGTCAAGCAGCAATGGGAGCAGCAGCAAGGTTTGTTTGTGCAGCTGGCTACTGTTATCAAGCAAGCGGCTTGAGACTTGTCGCGCTCGTGTGTTTACGCGACGATGTGCTGTGTGCTGTCAACTTGATACAGCAGTTTTATATCAATCTATATTGCATTTTGCTTTGGTTTCAACTTTGTCTGGTTGAGTGGTTGCCTGCATGATAACTTGGTATCGTAGTGCATGTTCGATCCAGGATATTGTCACCTACCTGAAGCGTGGCATCCACGATGATGATCTCCTGCTCGTATTTACACTTGCAAGAACTATTGATGTGGTGTTTTCGGCAGTGCATTCCTCTTTGGCTTATCTACAAGGCACAGGATGGCTACGCTGCTGCTTACTCGGCAATAGTTTCCTGCTGCTGTGGTGGAAGCTGGGCCTTCATGACCTCCTGATAGAGTAGGTCCTTCAATGTCTGCGGATCATACGACACTTGAGCGTAATCAAACTGCGTGAGCTTTGTCGCTACGTCAGCGTGGCACGGCTGTTCCAGCTGCGGATTACGCCATTGGCTCACGTATGGGTGTTCTAGCGCCTCGGCAGCTGTGATGCGGTTGGCTGGGTCGAATTGTAGCAGGCGATCTAGCAAGTCGAGTCCATCCGGGTTAGCTTCTGGGAAAACCTGCGCCCAATCTACTTTTGGCACCTTCTGGCTTTGGATCAAAAATTGGCGTCCGGCGTAGCGGCACGCAACGGGGTTATCGCAGAAGCTAAAGGTCGTGGGCGTGCCGACAATGTCTACAATCATCTTGAGCTGATCCACATATGACGTGCCAGGAAACATGATCCGTCGACCCAATAGCTCGGCAAAAATGCAGCCAATTGCCCACATATCGATTGCTTTTGTGTACGCATTAGCCAACAATAGCTCGGGAGCACGATACCACCGTGTGACCACATATTCCGACAGTCCTTCTGCAAGGTCTCGATCATTAGCATGCCGCGCAAGTCCAAAATCACAGATCTTGATCTGGCAGTCCGAGTTCACGAGAATATTGCTCGGCTTGATGTCACGGTGCAATACATTCGCGGAATGTAGATAGTGAATGCCGCAAAGCATTTGATACAGAAAATACTGCACCTGATCGTCACTTAGACTCTCCTTTGAGTGAATGATTCGGCACAGGTCGGTCTCCATGAGTGGCTGAATGATATACAAATCTTCAAAGTGCTCATAGTCGAGCGGTCGCTGTAGCTCGTGGAAGCCCATGAGGCAGGGGGTGAGCACCAATCTCGCTCATCAATTTAATCTCACGCAAAGCCAATAATGCCACCTTTGGATGCCGCAAAAACTGACCCAGCTTCTTGATTGCAAACGTGCCGCCATGCACAAAATCGCTCGCAGCAATCACCTCACCGTAGGTCCCTTTTCCAACAATCTTCACCATGCGGTACTTTTCTGCCAACTGATATCGCACTCCGTTGATAACAAACTGGTGCATGACTTCCTCTACAGGAGAAAACTGTTGTGTTAGTTTTGTAAACGGGCGGAAGCTCGGACGCATCGATGAGTTTCCAAACGACGAAAGAGGCGTAGCACCAAAGCGCTGATCACCAACGGCTCTTCCGTCGTCTGAGCAAAAGCTATCCCTGTAACTCTCCCGAAAGCTCGCCGTCGGGGATCGCTGCGGCATCGACCGATGGGACATGGATGATATGGTAATGCCCAGCAGCAACTTACCAAAGAAGCTCTGATGGTCGTTTGACAGCACGTAACTCTGTAATTTGCCATCCTTAAAGGCATTGCTGGTCGGATTTCTACGACCTCGTCGCCCCATCAGGCGGCTGGAAATTGTTTCGCTAGTACCGATGTTGCCACCGTTCAAGAAGCTGGCAAGATTCACATGTGTACGAGCAACAACTTCGTGATTTGTATTGCGGCAACACTCAACAAGCAATACAGTATTGTCATCGCGCGATAGTCGATCAAACTGCAAAAATAACTCTTGCTGATAGTTATATGACCACGATACCGCAGATTCAGTGCCGGACGAGTCGGTAGAACATTCCAATGGGGCAGCTGCACGTGACTGAGCTTCTGTATGCCACACACCTTCGAACTCGTTCGTATCAAGAGAGCAGCGTACAAAAAATTCATCTCCTTGTAGTTCTCGTGAGCGAACGTCCGTGATTTGGCCAAGATGGATCGATACAACATATCCACCAACAACCGATTCCCGAATACGTTCAGCTAGCGACGGTAACGTAAGATTTGTTGTGCACCCGGGTGCTTTAAACACCACACTGGACGCCACAACATCACCAAAAATCTCCCACCGACTTACTCGACCACCGTCGCCCGGTTTAAAATGTAGTTTATGCGTCCATTGTTGCATAAAAGTCGTCTGATTGTATCGCACTTGCATTGTTTCTCTTCCAGAAATCACCACAACACGATTCCGTTGACGTCGAGGACAATATTTGTCACCATGAATTCGTTCACTCTTCTTCCTCCTCTCATCATCATCATCATCATCTTCCTTATCTTCCATTTGAATGCTTTCCACAATAAATTGTTCCACTTGAACTGATTGCGATAATCTTGTAAAATATTCCAAAATACCACCAAATCCACGATATTTTCCTTCAAAAGGTACCATTGGTAAATAATTACTACGTAGAATCACATTTGATTTCAAGAGTGAGAAGAAACGTACAACTAAATGATCCATTGGTGGTGTCCTTGTCGTTTTCATCAATGGTTGATTTGGTAAAATTGGAATAAATGACACACTTGATTTCTTACCACTTGGTAAACCATTGCATCGATCCATACTTTCATCCATCGTGTTTAAACCTGTCTCCAATGAACTGGCTAGATTGTCAAGCCTCGACGGTGAATAAGGCCATTCAATTGGTGTACCTACTTTATCAGCCGTTACACGTGCACATAGCATTGTGTAGAGATAATCATACCCAAGATAAAAATCTGTTACATTTGTACACAGATTTTGTACATTTGGTCGAACATGACCCGATAAATCATAATCAGCAATACCATGCGTGACAAATTGTAACCACACGTATTTACTTGCTTCTGAATTAGTCCGAAAATGTAATTGATGACCTTTTTGAGTGGTTAACGTAAACCGAAACGTTGTCACACTTGCAACAGTACTAGTAGTAGTAGGACTACTAGTAGTAGGACTAGTAGTAGCAGTAGTACTAGTAGTTGTCGTAATAGTAGGACTACTACTATTTATGTGATCCAATAACGTACGATTTTCACTTGCAATCGACGAAAATAGTACACTTTCTTCCACGTCCCACGCTTTTTCAAGTAAAACACGATCCGAAAAGCCAAATTTTCCTTTTTTAATCTTGGATTTTGCATTCGAACGTCGTGCGTCTTCTTGGGATAAATAACAATATAATAATCGACCTCGGAGGACAAAATAATACGTTTCCCAATGTTTGAGCCAATCACTGCATTTTTGTAAATATCCTTCCCAATGAAAACGTAATGGTACATTAGAAGATAGAGACTCGAGCATAAGTGGAGGGTGAGATAAAATCATCAAGAATTAAAGGATAGAGATGATGATGATGGTGGTGGTGGTGGTGAGAATGAATCGAATAGAAGCGTAGAGAGAATCGACTTCGTTCTTGTGATAATAAAGAAGAATGGGGACGATCGATCGATCGATCGATTGGATTAAACAGAGAAAATCCGATTAAAACAAGAGATTAAAGAAAAAAATCCGGATGCAAATTTTTATGAGAAGCGACGTTAAGTTGTTGTTTCGCCCTTTGTCAAAAACCTCTAATACTTCATACTCACTTTTTTCGTTTGTATAAAACCATTTTTACTGGAACGATAAAAGCGATTCGTGCCAGCAGCTCCAAGCATGTTTTGGGGATTGGGTGGTGGTGAGAAATCTGGTACTCCAAGTCATACGAAAGCATTCGACTGGTCGTCTCAATATAATGAGATTGCAACGGTTCCAACCATACCATTTGCATCTTCGTACGTTCTGTCAAAACAACGGCGCGATGAATTGTTGTTAGCCGCTCGTTCGAATCGCGTGTCTTGGATTGATGGCGTCGAGAACTGCACTCCTAGGATACTTCCAGTCGTTCATTCTACGGAGTTTTCACACACTCTAGTCTCGTCTAGACTTCCTATTCATTGCCGTGAAGCTCTTGAAGGTGTTAATATTGAGTTGTCGAAATTCTTGACGTCTCTAGAAGCGCTCAAACGTCAAATTTTAGTCCACGACATGCACTTGATCAAAGACACGTCAGAAGCACATGACACAGCACAGAAATGTACGAAGAAATATCATACACTGTTCCAAGAGCTACAGGAGCAGGAACCATTGCTGAATCTGTGGCAACGCTCTCACACGCCATGGACGAGAAAGTTGACAGGACATGACCGGGAGATGGCGTTTTTACTGGGATTTCGGGAGCTTCTGGCGTTACTGAAGAATGCACAGGCAGCAGAGTTAGTGTATCGTATCCAGTCATTTGTATCGAAAGTGGAACTATGGGATCTTCCTCAGATGTTGAAAGCTGTTGCGACTAAAGATCGACCGGGTGGGAAGATTCAAGACTTTATCAAGAAACTTATCGAGCAGATCAAGCATAGTAAGACATTGAGACTATTGCTGCAAGGAAGTACAGAGGATAGTGAAACACAAGACGAACAAGACCATTACTTGCATGTCCGTGATGCCTCTGGACTTGATATGCTGCATGAAGTACTGGAAGCATTCCTTATGGAAAAAGTATATGTCAAGACACTCACTCCATCACTCCAAGTGGCTAAACAGGATGATGCATTTCATGATTATCTGAGTTTACTGGACTTTATCACATTCGAGCATCTCGATTTGCCTGTGCCACAATCGCACGAGCACAAACAAACGTGGCTCCGTCTTGCACGACAATTGGAAGCCATGACTTTATGTCCAAGTCCTCGACGTAAAATGGATGGTGTCTTACGTGTGTGTCAGGATTTGACCATGTTTTTGAAATCGCAGAATGGCGGTCGATTTCCATCGGCAGACGAGTTTTTACCAGCACTGATCTTTATAGTTTTACGCGCGAATCCGTGTGAACTCAAGCGGAATGTGGCATTTATCTTGGAATACCGAAATCCCACGAAACTCGTATCGGAACCAGGCTATTTCTTCACTCATTTGATATCAAGTGTCGCTTTTCTCGAACAAGTTGATTGTTCACGACTTACAATATCTGCTGAAGAATTTGAAAAAGGACTGGATGAGAATAAAGCCAAGAATAAGAGTCGGTGATTGAAATGGACAGTTGATGAAGTATCTACCGTTGATTGCTTACTATTTGATAGACTGCTTTGATTGGAATTGTATCAACTTTTGCCATCAACTTCAACTTTAACGTCTTGATCAGTCGACCGCTTGGTAATAAATCAGGGTACATAACATTAAATTACGTGCTAAAAGGGAGCGAATAAAAAGCAGTAAAAGCACTTTTTTGTAGGAAAGCAAACTTTAAATTTCATGGATGAAACAAGCGCTTTCTTTCCCCTTTTTTTTCTTTTCCACCGTTTTGTAAATTTCTCAATTGAAAATGTAAATTTTCTCTTCTAAAGCTCAAGTATATTACTAACATGAGCCGTAAACGGACGTGGACGGAAGGTCGACAATTAAATGCCTATGAAAGTGACACTTTGACATCAGGGACGGATCAGTATGAGGATCGTTCAGAAGGTGGTGAAGTGATTGAAAAAGAAATGAAACGGTTGCGCGTGGCTTACAATTATGACGGTATTTAAAACGAATGATTATAATTTGATAATAATTGCAGTTAATTTTTAATTATCATATTCACAAAAAAAATGAAATGAATAATAATAATGTACCCATAATTGTTATATAGGAGCACATGGAAGAGTACGATGGGCAGGTGAAGTGATTGCAATGGATACGGACATGGAGATATCTCGAGCTAAAGCTGTTCGTAGCACTTACGCTGAGGCAAATGCGATGCTACGAGAGTTTCACTATCTACGACAATTGCGCAAGTTTCAAGCAGAAAGAGGACGAGCTCGAGCAAATTACGTGGTGAATGAAGTTAGCAGTACTAGTCCAGTGTTCACGGAGTCAAGCGATATGAATTGGGACTGAGGTTACATTCGTCTCATACGTGACTTAGCAGCTCATGTGATTGACGTCCATGGTGGTTGTTGTGTTGAACAGACTATACGGCAGCAGGGTCTGCTTGTGTTTTGTGTTGGCTGTATATGTTTTTGCTAGCATAAAGCCTTTTACAGCAAGCAGCACTTGGTACATTCCTGGGACTTACTTACTTACTTACATACAGCCACAGCATGTGCTGTTACAGTACAAATCAGTGAATCAATGTTTGAACACTCGTCCCAAGTGTAGCAAATAAAGCAGCTTACGGCAGCTCCGACGTCAGAAGATTGGCAGCAAATTCGCGCTCCTTTTCAAACATTGGTGACGACAGATACCGTTCACCAAAGCTGGGCAAAATGGTCACAATGAGCTTGTTCTTGTTCTCTGGACGTTTCGCAAGTTTTAGACTCGCCACCACCGCAGCACCCGACGACGGACCCACGAGAATTCCTTCTTTTAGTGCCAACCGCTTGGCCATGGCAAAAGCATCCGAGCCACTGGTCGTAATAACTTCATCAATCAAGTCGCGTTCCAGCACTGATGGCACAAATCCAGCACCAATGCCCTGGATCTTATGGGGTGCAGGATTGCCACCAGATAGCACGGGACTCTCCTCTGGTTCGACGGCAATAATTTGGATGCTAGGCTTCTTGGGCTTTAGATAACGAGCTGTACCCGTCAACGTGCCACCCGTGCCAACCCCAGAGACAAAAATATCCACCTGTCCATCCGTATCATTCCAAATTTCAGGACCTGTCGTATCAAAGTGAATTTGTGGATTTGCTGGATTTTCAAATTGACCAAGTGTTAGAGCTTTTCCCGATTCTTTCTTGACGAGCTCGTCGGCTTTCGCCATCGCTCCTGTCATTCCTTTTGCTCCAGGAGTTAATACAACCTTACAACCAAATGCTTTGAGCAAAATACGACGTTCCATGGACATGGTATCAGGCATCACTAACGTCAGTTTGTATCCATGGACAGCAGCAGCAAAAGCAAGACCAATACCGGTATTACCACTAGTAGGTTCAATAATATGATGGTCTTTCGTAAGGCGACCAGATTTCTCACCATCCTTGATCATACTGAGACCAATACGATCTTTTACCGATGCACATGGTTCCATAAACTCACATTTGACTGCAATTCTTGCATCCGCTTTCTCAACAACATGATTTAAATAAACAAGTGGTGTCTTTCCAATGAGTTCCGTCATGTCTTTAGCAATATGAAGTAAGCGAGTTTTGTAAAGGATCACATGATGACTCTTGGAAACAATAGAGCGAGCAAGCATGATGTAGGAAGAAGAAGAAGAGAATGCTAGGAGTGTTAGTTTAGTTTGTTTTTAGTATGGAGATGAAGATGAGTGATAGGAAAGTCGACCACGACGATGTAGTACGAGAATTGGATTGGACTGTGAACGATATTGATAGAACCAATCAGATGAGATTGAAGCCATGAATTTGCTGCAATAGGTGTTACTATCAAGATTAAAGCAAATGTATCATTTCTTGGAGGATAATAGTTATATTTTGGGCACCTTTTGAACATAGTTTCCCTTTCGTAACCTATGTAACATGACTACCAGCAATATCGGTTCGGTACCGGTATCTACTAGTATTGGGTAGTAACAAACACCATGATGCCATTGTTCACCTTATTTTTTATGAATCATATCCATCTTCTTCTTCTTCTTTTTCTCCATCTCTTATCCACTTCATCCAACCACCTCATCCTTTCAAATCAAAACGTTCTCACGGATTTTCAGCGACAATTGTTTATCACGTCATTTCAATCCAAATAACGGCGCTTCACTGTCAGTCGACCGCTTTCGGGACTGAGGTACCCTCGAATCAAGAATCGACCAAAACGGTTCTTACCCTTACCAAGCACAGTGTAGCGACGAGCTACAGCTTCATAGCCATCCACCTCATCACTTTCATAGCCCTCCATAACCTCATCTTCGTCTTCATCTTCTTCATCGGAAGACGGCATAGGGAGAAACTGCAGTTCCACTTGATCTTCTCGAATTTTGATCAGGGTTCCGTTATGTTGACGTATTTTAAAGAACCCTCCATACTTGCCAGATATAGGATGCTTGTCATCTTTGCGTCGCGACTGAAGCACCCGCGCATGTGATGTATACTCGAACGGGCTAATGTTCTTAGTATCGTGAAAGGCATCATCGCTAAAACCCCATTTTCCCTGAAAACATGCACGACGATTTTTGCGCACAGAATATGAACCTTTGAGAACCGGATCAGCTGCTTCCACATTAAACACTGCATACTCGGGTGGTATGACTGGCTTTGGTATTTTGCGCTTGCGTTTCAATCGCCTACCAGATAAATTGTCAGTCTCCAATGAGCGTACGCACTTCTGTTTCTTTTGCTTCAACAGCTTGCGAGGGCCATTGTTTTTCCTTGTATTACGGCGCTTCTTCAAACCCAAACCTATACTTTCATCTTCAGAACAGCTCGCACTGCTACAAGAAGAAGATGATGACGACGACGATGATGACCCTGACGATGCAGAGCTAGAGCTGTTTTTCCTATTGCGAGGCACTACTTGTCTGTCAGTGCTCTTATCACTCTTTATGTCCGCATTCTCCTCCAAAGTTTGCGTGACATTATCTAGCTCAACGACGCCACTGAACTCGAAGACATCGTCGGTGGTCAAAGGGGCAACGTCAAGTACGGATGAGGCTTCAATTGCGATGTCCTCATCATCTTCATCATCTCCGTCAAACCACTGGTATTCACATTTTTTCGACTTTGTTTCAACATCGTCGTCAACGATTGCATCCTGCCCAGGAAGCAAATCATGGTCATCGTCTTGATGTGCCTCAAGCAGCTCTATGGCCTCGTCAGCACTAAGATGCGGCAAGCAAATTGAGCTGCTACGTACTTTCGTAGGCTCTGTATCCAATGTAATGATGTCAGCCATAGAATCAACCACATTGTCCACAAGTGTGGTGACAACTATGCCAACAGCTTTTTTCACATCAGCATCGCTCAATCGAGACTCTTTGCTGATTTTCCTTTTCTCTTGTATAGACTTACGGTCCTTAACAACAGCAGTCAACACAAACGCGTCTCTAGCAGCCATCTCAACACCCTCGCTAATATTATCATCATTCAACATTGTCTTCTCTTCAACATTTTTCTCCTGTGGCATTGATGACGCTGTCATTGTTACTATTTCACCAGCATCCTTTACCTTCGCCACATTTATATCATTTCCAGACTGTACATTTTCAACTGGTAACGACATGACTTGATCAATATCGTCATTTTCGATACTTTTTCTAGTATCTACCACCATATTCTCGTCATTACATCCCTCTACCTGGTCAACAACATCTTGACCAATCGTCGTCGCGTTAATCTTCTCTCCAGCCACAGTAGATATCTCTACATCCTCATCTCCTTTAATCTCAAATTGTTTCTGCTCCATAGACACTGACGTCTTCTCCACTACGAGTAGATTCACATTCTTCTCCTCACCACTTTCTTTCTCATACTCTCCTGGTATCGAACTTCTTCCCACAAACACCACAAAGCCCTCATTCCCTCGCTCTTTATCACGTCCATGTATTTCAGCATTATTCATCTCTTCAGCTCCACCCGCTGCTTCAATCTCCTTGTTTATCGCCGTAAGCGACTCTTGTTGATCCGCTTTTTCAGTCTTTTTGTTACTATTTCTCCGTGGTTTTTGCGTCAATTTCGACAAAACTTGATCAGCTATATCCAGCACATTCCCTTCTTCTATAGAGACCGTCGTCTGTGGGTCTTTCTGCTGTTCTTCTGTCATTGCCATACGTTCATATAAATAATAATATAATACTAACCCGCTCGCTTTGGTTTATTATCACCACTCGCTTTTGTCGTACTTAGCCGTATATAATGTTTTCATTGGTGTAAAACCGTCTAAAATATATGATTTGCTAAAATTCCAATTATTATTTCAACGAATCAAATTCATTTCATTTCGAATAATCCAATCACTGGTAGTGGCTAACTTCACTCTTTCATTCTCTTTGCCAGTAATCACGATCAATGATTGTTCCTGTGCGATGCTTTACTTGTGGTAAAGTACTGGCGAATAAATGGGAAACGTACTTGGGTCTATTACGTGCTGATTATACCGAACGTGATGCATTGGATGAATTATCATTAAAACGTTATTGCTGTCGTCGTATGATGCTTACACACGTGGATCTGATTGAGAAACTCTTGCATTATAATACTGGTGGTAGGGTTCGAAACAATAGAGTGGGATTTAATGTAGTTGAACGTGTGTGTGTGTGGATAAAAAAAAGTAAACTTATGATGATGATTCTTTATCTTTTTGATGTGTGTCTGTTATACTATCTTTAGCTATTGAACGAGGTGACGATTAAATCCAGAGGTAGACGTTTTTTTAACCGAAAGAGGAAAACGTTCTGCCACTAAACTAGTTTTGTTTTGTCTCTAAATTTTCAAGTTGCAAGTTGTATATATATAATCCATGTGTTCGTGCTAGTTAGAGAAAAACTAATTTTTCAAGAATATCCTGCTCTTGATCACGAAGAGTATCATCTTTAAGAAATCCCCAATGACGTAACGTACAAAATGCCCGCACAAAGCGAGATTTGATCCGTCTCTCATCCCCTCGTTCTCTAAATATCTTGTCTTCTTGATTCTTTATCTCCAATGCAAAACATTCATACCATTCAGAAAGACTTAAACTTGTACCTGGATATTCTTGATAAAATAAATACGCAAGACCTGCATCCTGTACCCATAAAGTCATCTCGTTGTCTTCTTTCAGACCCATTTCTTGTAATAATGTACACAAATTCTCATAATGCTTGACACGTAATCGGTCTTCCAATACTTTGACACTTGTCAATCGAGACCATTGTAACATCAATATGTCACCAGCACCAGCACCACCACCATGAGAAAGAACGGGAGACTTTAGTCGTGATACTAAAAGCTCAGCAACTAATTCAACTGTAAAAACAGTCACAAGTTCCTGTCGTAATGCTGTTTCAATCTTTATCGATACTTTCTCCATTCTTGCATACGCACACAACAGTCCCAATTCACCCAACGTCTTTTCCATCTCTTGATTATCATCATCAGACATACCAAACACACGAAACGAAACACGCCAATCTTCAATCATTCCAGAAAGTACAGCCCATCGACAAGTTTGCAAGCGCTTCAAAACTTTGAGAAAACCTGGTGCTTCACCCAATCGACCGTCTAGTGCTAGACCCAAATGCATCACTGCAATATCCTCGTGCTCATCGTATTTTGTCGTCTTGCTACGATCAATGCGAACGTCTAACCACGAACAAGTAGAACGAAAACATTCCCAACCCATACGCCACCGAGCTCGACGGCGACGTTCATTCAGTACTGCCATCTCCAATTCAGCTATCCAGTTACTATCACTCGCAATCGTACCACGAGAGGACGGCATCACTCGTGACTCCAAGTCTCTCAGCTCAAAAGCACTACATGAAGCGAGCCATAAGGCAAGAGATGATCTAGACCCAGCAGACCTTCCTTGTGCTTCACGGGTTAAATTTCGACGATGACGCTTAATCCAAACAGACACACGATGTGGTAATGGTGCAATGTCGGCAGCTACCAAGATAGGAGATTCGCCTGACGACGGAACGTCATTTACAGCAAGTGCGAGAAAACTCCACGGACAACGTTTAAAATGTGTGAACAGCAAATATCGCAGCGTAAGTAGGAGACGCGGAACGCTTGGTACACGAACATGTCGGCTCGCAATAGCTCGAAGTACTTCACCGCTGTATGAAAACGGTAGCTTTGATTTCACAACTAACGACTCTAACACATCATCAAAACACTTTTGCGAGTCAACAAGAGAAAAAAACTGAAGTTCCAGCCGGTTGGTTACCGCCAAATCCAAACGTCGTAGTGCTGGTGAGGTAGCTGAGGCCACTCCAATTACGAACCCTAGTGTGCCGCTCATTGTACTCGCATCAGAATTATTGTGCTGTTGTCGTACGAAGTGTTCCCAAATATCCAAGAAATCGCCAAACACTTGCTGTGAAAATGCTTCGAGTTGCTCAATACACAACAACAAAAATGGCTGAGGAGTACCAGATGCCTGCGCCGGTGTTGTGATCTCTATTCCACTATGGCTCTTTAGAGAATAGTGATTTTCATGATTGAGCATTTTCTGCTTAACAGATCTCCGTCGATCGTTGATCATATTTCGATCGATCGTGCATTCCTCCAGAAATGACACGTACTGACGAAACACACGTTGAAGCATTACTGCTAATGCCATCTCCGTGATGCCAACATGAAAAGTGGAGCGGTTAGTTACTTCTGGTGCAGCATTAAGTAGCTTAGCTGCTGTATCTTGAGCCGTCACGATCTTACGCTGCAGCCACACTACCGCTTCATCAAAGCAAGCAATGCTCCAAAACACCATTTCTTCCTCCTTCTCTTGTAACTTCTTCACCCAAGTCAATGCCTCCTGTAATCGGTCGTGTACCAACTCACCAAGCATAGCAACCCACTCACTGCATGTGTTGCCACAGGTAGGCGACAAAAGTACATCACTATCGCGCTTAATCGTCGACAGCAGCTTCGAGATCGTCCATCGCCTATACAATACCGGTACAAGTCGTCGTTTTCGTTTCTTCCTCCCTGATGAGCCAAAGTCCGTGTCATTACTACTCTCCTCTGACGCGAAACTCGAATCGTAGGAGCTATCATCACTCCGCTCATCTATTTCGTCCCATTCTTTACCACAGACCATTCCAGTAGTCACTCGTGCTATCTTTGCTTGTTCGTGCCGTGTCAGTCCTCGACCACTTTTTTCTAAAGCTACTGGTGGCTTATCCAATGGCAGCAGATCAAAATGTTCCACGAGGCCTTCAAGCCACTGCTCTTCCTTTTGCTTTGCATCACACAATTTTGCTAACTTTGCAGCTAGCCACTCAATAAATCGTCGAGCATTTATCACATCACGAGGTACGAGGACACACAACGGGAATGTCCGTCGTAACTTCTGCATGAGTGGCTGTATCCACAAATTACTTGACGTTGCATCGGTTCCAGTAATCACAGCAGCTGTTGGAAATGCATGATACTCTGGAAATAACACTGGAGCATTGTAATCACGCAGTCTTTGACCTGCTGGTAACGTTCTTGTAGCTCTTGTACCTGTCACTGCTTTTTCTCTTCCTCTCGAATCCTTTCTTGTGCAATATTTCTCAAAAAAACGCATCACTTGACTATAATTTGTATTATTATTTGAATCTAATACTTCTTGGATTGATTGACGCATGGTTTCACAGGCAAAATGATACGCAAGTTCTTGACATGCATTATACGCTTCTGTATCGGATTGATAGTGACAATTCAAAGACGTTTGGGAATCAATTGGAAAAGAAAATGGACAATCAATGCTGTTGTCAATCAGATGATGATCATGGAGAGAAGAAGAAGATGATGATGATGATGAAGAGGTCGCTTTGGCGTGTTGTTCTTGCGGATACTGGATTGAGATGCCCGTAGAGAATGAAGCCATCTATTGTCTATCTGAGGTCTTTTTAATGTATTATTATTATAACCAATCATAACGTCGCTTGCTAGAATTGTCTTTTTGAATCGAAACAAAAGACGTTTAAGACGTGAATTTCAGCTAAAGCGTTTAAGTGATTGGATATGGGTCATTTTCTCCGATTATCCGAACAAATAGCATTTAATTATTAATTTATTAGGTACATTTTCGAGTCGTATAGAGAGATAATCATGCTTACAAATAATAATAATGGTAAAGAAAGAAATATCCCATGATCTTATTGAGATAGCAAGACTACATTCAACTTAGAGCCTCTTCCATAGTTAATCTAGTCTTCCTACGAAAGCCTGTGCACAGCAGCTACAAAGGCTTTCCAATGACATACACCTAGTCACGATGGTGATGGTGCTGTTCACGGGCCTTTGGCTATTAAACACATAACAAATTTATGTTAGAATTACGCTCAACCTCACGCCCTTCCAGATACTGGAACGACAATGAGGGAGCCGATGATACCAAATGACCATTGCAATTGATTGCAATTGCATATGATAGCCAACAATCAACAAGTTTCTGTATCTGTTGCAAATACTGCTAAATGAAGCGTGTATAGCTCGAGATAGAGCTGCTGTCAAAGGTCGGCTGCAATGGGTCCACCGCTTTGACCAAAAGCGTAAGGTCATCATCGGCTCCAGCATTGTTTCTTTTTCATTCCTACTACCAATTTATAGAACTCATCGTACCTGAGGCACATGCACACCAGCCAACTTGAGATCCAAGTGAGCGAGCAAGTCCTTGGTATCGTTATCAATCTCGATATTTTCCGTATCAATGGCTGAGACTTCTGGAACAAAGTCCAAACGACGTTCACGCTCTTCTTCCTGCAACTTGAGCGAGATGCCACGCACCTGACCGTGTTGGATGCGCTTCATGAGGTGCGTAATATATCCTGCAATCTTATTGCGCATGCGCTTTGATGGAATGATTGCAACCTCATCGCACACTCGTTTGTTTGTATCAAAGTCAAGAGTAAGACGTGAGTAGTACTTTTCAATAATCTTCACGGCTGAGCCTTTTACGGTCTTAGTACGAACACCCATGACTGGAGAGTAGGAAGTCTCTGCTGGGCAATTTCTTTCAAATAATGAAGAGCTCCATCCAGATTCATCGAAAACATGAGAGGAATGCCGTCAACCAACCGTTTTGAAGGCGGATAATCACAAATAATTATTCGGATTGACACTATTTATCATCCCCTAGCTACTGATAATATATATCCACATAGAAATATCAAGCTGCGAAAAGAAAAGCTTGTATAATAGTCTACGTTTTAGACAAAATTGACATTAATTGATGAACAGTTACACACAAATACCAATAAAAACGTATGATTTACTGGCTGTTATAAAGCACTTTTCTGTGCGTAACCTTAACATTATCAAAAAATACAAACTTCTTCTTGCAAAAGGATAGAGGTAGCAGCGCACGTACTACTACTACTACTGCTGCTCATCTGCATCATCAACCGTGACCAATTCATATTCAACAGCCGAGATATTGTTTTCCATATTGACACTTGGTGGTGGTGGTGGTGTAGATGATATACCGTCTGGATGCAATGAGATTTTACCCCATTGTGTTACATTCAGTCGCATAAATCCATTAAAAATGTCAGCGTTAGTATTACGCAGTACGAGCACAAGTCCTTCCTTGAGAATATCAATTTGTTCTGCAATCATAATTGTACAATAGTAAGTAGGGTTGGCAATAGAGATCATCATCATCATTATTCATTCATTGAATGATCAACATTCCAATACAATCATCACACACCGTTTCGTGCCGTAAAAGTGACGCATCCAGTTTCGTCAGCTAACATGGCCTCGGCAATGCGCGAGACAGCACCATCGTACCGCTTTTTCTCCACAACTGGTGCAACAGAAACCACTTGCAACACTAAATTATGACCTTGTGATCCTGGTGTCAAGTCCTTCACCTTTACATCTACAGTTAAGAGGATACATGGTAGAATGAATACATGAGCACAAGATGACTAGCATATATGAGATATCATGCCACGAACATACAAGTAGCACGTCGGAGCTTTTGGGGAACTTCAATTGCTGCGGCCATAGTGAGTATATGGATAACACAAAGATATTTCTGCCTTAAATGACCACAATTGACCAGCAGAGCGAATGCTGACAACCAATACCAATGATGTCAACCACCGACTAGAGATTAATTAACGTTAAAGACTGATGATTCGACGAAATTTCAACATGATGGAATTACCACCAATAACAAAGCTGCAATAAAGTAGACAAGCTGAAGCATGAGACTTAAGACAATTGACAGCACATATAGCAACAATTCATATAGACGTCCATGTATATGTAAGGAATGGACCGTGATTGCGGCCAGTTAAAGCAAACGACACCAAATACAAAACAATAATATAAATGGTCAATACCCGCCCGACTACGATGACCAGACACATTTACACGTAGCAGAGCAACGTCCCCGGGATCCTATATCGCTGCAGCTTCTGGCTCGTCATCGCTGCATTGATCTGCCGTGGTCTTCAATGGTATTAACGTCATATCCTGACCATTTGATCCTTCATCGAACGTCACTGCATCTTCTCTTAAGCTTTTTTCGTCATTTTGAACCCTTTCTTTCTGCAACTTGTCTACAGAACCATCCCGCGCATACATCAACATGTTTGACACCTCTTCATCTTCTTCCACCTCCTCTTCGTCGTCCTCCATCTCACCAATGCCGTACATAAAGTCAAAATCCACCTCATTTGACTCGCGTCTGTGCTGAATAATAGCATTCACCTCAGCTTCCACCAAAGCTATCACAGGATTTTCGCATCCAGCGTTACTCAGGATAATCTCACGCTCCTGCGGGTCCAAATAGCCCTCTTCCATGTAGCTTTGTCGCCCCACGCGTCTGATACATTTCACAAACAAAGATACATGATCGCACCAACGTTACCTCAAATCCAACGCTTTCCAATCAAAACCTACTCAGTGTTTGCTACAATGCAAGTCAAAACGTACTCGTCTTTTCGTTCCATCTCAAATGAATCCAATCGTCGCCGAGACCGCGATCGTTCGTTCAGTGACATACCCACGGGTACACCACCTGATGTAACACTAGTAGTGTAGATAGTTGGCTCAAATTCTACAATGTCTGCACACTCGAATGACACACGTCGCCGTTTCTTCGTAGATCGCTCTTCCTGTGTACCAGCAACGAAGTTCTTGTTCAAGACACCATTGGCTATGCCCTCAACGTTCTCACTATCATGATATTCTCCATCTTCTATCTCCACATCTTGCTCACTCTCAATTTTCATATGAATTGAAGTACTCGTAGGACTATCAGTGTCTTCTACTACAGTCTGCTTCCTTGTCGTCGTGTCAACTGCTTTTACACTCATTAATATACTCTTGTTACTTATCGACATTGTAGTAGGTGAGGAACTAGTAGGTCCAGAAGGAGGTGAAAACATGACACTTGTCATAATGAAGGAATAATAAAAGTAGTAATTAACAAGACGCCGTCCTGTTAAAAGCGTACAAGATTACAATAATGATGGAAGGAAGCACGAGATATTCTTAGCGCCTTTAGAGACAGAATGTTAGGTACTCTTAAAAAAAACAGGAATCGAAAGAGGGGAAGGGATATTCATCGTCTCGTGATTCGTGGAAACTACCTTATTCTGCACCACTTTACTCCCAGTCTATGGATTTGAGGTTTATATTCTGTCCTTTCTACGTTTTCGACGATCCGATGCATCACCACAAGTCCGTCTCTCAAGCCGTCCTCAATAACGATATAATTATTAGCAATTGCACGCTACTTATGTCCTTCTGTGCTAAGGTCCTTTCAATAGTTTAGTCGATTCAATAATTTTGTCTAATCCTTATGTTGATCCGTAGACTTTTTTTAGAAAAAATATACCGATCAACAGACGAATTTAAGTGCCACTGGCCCAGACGTGGTTGTAGACTTCTAAATACGGCGAGATACGGACGGGCATGTCACGCTGCTGCAGCCATGGGACCGTTTTCACCAAGTGATCAATATCCACTCAACATGCAATGTACTTTTACTGTTAAATACGTGAGTGGAGATAGCTCTGTCCACACGCCGTTTTGCGTCATGTAAAGTGCAGTAGACATATGACCGTTCCGATATAAATTTCGTGCTTCTGCGATGGACAACCGTAAATGAGATATGCTTGGATGAAGAGATTGATACGCACGCGATGATTTGCATACAGTGTAGATTGCTATTAATTCTGCAGTGTCAAAGATGGTGAACAGTCAAGGACTCTGTCTTGTTGATTTCTGTTCCATGTCGCTGCTTTGAATGGACTGGAAGCGATGCGATGACAGCAAGGTGCTTGCACGATTTGTCTTGTGAACCTCGTTTTTGCTGCTGTTGTTCTAATCACTAAAACACTTGGACTAAGACTGACGAGAGCAAAATAAGGCACACTGTTTCGGCATCAGAAATGACATCTGCAAAGTGTACAGCAGACGAGTGCAACTACGGTGGCGACGTCAGCAGCTCTATGCGGCACTCGGCCTCACTGACAGTCGCTGTGCAATTATGACCGGACTGGTCCTCAGTGCCTGATTGAACTTTCAGGCGGTTAGTTTCTGGTCTCTTCTTTTTATCAGAGATAGCGGCTCCTTCTGTCAGGTGATGTTGCACGTGCAGAGTCGAGCTTATTGCAGAAGACGCCGTCTCTCTATGTATATATGCGGCACAGCAGTCACCGCGATACTATCGGCACGCAGAACTTTTGGCGATTGGTGGTCGTCCTCCCGCGGAGTTAATACCCATAGCGTGCCTCCTGCTGAAGACAGCTCACCAGTACTATCCAATCTGACAGAAAGGCGTTCTAACCAAACGTTGTAACGATTAGATTAGCTCTCATCAGCTTAGACACTTGGAATGACCAAATTTAAATGTGACTGGAAACGTTAACTTAAACGTGTTGACAATAGCATGGCTACGTCAGGCACTCAATACCCACATTGTGCCTTGATGCGAGTTTACAAGAGGCATTGCCTAGTCAATTTACAGTCTGACACAAGATGATGCACGCTAGATTTTGAGCATCACCAGCATTTCTTCACTGATAGGATATAAACATACCACATATGTTTGAATCATAAGCTAACGCCGCCCAAAGATAACTCACAAACGTCTGAGTAATCCAGACAGTTTTTGCTCACATAAATGCAGAGCACACCTCTAGTGTGTGCACTCTCCCAAAACGTTACCACAGCAGAGCAGCCGCTGATCATTTCCACATGAAGTGGTAAATATATCCGCTGGATAGTACCAACCGAACGCAAAGACAGGATGTCTCTAGTTATGCACATCAGGACCTAACTTCTGTTCGGATTACGGATTCTATCGTTTTATCTTTATGAGAGGCACGTTATATCCAGCAGGAAGTACACTATCAATAACATCTCTCTCTCTTCCTTTGGGATAGCGCCAAAGTAAGGGCAGACAGAACTGCCAGATACATCAAAGCTGAGCTCAAGCACTGCCATCGCTTGCAATTCGCTTCGAATTAAAATATCTACCAGTACATGCATGCATGCATACACACTTGCTCAGAGTGGATGATACTGCGGCAAAAACCAGCCAAGAGTCACTTGACTTCCGTACGAGTCGATGAAATTAACACAAGTCATTGCAGTACAGGCGTTCTGAATTCGCCATAGCAAATCGCGCAGCCGGACTCAGACCAATATCGGGGGATCGACGCTGAGCTTGATCTAATGACGAGATTACGGCAGCACAGCAAGCACGCAGGCCGCATGGAATGTCGCGCTCACGCATGTCGCTTAGCGGCGCTCTTTTTAAAACCAATAGACAAACAAACGGCGTACCGTCTGAAGAGACTTTGCGCTGAAACGACCTTGCTCATAGTTGGAACCTTCCAAGTCTAAATTTTCTCACCCCTCGGATGGACACACACCGCCGCAAAGCAAGTCTTAGGACACAATATACGTTAGCAAACTTATAATCGTCGCTAGAGGCAACGTCTCTGTAAAAAAAATAATCCTCAAACCGCTTGCACGAATATGAAACTGTGCCGGGTTCATAGTACCGGATTGACATTGGAAGAGGAAAGAAGCACCTCGAGCTTAGGCGTCCGTTTTACGATTAGCTTGCAAGCAGTAAAACAATCGGCAGAAGAATCATCAATTCTAGCTGAAAGATGTGCTTCATACATAAGCGCCTGTCTGTCCCATGCGTAGAATTTGATTTCAGAAGTGATTGAATTGCGCTTACAAATATACATACACTTTGAATATGTACGTACGTACGTACGTTGCAAGTAAACTTTTTAAAAATCCGCTCTCTCTACTGTATGTGGCAACTGCAGAACATGCAAGCAACTATTTAGCTGATCCATAAATATACCATATGTATGTAGTATGCTTTACTTATTCGTTCACTTAGTCATGTTGGGACGACCATCTGGGGTAGGATTAGTACTAATATTCAGGCGCGCCCACCGTTTCTTATGTATGTTTTCTGTACACATACAGACGCAGACCTTAGACTAGGGATAGGGTACAGAGCGAAAGGGGCTTCTTCTACTCCCCTTTGTGCGCAACTTTTTGTGGCAAAGCTGCAACCCGATCACACAACCGCTTTCTCCCTCTGCGCAATTTATTCTCCAATTCACCGCAAAGATCGCAAGCTTTTACTGACTTTTTTGTCAAGTGTTTGGTATTTGGTGTGTGTGTGCTGTATAGTTTGTTAGTTATCAACAATATATTAAAAAAACAGTTGAAAACTTTCAAATAAGATCCTACAAGTACTTTATATACTCACATTCTATCATATAGTTAGTCCCCATGGCTGATTATTCGGATCTAGCGCATAAGCACTTGGCTAATGCACGTGGTCATGTTGTTAATGACTGCTATGTCATTGATCAGCCGCACATGCCTATGCAGACACCGTTACAGCATCCAGTACGCTTCCAGGAACTTCCGCGACTGCAAGTACCACCGTTTGCACTTACACATCAGTCCATGCCTGCGTGGAAAATGCCACAACAATCTGTGCCACGTATGAGTGTATCTAATTTACTGTCCGGCAGCTTCCGAAGTCGCGCTTCACCGCAGTTACAGGCATCTACACTGACGCTTACACCGCCGTCAGCGCCGACACCTGTACACGCTCCTCCTCCTGCTTTGCGACGTCTACCCAGTTTTGCTGATATACTAGCGCGCACTCACCTCTTTCATCTCATGGGTCGGTCAAGTGAGCCCACTGCGGCCCCTGTTCCCGCTGTGGAGGTACCTGTGGAGGACGAAATGCAAATGCAGCAGCAGCAGCCCGAGCAAATGATGACTACTATGTATCAGCAGCAGATGCCAATGCAACTTATGGAAGGCAGCTACACGGTGTTTGCACCCCATCGCGTTGATACCAACTATAATATGGACACGTCGTGTAGTATTGGCGATGAGCAGCGGAGTCCCGTGGGTGTCGCGTCACCTGTTAGCCAGACAAGTGAGATGAACAAACGGCGTGAACGCTGGACGGAAGATGAGCATGCTCGCTTCATGGAGGGTCTGAATCGGTACGGTCGTAAGTGGAAAAAGATTCAGACGTTTGTTAAGACGAAGACCGCCGTGCAGGTTCGCACCCACGCGTATGGATATTTCGCTAAGTTACTCCGCAACATGCCGGAGGATGATGCAATCTGGGAACTTGCTGAGGAGATGAGTTCTCTGCCTGGTGCTGTACTGAAGGGTCCGGGAAATGGGAAGCGCCGCAATGAGCCGAAAACGGATGAGGCCGGTATGGAAGTGTTACGTCGCTTTGTGTTTTCCAAGAAGAAGTCGGAGGACAAGAAGCAATTATTGATGTCCAATGAGTCGACGGAGGACCGCGAGAATGTAGAGATGGCCGAGTCGACCCCCTCTAATGCCAACTCGCAGGCGCCTACGGGCTCGTGGAGCTCCACTCAGCAGTGGAAAGCCGACGATTCTGGCGCGCTACTAGAGATTAAACGTCAGCGCTTGAATTAAGTAGTATAGGTTTGCGATCCCATGCGTGAAATTGTAGGCATCAGATTAATAGGAGACAAAGAGCGATAGTGCATAAATGATATACACTCGGCAAGGCTATTTATTGAAGCTAACATGATGACGATGCTGAGAGAGGGGAATGGATGTTTATTCTGTTGAGGAATGGAAAATGAAAGGATTGTTCGTGTAACAGTGTGTACTAACCAGATTGATACAGACAGACGTAGAATGTAGTAAGCAGTGAGTGCTTCAAGGCTCGAAGCGCCTGTGTTGCATAATTTTATCGCCTCCAGCTGAAATCATCACCATTCGAAACAGTATCAGCCTTTGAACCAAAATGGACCATACAAAATGCTTGGTAACACAGGCGGTGTTTAGTCTACTATCGCGTTCTAGCAAGACTCAATCTTAGAATCGTTTGCACTACCACTGGTTGGCATCTTTTGAACTGATATAAAGCGTAACACATTAGATACAGCTTGATGGAACTCAAACTGTCGTCTATGAAGCGACGGATTATGTCGATTTAATGGCTAAAACTCGTAGATATTCTTTATTGAAGCAATCTCCAGTCTCTCTTGTGCTATCAACAACGGTATGTCACCTTAAAATGCGTCAAGAGACGTATCCAACAGCGCTATTAGAGACCTGCAACCTTAGTTCATACATTTTGGAAAGGCGACCAAGAAACGGCTGAGGATGTTCATATAATTTGCAACAACGTTAGCCGAAGAAGACGGTCGTCGATAAGAAGAAATTTGTGAGCAACGACATGAGCTGCAAATACGTTTTCACTGTATAAAGTATTCGCTTGGCGTTACGTTTGATCAAGACTCGCTAACGTCCTCATCACGTACACGCACTGATGTTAGTAGGCAGTACTTACTAGCATTTGTATGCTGCCATACAATCTGTCACGCTCACAGATAAAAAATGATGCGAGACAAGTCAATACTCGCCATTTCATGCATCAATGTATTTGTCTAAAGTGCCGAAGTGCTATTGCAGCAGCAGATGAGAATGGACCGAAATAGTCGACGCTTTCTTGTCGTTTTACCTATATCTTTTTTTCTTGCGGTCATCAAATCGAGTTCTTACGCGTTTGTTATCAGCTAAAGTTCTATGATCAGATTTGGTTGTGGCTCTAACGCCATGCAAATATTGCGTAAAGGTGCGAAACTATTTTGTTTCCATGACCTGAAGCAGATTGATACTTGTTAATTACACCGATGGCTTTAGTTTGTTTCCTACTGCCAAGATCAAGAGGAACCTCGCATCAAGTGATTGGTGCAGCATTTATCCTCAAACAAAAATTGCTTCATGCAACATCTCTTTCAAGCAACATTTATCCTCAAGCAACATTAACTTCATGCAACATCTCTTTCAAGCAACATGCCATTGTTGTGATTTTCCTATACCATTGACAAATACAAAAGATGGTAACGGCTGCATTATATTGTGACTAAAACAAGTCAGGACTATCATTGTAACTAACTAACAACTACTTGTTTAATTTATTTGCTATTATATACAAGTAGCCAGAATACGAAGTTGATGAGATTATTAACCGCATGAAAAGCCATAATAACGTACAGGCTGTACTTATTATAAATCAGGAGGGAGTACCTATCTATTCAAGTACGAGCGATGAGGAGTTTGCCATGGATCATGCGGCACTTTTATCACAGTTAACTATGAAGGCCAAGTCTATGATTTGCAGTCTAGATCCGACTGACGACATGGCGTTCTTACGCATTCGCTCCAAGAAGCACGACATTATGATTGCACCTGGTGCGTAAATAACTGCTATTTTTACCTCATGTACAGAATTATGCATCAACTAATTAATTATTTTTATTTTTGTTGCTCATAATTAAGACAAGGAATACGCACTAATAGTAATCCAGAACCTAACTAATACCGGTATGAAGCTCGACAACACTAGTAACAATTAGCTGTTTTTGTCGCATATTGTTTACAATCCTCTTTTTGTTTCTCATAATAAACATTACAAGTTGGTGGAATTATACACAATAATGTTACCAACATAATCTTTTCTTACTATTACTTCCTAAAAAAAATCTATTTATTACTTAAATAAAAATGCCGCCCCGAAGTTCGCTAAAGAAACACGACACGGCCGCAGAGTCACGCTCACAGAAAGCACGACGTCAACGTACTACTACAAATGTACGCAAGGATAAACGCCGTGCTACTGTACAAACCAAACGGCGACGTTTAATGTCAGCTGATCAGCCACCGCTTACAGGCCGCAGCATTGCTGAATTGGTGCAGATTCTTGGAGACACGACTAATGTATCGATTGCTAAGAGCCAGGCACGTTTTGATACACTGAAGGAAATTCGCGTGTTGCTGGCGACCTACGAAAAGGACTACAAACAGGTTGAGGAGATCATCGAGTCTGGGGTACGTCCGATCAGAACTGGTTGATTCTAAACTTGGTGGTGTGGAATTTGTGAGCAAAATGGGCAATTATGACAGGACATCAAGATAGAGACATTCCATTTTAGTCTTTTTTTGTTTTTGGGCAAGATACTTATTTTTGGGGGGTTGACCCATTTTTTTGTTATTGATGGATGACAGATTGTGCCAATCATGGTATCGCTGCTAAACTCGGCGTCACCACTTGTCAGTGCTACACGTGCGGGAGGAGAAGTGTACCGTGAGATCATGTGGTGTTTGATTAATATTACTAGTGGCCAGTATGAGCACACAAAACTAGTGCTACCGGCAGTGCCTCGACTGTTACAATTTTTAGAAGGGTCCAATCATTTGTTGGCTGAGCACGCCGCTTGGGTGCTTGGTAATATTGCAGCAGACTGCGAGGAGTTTCGCCAGCATCTTATTACTAATGGAGCTGTGGTGCCATTGGTAAAGAGATTGAGTAATCCTAGCGAGAGGGAATTAGCTAAAATCAGTGCATGGGCACTGTCAAATTTGGCTCGTGGTTTCGAAACTTCATCCAAGTCTTTTGTTGATGCTGGTATTATTCCTGTGGTCGTTAATGGGCTGTTGCAGCCCAGCTCAGCCATTACTTTCAGTGAGGAGATTGTGGTGGAAGTTGCGTGGTTGTTGAGCTTTTTATCGGCACGAGAAGAAGAGTATCTGAAGCTGATGCTGGAGAATGGGCTCGTGGAATTGCTGCTGTCGTATTTCTCGACCAATAATGAGCTATTACTGACTCCAATTTTGCGCGTGTTCGGTAATATTTGCTGTGGTTCGCCGGACCATCATACGGATGCATGGCAAATGCCACACGTTCGTCGTTTATTGAGTGCAGACTCTGTAGTTTTGCCAAAGTTGCGTGAGTTTCTACAGCCGCAGCAAGCAGGAGTGCAACAGAAATCATTAGCGGCTGAAGCAGCGTGGGTGGTTTCTAACCTGGCGGCAACTGACGCGTCTGTCGTAGAACTGCTGATGCAGGCACAGTTACTTCCGCTATTGGGCCAGCAGTTTATAGATGGCAGCTATGAGGTACGACGCGAGGTGGCATTTGCGCTCACCAATATCGCTTTAACCAGTGCAGGACACATGAAGGATGTGCTGGCACTGGGTGTTGTAAAAGGCTTTTTGCATTTGCTTACCGTCGCTGATGTTGGCATCGTTGGTAATTCGCTACGCTTTATCGAGAACGTGTTGCGTGTAGCGCCTGACGGAGTTTCACTCGTTGAGGCAAACGAAGGCATTGACGCACTGGAAACTGTACAATTTGAGTGCAACGAGGAGCATTTATCGCAGTGGGCAGGCGCGCTAGTCAACGAATTCTACGGAGAAAATTACGGCGTCAATTCGCCTCCAAATGCCGCTGGAGCATCTATTGGTTTTGATGTGCGGTCAGGAGATTCCGTTCAGTTCTCATTTGGTGCTCATGAGGAGGCACCAATTTTAAGTTCTGGAGGTCGAGGTCGTGGAGTGCATATGACCACACCAGCGTGGAAAAAGTAAAAAAAAGCTGCCGCGTCATTAGAGACAGAAAAATAGCGATTGCTTTCTGGCTCGTATGTTGCTTACACGGGCATTGTGCGGCACATTACCGTAATAACAAAGCAAACTAACAAGGGTCGCAAGTTAACAAGGTCACACAATGTGATACGGACATTTGACGTTTGTAGGCAACACTTTAATATTAGTAAACATGAATTAGTCTATATGTAAAGACATGGTCCTCTTATCAAGAACCAATTAATGGATGGAATAGTTCATGTATTTGACGTCATTGTACGAAATAGGTTGTTGCTATTATGTCCTTAGCTAGATGATGCATTAAATTATCAAAGCCATCTGGAGGATTCGTTTTTTTCCAGTAACTTCTTGCATTCCATCAGATGGCGAATAAAACAGACTGTACTTGTCAGGCTTGGTAATAGTCGTAGAAAAACTTGAATTGGAGGCAGAGGAAGACTTAAACTTGACTTTTTTTCTATTATGTGAGCAAATAATAATTCCACTCAACCAACGGGTTCAGAAGGGTCAACACCTTATAAAATCTCGTTATGCATTGTATCACTGACACTTTTGAGCATTTCAACATTTTTGGATCACAAAGTGACTGACATGCGGATCTTTCCGTACACAAACGACAACAACGTCTTGCACGTCGCAATAACTGGCTACTGCCACAATACGGAAGTTTCACGGAAACTGCTTTGACATCACCCACCCACATTCTAACAACAACAACAACTGCAGTCAGTACACTTGCCTTTTGTTGACACATGGAAAGTCATTTCATTACTATTTACCACCCCTTCGTGCGTATTATTCAAGTCTTGCTGCTCTAAGCTCGCTCAGTTTTTGACCTGAATTGTATGTAACATCTGTGTCAATATCTCGTAGATAAGCGGGGAAGGAAGCCAATATCCAGCACATCGTACCGGCTTCATATCGTTCGCTCGTGACTGACGCATCAAATGTGTCGTGTTGTCGAATCCATAAAGCTCGTTCTGTGTGGCTCACAAGTCGCGTAGGTTAACCTAAGCCAGTCTTTTCATCTCTTTTCTTCTCACGAAAGCTTCTAATAATAGCACCTCTGCACTAAACCATCACTTGTTGCTTCCTAATATCATCTCCTTAGCCTTGTTAATTGAATTCCTTATACTCAAAAGCTACATAATCAACAAAAGGTAACTACTACCAATGTACTTTTCGTTGTAAATGACAATTTGCATTTCAAACTTACTCTTTACTCGCATACTAACTACGCTTACACTCAGCACTAAAACAAGGCACTCAAAACTCAACTTGTACAACAGTCGGTTTAAAAAAAGGGATTACTCGTAGTCGACAAAACACTTGCCAAATCGTACACATGGCCATCATTCCACAGCTCCGTCCAGGATTCATAGCTGTAAATTGTCCTTCGTCTCACCATCAGTCACCGACTCTTCCGCGGATGTCTCGGCATCGTCATGACTTACTCCATGACTTTCTCGCTTTAACATTGCCACGTGCTGCGATGTCTCGAGAGGAAAGAGACTAAACTCGACGTTCGTCGCCTTCCCACCATCGTCGGTGATAACTGCCGCCACTAAATTAACAGTCGCTGTCTTACCTCCTACAGTGGGCGTCTTCACCAATGCACCAATCGACTGATTCGTTTCACAAACCTTCTTCATGATCCTGTTTAACGTATTCTGGTCTGCACACAAGTATTGCTCTAAAGTGTTTTGGCTTTTTAGCATCGACTCTGGCTTGCCCGTGTGCTTCACAAACGCATTGTTAAACGTGACAGTCTGCATGTTCATGTCCACTACAACTCGTGGCGTCGTAGTCTTCTGAAACATCCCCCGAAAAACTTTATCAGCACCCGAAGACGACTTCTGTGCCTGTGTACGAAAGGCTTCCGCTTGCTTTTCCGCCCGTTCAGCCTTTTGCTTGGCAATAAGCAAGTTGCTACGTAGCATCTCAATATAATGAGCAGCATTGTCTAGAATAGACTGTTTGTTCTTCTTTGTCTGTACACCAGCCTCATCCAGCATATCTTTGAGTTGATTAATCCGATCATTGAGCTTAAACATCCGCTTCTTCTCTTTCAAATTCAAATCTTCTCGCGACCGTTTCGAATTACTGCGTGTACTGGATGGTGTGACCACATTGCCATTGGCATATTCGTAATCCGACGATACGTGCAGCATTTGTGTGCTAATTTGTGGGGGTGGATAATAGTGACTCGTGTTCTGAACGTTCATCAAAAGTGGCTCGGACTCATATTTCGAAGTCATAGCAGCATGTTGTGGTGTCATACCAGCGTGTTGCGGTGTCATACCAGCGTGTTGCGGTGTCATAGCGTGCTGAGATGTACCTTGATGTACCATGTAATTATACTCATTAAGAACAGGTGGTTGCATAAAAAGCTTGGGACGTTCACCACTTTGCACATGATGCTGTTCATAGCCCATGGCATTTGCAGGCGAGGGCGCGTACCCATAGTCCGTGGGAGGTGTCAGCATTATAATAATAATAAGTATATGAAGAAAGTCAGTTGTAAAATTATAATGTTAAAGCTTTTAGACTTCACGGTAGTCGTTCAGTCGTTGAGTATTAACTTGAAATTCTTTACTTAAAAATAAACTCCCTAAGCCTTGAGATGTTAAATGGGAAATGGGAATAGAGAGGCTGAACCGAGTTAGCAGCTGGTAAATAACCGATCCATCAACTTATTGCGTCGAGTAGCATAAAGCCAGTCTAAGAACACGGTTTCTACGGTTACAAAAATCACGTGTGGACTACCTGACTAAGCATGGTGCGACGTACTGTACACAATTTTGACACGATTCAACGCTATTTATTAAAGCAGAATCTTTGACAAATGTTGCAGATTTATCGTTACAAATATATGCGACAGAATGAAAAAAGGGGCTCTATCTTCGTTTTAATGACATACCTGTACAAACAACATTTGACCCATTTTCTACTGCAAAAATCCAATACAACGATTTTGAACTACTTTGTGGCAACCTATTTGATAAGACTGTTTTATAATTGTGTCTGCAGCTAATAATGCAGCAATTTAAATTCTGTAGCCGGACAGTGGAATTCTCGCAGCCAACTATTGCATCGAGGCACACCGCAACCAGTCAGATGGTCTATGTTATATCTTGTCGTCAAGTCATGATATAAGGAACTGAAGTGTTTACATCCTGACGTCAGAGGGATGCCGTCCTGCGTCAGCCCGAACATTTCATCAGCACTACTTTACACGCTTTACGACCAATCATAGGTTGGCGATTAATCTTGAAAACAGCATAACAATCGAGACATGAAGGAACAGTATAAGAACATATAAAATGATATTTTTAAATCTGAGTATTCTAATGTGATCCATAAGCGACTTTTTATCAGCTTTTTAATGTGTCGTTACTGTATCGGTGCTAAAACCAATAAACAGGACAGACTAAACAAATGTTAACAAACTTCAACTCGGATTTATAAACAAAGACACTAACTAGCATGTCTGATAGACAGAGTCAGAATGTTGTCCAAAAAGCGAGTAAGTACATGCATTCCTGGTATGTTTATAGCTAAGAACGCTAGCGTCGAAGGACGCGACATTGTGTCAAGACACTTTTTTTCTATGATCTCATGGACTCTCTCGGTGAGTAGGTAAAGATCTATATGTGGCGCTGTGTCAGCTTAAAGCCGTCGTCAAATAGCCTTGAGTTGCTAGACTGCTTTAGTGTCCAGTATGCCACTACTCCTTCCCTGTCCTATCTATCCGTTATCTGTTCGTCACGAAGGACAAGATTGATTTGCTTAATATAGACTCATGGTTGTGACCAGTAGATTTAATGAAGAGAGCATAAGCTTGGTCAACCAGCACAAGACAGTCAGTCATTCGTAGCAATGTAACCCGTCACGTGAAAATGTGATCGACATGTTGAGTTTATGGCTGTAGATGCTGCAGTGAGAAGAGTCATTTACTGAAGCGAGGCACACAACACCTTTGCAGACAATTGGCAATCATCTTATTGTGAAGCAGAGACGTCACGTGCTGGAATCCCTAGGGGTTTATGTTTGCACCAATATGTTGGAGGTGCTATAAGTATAGAAGCTTTATATCTTTTATTTTAGATAGGATCACAGGCAAAAATGACGTTGATGTACAATTTTGCTACAAGAAAGGTGTCGAACACACATGAGATGGTTCTCAAGCAACACAACTTCAAAACTTCGACATCAAACAGTTCATTATCAAATATAAATGTCTTGAGATTACAAGGCTTGACTTTTCCATGTCTAGATCGTATCATTCCTGACATAATACGGTTCCTCTTGAAATTCTGCCGAGCAAAATGGAAACGTCACATCCTCCTCGACGGGATTAAAAAGATTCTTGCCGGCGTCAATCATAACGTAGATACCAGCAGCCGTACAAATGATAGTAATGGTAAGGCATAGAAGCTTTTCCCACACCGAGATCTTGTTCCAAAAAACCTTCACGTAGAAGATGAAAGGCAAAATGAGACTCGACGTCGTGATAGCAGTCGCTCCTGTAAAGTCAGTAAGGTTAAGAAAGTTGTCGCGAAGCAGGATAGAGAGCACGACCAATACGGCAATCAACGTGATACGCAGCAAGATATACCGAGTGACGTTGGCACTACCCTTGTACTCGGACAAATCTTCTTCGGCGACCAATGTATTGGGCACAGACATACGACTGGTGACATTGAAGCGGCTAATACGATCGTTACTCTCGACTTCTGCAGGTGTGGACGCGGGAAGGTACGAGACCTTTTCGTTCGGCAAAGCATTCTCCTCGGTACTAGTAGGCGCATGCATTCCAAGAATCACACGTTCAAACATATAAAAGGCAGGGTGCAGGAAGCAGCAGAAGGCAACTGAGAGATGCATTTGCATGAAGATGAAGGCCATGACCACAGCAGCACGTGAAGACGTGAAGCCAAGACTTGTTGCCGCGTACGGGTCGGAAGTGTTGGTGACAGAAAAGAGGAGGTTACCAGACATTTGGCACCCGCCCGCAATGTATCCCAAAATGGCAACGGCGACAAAGAAGACTGAAGAGACGACCAAACTAACAATGATAACACGGGGCATGTGGTCGGGCTGCGAGTGCTGACGTTGAAGGTCCGGAATCACAGTAGCAGCAGCATACGCAAGCGAAAGGTTACCGAAAGTGGTTATGACTTGGTGAGCCGAAACATCAGCGATAGGTGGTGACGGATGTCCGCGCATTTCGTATAAGAGGATACTGATGCCAATTAAGTCAGCAACAATCGTACCCAAGCAACCAGCAAGTGCCATGCTAGTGCTTTCCTTCATGGTAGGAACTAATGCAACGGGAACAACAACGATGGCCATGAAGATGATCCACACTGACTGGCTAAAACAGTCCGGAAACAGAACATCCAATAATAAACTTCCAAGCACAAGAAACGCACAAGGTAATAGGAGACACACAGCCATCTGGCACGTGACGACGAGGAATCGTCCTCCCTTTCCAGCGACCCACTCGCCTAGATCACCATATGTCCGCACGGAAGCTGGAGCTTGTAGAAGCACCTTGGACAACAGAACGGACGAATAGATATTTGCAAAAGCCATGAATACCATTGCAATGGTAGCATAGACCCAACCGGCACGAGCGTAATTAGCTGGCATTCCTAATGAACCGATACCGCAGACGCAGCAGAAAATATTGAAAGACGCTTTAACATCTTCGAGTGTAAAAATTGCCGATGATTTTGAAGTTGGCGCCATGGGTGGTTTTCACCTTGAACGGTAGAATGACGAATGGACTATTGTCAGTATGAGCGATGTCTTCACATCCGTCACAACCACGTTTAACCAAAGGAACAGTTCAAACAAAGATAATCCTATTTTTTCATGCTTATCACTGCTTTTTCGTATCAGTTTAGTTATACCATTGTAGAAAAACTGGTCGTACTTACATAACATGTACACGGACTTGTTCAAACACCTGCCAGCCTATCCATCATCGTCTGGGCTGTTTGTTCCAGATGACAATCATCCCGTTGCGCGAAGTATCTTGAAACCGTATTGAAATTTAGCAAACGTGTGTGCAAAGTATCCACATACGGTTTAGCTACTAGTCCTTGCCACGAGTATGATTACAAAGTCAAAGGTTCATTAAAATGGCTATTGCATGATAATGATCAAGGATGCCTCATACTAACTGCAACTAGTTAGTAAACTGCACGGCAATTTTGCTATCTATAACAATCATATTGAGCTTATACAAGTGCTGATGTCTCTAAGCTATGATTCATCTTTGTCACTGTGTTACACGTACACGTACAGTACGGTATCAGATTCTAGGCCCATCCGCGCGTGAGTGTGATTTGTGAACCTGGGGACATTTGCACCGTATACAGCACAGCCTACAGAGATCGTATTGCCTGGTAAATAAATGATCGGCACAGACGAGCCTCGCAGCCATTAAATGGACAAAAGCCACCATGAGGACTCTTAATTTTCTGTAGATCATGTGAGTCAAATGAAACACTAGGCAAAGCTACCCCGAGCGAAACAGAGCGAAACACACACGTCAGGGGATTGCAATTGAGAATTAACACTGAGGCAATGACGCTATATCGCTGATACTTTGTCAGTGTTTAAAGCTCAAAAGCGAGTTTTGATTCAACTTTTCATCGTAAACTTTCTAATACAAGGCTCAATGTGTATGTATTAATGTAAGAATGCTATGAAGGATGAGTTAGTTACCTGTTAGTTGGATAACGACAGCAAGTCGTTCGACAAACAGCAAAAATTGGAAACATCTTTGCAAGAAATATGAAGCGGCTTCTCAAATAGTGAGTCAGTATGTACCTCTCCAAATATGAGGATTGCTGTTTTTTAGTCTTGTTCTTGGAAAATGTCGTTCCAAGCTCTTTTCATCTGGCTCATCATACAAGATAAACCGCTTGCTAGTCCCAAATGACCGACGTTCGTTGCAAGAAACTTCAAAGTACTATTGAAAATTTGCATATAAACAGTTTGGGCAACAAGGTACTGAACGGTTTCGCTCCATGTCCGTTTCCTGTGACACATTGCATTCATAGAAGGCCTGGTCTGCCATGCAGACCAGGTAAGATACACTACAGACTGCAGTGACATGCAAACTCAACTATAAATTGATGTATTTGCTGTGAAATGACCCTCAAAATCAGGTCGTTGGGCTTTGTGCTGATTTGAAAGAGTCGGAGGCGAATGCTGTTTTCTTTGTATCAGATCCTAAAGACTGGGACAAACAAGTGGCAAATGAGAGGCAAAAATGCCTGTAGTGACTAATAGGATAGTGTAGAGTTGTAAGGCTGACGTGTCACCAAATAATAGCACATTCTTGAATAGACCATGCAGATCATCGACGTCCTTGAATTTTCAGTCAAGGTTACTGGGTTTTAGGATGATAAGATGAATTGTCTATTGCCTGGTGTTGCTCATAATGTATCCGAAATTCTTTTTCTATATGCTTTTTGAAAGCATATCTCTCATCAGGTAAGCTTTCTAGCATACGGAATACACACATGCTTTGCTCGTGTATTGGTGCTAGAGTTACGTTTCCAGGAAGCTATGGTTTGGACAGCATCGTATCCTCAAAGCTGTTTGTACACTTATGGTATTTACAGCTTTGTGATACAAACTGATTCTCATTCTGTTACAACGCTGTACTTCCTTTGATCGGCAACGAACGATGCGATTTTCAGCTCGAGCTGAATCAACAAAGTCTGCGGAATGCCACACGGAGTAATTATGTTGTACTATCGACCATTTTAATGCCTCATGAAATGGTGCACCTCTTAGATTCAAACTGTGAGCTAGTTATTCTTTAAACTTGCCTCTTGAAGCTTTAAGACACAAACTTGCTGCAACAACTGACGAACATTATGCTACTAGCTGGACTCCTGACTTTTAGACGTGTCATCTTTTGAAGTGACCACGTTCTTTCTTGACGACTTTATTGTGGATTTCTCATGTGCCAACTGCTTTTTGCAACCCTGGTGGAGTGATGTCTTCACTCATTGTGGTGCAATAGTTAAAAAATGCAGCATCCTGGCACATGTGACGATGACCACCTTTCCAGTGCATCCGCTGGCAGTTACGGGAGCAATACTTGACCATTTTGCAGGCACCGCAAGCCAAAAGGCTCTTCGCGGGAATATTTGGGTTACCACAGGAGGTGCATAGTAATCCATTCCCTATGTACTTGTTGTGCCGCAACTGACATAATTCAAAGCCCACTCCTTGCGCAGAGCATTTTAAGACGTACAGGACAACATCCTGTCCATATACTTCGCGCTGCATGGGTATAGCGACTGTGCATTGGTCAATCATTTCTAGTGGTGGTGATAGACGCCAAAAAACAAGCACTGAATTAGTGACTTCAGCCCCCTCAATGGCTTTCGATAATGCAACTGCAGCATTTGATCGAGATGTCTTCGAAATGCAATTCACTCGTAAAGTCCAACGCTGACCAAATATCGTCTCTAGTGTGAACACTGTTTGGGTACTCTTCCCTCTTGTAATGTCAAGAATAGTACCCACGAAATGAAATTTTGGAGCTACGAGATCCTGCAAACCATCACTTTGTCTCAGTGCGGTGTTCGCTAGCTCTGTTTGCTGTAGAGATAAACCCGCGACGGTATTTTGTGAATGCCTTTCTTCTTTTGCCTTTTTTTTTCTGCCCACACCAGAAGCAGCATGCCGTGAAAGCCTGTGAGTCTGAAGAAGATCAAAGACCATATGCTCGCTGCAATCTTGGCACGCTACAGCCCGCCGTGGGCACTTGGATAATTTATGGCCAAGTAGTTGAGTAACTTTTATCGTTGCCTTACAGAATCCACAATCAGCCATATTTTGTGCTAAAATTTTTGCAATCACCGATGACTCCATGAAACCATTCATTTTCATACCAGAACGAAGCGTCTCCTTTGGAATGTCGTAAAGAACCGAAGGATAAAACGCAGGAAAGCGAATGGTAACAGACTCAGCCATCTGTCCGAGTTCATGGTAAACAGTAGCCATGGCATTGTTGCGCTGCTTGAAATATAATGCGCCGATAGAGTAGTACGCGTCTGGTATGAATCGCTCATCAGGAGGATTGGTGTTTACGTACTCTTTGTATATCGACATGGCCGGCTCAATCAAACCTAATCCTATCATTGGTGCGGCAAACCAGTAGAGCCAATCCGGCTTCTTTTGGATTGCCAGCGCAGCTTCCATTGCTACCAAGGCGTCATCATAGCGTTGCATCGTTAAATACGCAGCGCCAAGATAAAAGCGAAACGAAGCTTCATTCGGATGCATTTTTGCACACCGTCTCCAGTGACAGACATCATCTTGACTGCTCATCATCTGCCATCGCCCGATCACGTATGCCGCATCAATATCCCTGGGGTTGATCTGTAAACTCACAGCAGCTTCCTTAAGAATTTTAGGTAGCAGGTCTGTAGAGGTAGCCGCCGCGAGAGCACCCTTTGGCCACTCCCACATCAAATCGGCCTTTTTTAAATCTCGTAGCGCACCCTTAAAATCCCATAAAGCAAGTAATTTAGCCGCACTACCAAGAAGCTCTTTAGATGCAAGGTACTTCCAAGCTGTAATACCTCCAGCCTGAGCACGACTTTGAATTTCAGCGTCAATAACGGCAGAAGGCGGTCGATACATGCCTATGATATCGAAGGAAGATGAGAATTCCAGTGGGAGCGAGGTCACCTTTGCTATCAATAGCTTATCATCATCACCGTCAGAACCATTACCAAATTCAGCGCCGTTGTCTTTTCTGTCCTTATCCAGATACGCGCTATAAAATTCCTGAAGCGCTGCCTTACCGCGTTGCAATATCGTGGAATTGCACAAAAACTGGTCATCAATTTTACCGCTGCCACTCGCTGTGATACCATTATCAGCAAAATCATGCTTTAGTAACAGGCCTGATAGTCGACTCTGGCAGGCTGCTAGTGTCCATTCTTGAGCTTGACTGACATCACGCTTTCCACCATAGCCCTTTTCAAATAGCTCAGCAAGATAATGCTGCGCTGCAGGCAATCCGTGCTGTGCCGCGCGTGACGTCCACATCCGCGCTGCAAATGCGTCAACTGGCGTTCCACTGCCCGTTGCGTAGGCAATTGCGACGTGGTATTGGCCAATAGGATAGTCATGCTCTGCCGACCGCAAGAAGTAGTGGAACGCCTTTTCCAAGTCAACGTCTACAACAGAAGCGGGTTTCCCGTCTCGATAACAAACTCCCAGCTCATTCTCAGCCTCCGCAACACCTTGGTGCGAGAAAACACGATTTCCAGGTGGTTTAATAAAAGGCCGCAGCTCTGCTGCTTTCTGAAAGCATTCCAACATCTTGTGAGGATCGGCTTTCAGTGGCATGCATTTTCGAACGTCGCTGCTATAGAGCACACCAAGACAAAACCACGCCTCAGCAATGCCAGCTTTTCCAGCTTTACGAAGGTTTGCCATGCCTTCTTTGACCAGCTTGTCCAACTGCAATTTTGACAATCTGGGTGTCCCAATGCTGCTAGTAACCTGAAGCAATATCTTCGCTGCTACCACCAGACTTTCTGAACCTTGCTGGTACATCTTAAGGCGCTGGGATCCACGAGAATGCGTCTCAATCCACTTCGACGGCACCTCCTGATACTCGAGCATCGGCACTAACTCCATCTCAGGTGCTGCATTCTTTTGCTTGTTATTTGTCTTGGTTAACTTGTGTTTACCCGGTCTCAGTTGTACCTGCACAGAATTTGCCGCGACAGCTGCATTTACTTGCTTAACTTTTGCTCGTTCTTCCAACTGAAGTCTCTTCTTTTCCAAATCATGATCAGATTTTTCTTTTGCAATCATAGTTTCCGCAGTACGTTTTCTACTAAGTAGTGTAGCGTCTGTCGATTTCAGCTTCAGTCCTTGTTCACAAATCTTCTTTACCTCATCGTAGTCTTTCATTCCTATAATCGCCTCCGACAACAGCCTATAGTACTTAACGTTTTCGAGTTTGTCAGCATCGATAGCATCTTCCGCATCTTCACGTGCACGTTCAAATTCATTCAGTCGCAGATAACACATGGCTCGATTGCCAAACAATACCGCCTGATTCGGCGCTACGTCCAACCCTTGTGAGTAGGCTTCTATTGCTTCCGTGTAATTCTTTTCATTGTAATAATCATTGCCAATAAGTTTTAAATCCATCCACAACGGGTACTCCTCCTCATCTCCGTCATACAAATAATTTTGCTGTAAAATCTGATCCAAGGACGCTGGAGGAGGTATCATCCTTGCTTGTGTCAAATCAAATACCAACTTGCTTTCTGTCTCTTCACATGTTATTTCTGCATGATCTTTTACTTGAGTTGTGGAAGTTTTCGTGTCTCCAACAGCTTCTCTTGTATTTAGAGGAGAGAATGACAACAACTTAGTCACAAGTTCCCGAATTTGCCGTCTAATGAGCGCATTGCACTCGATAATATCTGCCAATTTTTCAAAAGTAGCAATAGCCGTCTTGTACTGAGTTAATGTCAATTGATTTTGATGAGACACTTTGTTACGGAACATGAGAGCTCTCTGTACTATGGTAGGTAGTGCAGGGTCTAAACCATAGTACCGTAAGTGGCTGTGCCAATGTTGCCGAAGGTACTTTAGCTGATAAGACAAGTCATTTTGTTGCGCAATGTTTAAGTCGCTGGTATCTGATATCTCTCTATCCTTTCTGAAGTAACGCGAAGTAGAGCGTTCCAACCTGGCATTGCTGCGGGCCACACGCTCCTTCTGAAACAACACAAATTTTACTAGCTCTGGATGCACCATACTCATTATCGCCTGCAAACATCCAGCTGCAATGGCGCCACTTGCTAGTGTCTCGATAGATGGCGAACCATCATCTTTTGTCTTAGCCATTACAGATTCCTATGTCTCGTTGAAAATAATGGTCTACAAAGTGCAGATAAACCGTCCAGCCTAAGTAACGCCATGAAGTCGCGGAAGTGACATGTCATTTAACTGGTACAAAATGGCACTTTGCTCTTCCAGTGCCTTGACGCGCAAAAACGACCACGTCTGCTACTATACCAGCCCATGATTCATAGCACGGCAATTTTCAGAGTTGGCGTGCTATGAATTATGCGCTAGCATAGTAGCAGACGTATGTGACTATTCCGCCGGTCTCGACCGAGGAATCGGTCGTGCTCACTTTGACTTAGACTTTACTAGACATCTTGCAAACCTTAATCTACGTTCAATGGAATAGTCTACCTCTCTCTATTTCTCTTACATGATGACCATCATCACCACGAATTGCAATCCCTTTAGACCGCACAGGCTTCGGAATGACGTAAATCGTACGAACTGCCTTGTTGAGTTCAGGGTACACCTGTTAGGCCCAAAGCTGTTTGTGATCTATACAGATCATGCGTCGTTACGCACAGCAACACAGTCGCCTCATCTCTCGCAGACAATGACTCGTTGGCTCTCCTTTTTTGCGGAGTATAACTTCGAGGTGAAGTATAAGCCGGGAAAACAGAATGGTGTGGCTGACGCGTTATCGCGTAGACCTGACTATGAGCTTGCTCATCTTATGTTGTGAGTTCGTCAGTAATGGATTGTAGTTGTGTGGCGCATGCACGCGTTGAAGCATGTGCTACCATTATGCAGGCGCTGTGTAGCGCAGAGTTTGAATGATCTGAGGTGAAGCTGTCACCACGTAATCGTGCGCGATTACACCATTATGCACTGACCGATTCTCTGTTATACTATATTACAGGGTCGGATGACCAGCCTCGTGTTGTGGTGTCTCATGATGAGGACCTCAAGTATCAGATACTTTATGAGGCTCATGTTACACCACTTAGTGGTCATTTAGGTCGTGAGAAGACCTACAGCTCGGTGAGCACCCATTTTTGGTGGCCCAAGTTGTACAAATGGGTTGGTACCTACGTACGCACGTATTCAACGTGTCAAAAGGTGAATCCCTCGCCTAATATGGCTGCACCTTTGGCGGGTTTGCGTGTACCCTCAGGGTGGGACAGTCCATTAGTATGGACTTTGCGTTTGGCCTACCGCGTGATGCGGCAGGCAACACTGGAACTGTGGTCTTTGTAGACAGACTGAGCAAGATGGCTCACTTAGCGGCAGTGCCGGACTCATTGATGGAGAAAGAACAGCAAAGCTGTTCATGGATCGTGTGTTGAGGCAAGCGTCTCGGATAGAGACCCCCGTTTTACGGGTAAGTTGTGCACATTCGTCTTTAAAGTGCTCGGCACTCGACTCGACATGTCCAGGGCGGATCATCCGCAGACCGATGGTCAGACTGAACGAGTCAACCGCGTTATTGGCGATATGCTTCGCAGTGTTTGTGCTAAAACACCCAAGCATTGGAGCACGATGCTCCCTCTGGTAGAGTTTGCGTTGAACAACGCGGTGCACGCCCAGACAGGCTTCACCCCAGTTTGACGTGAATGCTTTGGTTAATCCCTCACGTTCGGTTAAAGCTACCCCCTGCCACATCAGGGCTTAATGGGGGAGAGATAGCCGAAGGCTTGGCTGATATCAGCCCTGTTGCGATTCGCAAGAATGTGGAAGCGTTTCTTTCAACTCATTTTGATGTATTACGTCGCGTCAAAGACGCTATGGCTGAAAACCAGGGTGTTCAAAAGGAAGATGCGGATGCCAGAGGCATAAAGAACGAACACGAGTTCAAAGTGGTAGACTTGGTGTTATTAAAAGCTAGGAAATTACCTACTCGCGACGCTTCTGGCGGTATACAAAACCAAACTATGACCATGCTTTATTGGACCTTTTAAGGTTATAAGCAAGAAAGGCTTAGCGTATACGCTGAACCTTCCAAAGAAGATGCAAACACACCCTGTGTTCTATGTGGGCTTACCGAAGCCATGTTTCAACCCTGCCTCGGTGGCCTGCGAAGGGTTTCCCCCATATCCCCGGCCGAAGGAGGCGGGTAGTACTGACACCGGAGGTGCATATGGACGCTAAAGGCGTACCAGGAGGTCGATCTGACATTGCAGTTTGGCTTAGAAACGCTCGATAACCTCTAAGTAATCCAAGGTCTCAGAGCGACAACGCTCAAAGGATCAACGGTGTCGATCAACACGGTCATCAAGCGATGACAGGTGGGACCTCACCGGTACAAGGGAATCACGCTCCAGGAGCGTCAGGCGACGCTCAATCTCAGAGAGATGAGAGGTCAATGGGTCATCGACCTCTTCCGACGTTGATTGATGACCAGGGTCATCAACAGTTCTACGTGGAACGTCTCTTGGCTCGGCGTCGTCACCAGGGTCATACCAAATACTTGGTGAAGTGGAGCGGTTACCCCCAGTCGTATGACCTGCGGGAGCATGAGGTACCGCTGCAGGCAGGGATTGCCCTGACGCCGTTGACGATTTTGATCCAGGAAGGTCAGAAGCGACGACAGCTGTCTTCGGACGCTTCCTAGCACTAGGTGCTGTGGAAGTAGGGTCAGCAGGCTGGTTTTGCCTCTGACCTTCAGAAGAAGCCAATGTCGGTACATCACTCGAGTGAGAGGTACGGGCAACAGCTTCAGAAGCTTGATCCCCACAAGACTTTGACCTGTATGTGGAGGGTAGTTGAAGTTTCGCTTTGAGCTTAGCGAAGTTATAACGTAGACGGCGTTCTAACCAATCAACTTGTTCTTTAGCACTTAAGCGCAAGTTAGACAAACTTGAGAGCTTACATGATCATTCTACCCAACGGGTGAGGTGGTGATCATCTTACGCAGATGTTTCACCTAGTGCAAGCACCACTGGCATGCCTTTTAGTTGGTGCACGGGCACCCCACGTGACTGTCATGGCAGCCGCTCCTGATATGAATTTCATCGTAAACTTCTGGGGATGTAAGTAGCCGCTCACGCAGAGCAATACTATCTGCATTCTCGCAGGATGTACGGGCATGGGCCCCAATGACATAGGTTCGCAAGGATAGCGATGCAGCTCGTCGAGCTTCCTCATTGGAGTCCCGAGGAACGAAATCATAATCACGTCGTGAAAAGGTTTGTTTGGGCCGTGCCAAAGCGGCCGCTCGAGCCTCGTCATCGAGTTGACGACGCTGTGCAGCGTCAAGAGGGTTAGTTACCTCTTCGTTAGTACTCTCTCGTGAGGGAAGAGGAGGCGCTTGGCGCAAAGGGGTTGTCTCCCTTCACAGAATGGGATCGACGTCCCTCTCTCGGTGAGCGTGATGATCTTGGGTTACTTTGACCCGAAGGTGACTCGGCCCCGCCACTTCTTGAGGTATCGTCACTGTCATCGTCCCCAAAGAGGTCGTGACGCATTGCTTCATCCATGATGTAGCAAGTGCTATCGAGACAAGTGCTTTATAAAAGCAAGTGCTAGGCACTTAGTGCTGTGAAAGCAAGTGTTCGTAACTACACAAAGGGTATTATTACCAAGTGCTTGGCACTTAACGCTAATAAGCAAGTGTCATAACAGTTGATGCCTTAGAAAGCGTATGTGCAAGGCACGGGTGCTCAAAGAGCAAGAGTTAAAAACACAGAAGCTTTAGACGCAAGTGCAAGCACTTATTGCGAGGCAAGCAAAATGAGAAGAAGATAAAATCGGTGCCTCCAATTAAGTGCGAAAATTCGTGGGTACGTCGGGTCCCACGGATTGGTGGGGAATGGTGAATGGGGTTACACGAAGGTGTGTACTTTACAAACAGACCTGCCACACCAATGTGGTGTGGCTGTACCTTGGGTACAAAAGTAGGTGATGTGACCGTTCCTGAAGTACGAAGGGTCGCATCGTGACAGAGGCCACGTAGTCACTATACTTATTTAAAAAAGGATAGTGACTATGCATGTTTGCATAATAATAAAAGGCTATAGAGCCAGTAAATAGTGACTAGCACTAAGTATAGAGTAGGTGCTTCTATATTTAGTGTTAGAAGATAAACATAAATATAAACCAGTTTCAAACCTGCTCTATAAGCATCACTGCTTGAGCTTTCTATTCCTCCTGAGAAATCAGTATCTTTGATACTAGTCTCTTTGAGACTCGGTTGTTAATACCGATGACCACAAGCTTACGAGCTAGCCTAGGAGGGTTAAACACCCTAAGACGTAGAAGCTCTCTAAGTTTGTCTTTCTCTGCACATAGTGCATACGTAGCTTTGCTTCAGTAGTTTGACTACTACTTCTGCACATAGTGCACAAGTAGCGTAGCTACAGTAGCATGGCTACAACTGGTAGCACTTGTAGTCAATCCCGCACCTGGGTTTCAACTATATCGCTGTGTAAGAATGGACACCGAAGAGATGGCAGCGATTGGCCTGTCACAGGAACAACAGGAAGGGTTTCCCTCCCACGAGCGATTCGTGGGTGCCTCGCTCCATTCTTTTCGCCACAGTTCCAGACGTGGTGGAGGCGTACGACGCCGAGGCGAACTTGGTGGTTTTCGCGGTCGAGGACTTGCAGACTGCGAGCGTGAACGTAAATCACGTGTCGATCGAGTGCGTGCACGACCGAGCAGACGCACATGCTCATAGTTCGTGAGAGCACGATCATAGCGCCCTATCCACGGGAGCTCTACTTCCGTCATTGGATGTTGCGTAAGAATTGACTCCCACTCGTCGCGGGTTGGATCTTGCTCACCGCGACAAAATCGTCATCCCTCGCGCCTTCGCACGAAGCAATACGGTCGTTTAGCGTTTTAAGACAGTGTACACACCTTTTCACGCAAGTTGTCAAGCCCATACCTTCGGCGCTGTTAATCCCGACGTGGTAATACTTTTTTAAAATGTGGTTCCGAGTTCCAGCGTCGCACGAACGCAGTCCATGATTCATCAAGCAAGTTTTGAGTCACGGCTGGGTAGACGTGATGGATTTCCTGCGTCTTCCTTTTCACCTTCGCCACATGTCAGCCATGACATCTTTCCAACGTGATTTCTAGATACCACTGCAGTCATACAAGGTCCAGACTCACAAGGTATGTACGTATCTTCACGGTGGATTGAAGACTGACGAAGGGACCACAAGGTTTTCGAGCGGTGCCGAAGGTGTTTAGCGACTCGGTGAAGCAGTGCAAGTCGCACGGTGCGTGTCCGTTGGGCTTTAGTCCCTTCCACTCATGGTATTTGCTGTTTTGAGTGGGAATGGGTGATGTAACAGGGTCGTACCGTTACACGCCATATCAAGTACAATATGGCTATAATAACACTCCCATTATTATGCATAATGAGGTAGATAATATTGACCATATTACATAAAGTAGGAAAAGAAAAAGATACGAATATTGTATCTATTTGGTTTCATTATTTGCTTGGCTGAAAGTGAGGTTTAGCCTCATTTCACCTAATTCATAATTGACACCTATTTGGGTGGTTCACAAAAGGTTTAGATTTTTAATATCACCTTACTAATAATAACAGAGTTTTATTTAGTCCGTAGTATGCAAGTAAACTGCGTACTTCTTGCTCTTTCTCGTAAGACCTTTAGTGTAAGTTACGTAGCGGAACTCTCGCCCCTTACACCATGACAGACTTATAGCATACTTTGACTGTTTCTGCGAAGCTGTCGCGATCAACATTTCATCGACCTTATCTCGAGGAATTGTGCTCGCAGCCAGAAAAACCTATTATCTCGTATTCTTCGTTTCTACATCTGTTCACCTCAATTGCCCAATTTGAAGATAGCTCGGCCCATCTTTGTAGTCTTCCGTTGAGATCGTACAATTGCACTAGCCACAAAAATATTGAATACCGAGTAAATACCTAAGCACCTCATGACAAGGTATTGTCCCAAGAGGGTGGGGTGCATTCAGTAAATGAAGTGGCCTTTGACCTTGAGGTGCCTACACCTGTGGACGCTGATGCGTCGGATGCTGAGAGCATCATGAGCAGCGATGATGATATCGTGAGTGACGGTGATAGCGAACAGCTATATACACTCTTCAATGGTTTGACTGGGGATGTTGAAGAGCCGGTGGCTCTTTCAGCTATACCCGCAGTAAGTGCTATGTTAGAGCTGGACGATTTGTCGTTTGCCGAGTTTGTCAGTGCCTTACAAGCAGGCGACATTGCCGAAGTGGTCGTTACACGACCTGAGGAGGAGTTGAACTCCTCATCGCTTTTGGATAAAGCAGTTCTTAAAGATACCAAGAAGGCTCTGATTGCGCGTAGTGGATCGCAGATCCTGAAGGACCCTTCGGATCCTTTTTTTCCTTTACTGAAAGAATATGGAGATGTTGTCTCCAGAGAACCTCCTACGAGGTTACCTCCGGATAGAGGTGTACTTCATGAGATTGACTTGGTTCCAGGAGCCAAATACTGTGTGACGCGACAGTGGCCGCTGCCACGAGAACAGTGTGACGTCATTGACGAGTTCTTTCGTGCAAAGCACGCGGCTGGCATGGTGCGTGAGAGAGTAAGTCTCCTCACTCTACGCCCACATTTGGTGTAAGGAAGTCTAATGGAAAGTGGCGAATAGTGCATGCTAACGATAAGCTGAAAGCAGCCACTATACCGGCTTAAACACCGATTCCTCGCAAGGTTGTTCTTCAGAACAATATGGTGGGATGTACGATGTACAGTGCCCTCGATTTTAGTCGATGGATATTACCAAATGCTCATGCGAGCTAGTGATATCCAGTTGACAGCGATCAGAACTCCGAGCGGTATGCTCTAGGAAAGGTTAGCGATGTCTCAAGGGCTATCTAACGCGCCTGCAACGTTCAATCGTCTGGTGATGCAGTTGCTTCGGCTCCATAGGGCGTATGCACAGACATACTTTGACGATATTTTCGTCCATCGTCAAGCCGAAAATGGAACGACTGATGTGGAGAATCACATCGAGCACCTGCAAGCTGTGCTCGGGTGTATGAGGATGCATAAGTTACATGCCAATATTGGCAAATGCATCTTCGGTGCGGAAGAGATTCTCTTTTTGAAATGCTTTATTGAGAAGCAAGGAATTCGGGCAGACCCTGTCAAGGTCAAAGCCATAGTGGATTGGCCGGTTCCGAGGAACCAAAAGGACCTCCGCAAGTGGTTGGGTTTGGCAAATTCATTGCCCAAGTATAGCCACAACTATGCGGTGTGGCTAGGCCATTGTAGAATCTCCTTAGAAAGGGTGTGGAATGGCGTTGGAACACCGAGCACCACGAGACTTTTGAAGCCATTAAGGAGAGCCTCCTTCAGGTGCCAATTCTGGATCTGCCTGATCCTGATCGTCCGTTTGGCGTTGTATGTGACGCTTCGGACTATGCCATTGGTAGTGCACTTTTTCATGTTGACTCTGAGGGTCGAGAGCGCGTCATCACGTTTGAGACTAGCCAGTTGAAAGCTGCAGAGAAGAACTATCCAGGTCATGACAAGGAGCTACTTGCGATGAATTATGCCCTTGTTGAGTTCAGGGTAGTCCCTTGATTCAAGGTCGTGTCGATGTCAACCGCATACCGTCCCTAGATACTGTAGTCTAAACAGTGCGCAGGGACTGGTCTGATTCATTACGGAAGGTACTAGAATCTCTGGGTGACGGATAATGTTTCCTACCATGCTACCGCTTGCTTTAATAAAGGCGCACGTGTTCAAATGGAAGGCGTAATCGAGCGGGTCTACAAGAAGGAAAAGCGATCTTTTTTGCAATTGTAGTATATGGGTCGTCAAAGCCATCCAAGCTGCAATTCTAACGGTAAGATTTTGTCTGCGTCGTGAAAAGGGTCAAAAAACACGTAATACCAACTACAAATTGTCGGACAACGAGACATCACATGCATTGAAGACTGAAGATTTCATCAGCGCCGTCGAGTCATACCGCCACAATGCTAGCTTTGAAGGGCAAACTTTAACGATGTGAAGATTCACGGTACCAAGAGCTACCTCTTTGGCCAGGCTTTGCCATTATCACCAACTACTGCGCAGACAAGTACGGCAATCGTTTGAAAAATCGTGCGCTTCTTTGTTGGAGAAGGTTATAGAATTATCAAAACGGTTGTGTCAGCTCACCGTAGTGCTGTCCATCTTGCTCCAAACAACGCTTTTTCTAGCATTGGCAGCGAGGACAACTACGGGATGTTCGAGTACACGATGGAGCAAATCGGCACGTATAGTCTGGGATATCTCGCTACGTCGATAGATATGGCTTCGTCTACGAGGACAAGTGCCGCATTACTGCTGCTCTCGCTGCCAAGACGGCATTTTGAGGACATCGATAGGCTAACAAAATCTACACTCGTGACCGGACTGAGGGAACAATTTGCACTGAAACGGTGGCTTTCGTGGACTTTGGACGCCTGTACATCTCAAACCCTGACCTGGCCGAGCGCTGTTTAAATAACTGGCCGGTATCGCTGGAGGTCGGACGTAAAGTCTACTGTAACTCGTCGTTCGGTAGAAAAAGCAACAATGATTTTTCCTGTTGCCAGGCCGAGAATAAGCTTAGTAATTATTGAGACGACGCTAGGTTAATGGAATGTAACAAAATAGCAGTTAACGATGATCCCATGTAATTTTTTTAACTAGTAAGTTTAGTAACCTGTGTGACAAGAAACTCTTGCGTAGTACAAAAGTGCAAGTGCAACATAGTAAAGCTCAACTTTTGCGTACTATGCTCACGCTGCGACCTAAACTCGTAAGCAACTTGACTCCGAGTTTACAGGTCCGAGAAAATACCAGACTAGCTACCTTTTGCACCGTTGTGAGCGGCTCTAATTTTCTGCCGCTTTGTCAGTAATGGCCGCTGTTGTTGCTGCTGCGTTTCCATTGGGATAAGACTAAATTCAACGTTTGTAACGTTGCCCTTGTTATCCGTCACAGCAGAAGCTATTAGATTGACCTTGGCAACGGATGTTTTAACGACTGCACTCACTGACTGTTTAGTATCACGAACTTTCTTCATCGTACACTGGAACTTGACTTCGTCGGCACACAAATACGGTCGCAACGACTTTTTTTTCTTCAGCACAAGCTCCGATAGACCCGTAAATTTGACGAACGCACTGTTGAACACGATCGTCTTCATATCCATGTCTAGCACCACCCGGGGTGTGGTCGTCTTCTGAAACACGCCACTCGTAATCTTGTCCGTTACTGCTTGTTCCATATTGTCCTTCACAAATAACAAATCTGCTTGATTCTTTGCTTCCTCCGCTTTCTGCTGAGCAGCTAAAAGGTCATCACGCAGCATCTCAATGTAGTTTGACGTATTGTCCAGAATAGATTGTTTATTTTTCTTTGTCTGCACACCAGCGTCATCCAGCAGCGTCTTAAGCTGGTTAATGCGTTCATTTAGCTTCGACATGCGCTGTTTTTCCTTCCTGTTCAAGTCTTCACGTGATCGTTTGGCGGTGTTAGATGGAGTGCTGGAGGCGCTGCAATTACTGGCCATTGTGGGCCGGTAGTCGGACGATGACATGTGCAATAGTGGTGACGAATAATAAGGAGGAGCAGGTTCATACCTGGATGAGGTAGGTATCAATTGATTGTAAACGTTGGGCATTGGTTGTTGGTAGAGTCGGGGGCGGTCATTGCTCGGCTCTTGATGCTGATCGTAGCGCATGGAGATATTGGTAAGGACGAAACGATTGGAAATGACAGCTGGTGTTGGGTTGTCTTGATTAACCAAGACAAAAAGCAGCGTAGTGGCTGAAAAGATGAGTAAAAGAGACAAACGATTGGTTAATAACAGCAGTGTTTACTAATCATGCGGCTGACTTTGTTTTTTTAGTGCTTTGGCATCATCAAATTTGTTTTCGCTATTTTAATAGTAATCGAATAATAGTCTCAGGATGAAACATTTAATGGCGCAACACGTGCCAACAATGGTGTTTTGTACAGTGAGTAGACAAGTTCTTTACAAACACGTGTTACTTGCTCTATCAAAGCTTGCAGCTGCCACATTCGGATCCATTCAAAATCGCCAAATTGAAGTCAAACAACAAGGGAACTGTCCTCAACGCACGACATCAACTTATAGGCGTGGGTCGTCGATCTTTCTCATTAACAACGCTGAAGTCGGGTCTCTCGGATGGATTCAAGTCTCATTACGAAAGTGTGAAAAAAGCGTTAGTTTGAGGTAATTACCATCGAACTCACCTTGTGATGCATGCGCAGTTGCACAACCTGCAGCTAATGGCCAATTCCCACGGCACTTCTTCCATCGTGACAGCTTGAAACTATCAATGCATTGCAACCGAAGCCTCAGTCTTTTTCACAACTCTTTTATGGTTACAAATCGTCCGACTCTAAACCACACAAGCACTGGCCTCACAGATTCAAGCAAGGAAAGTGCACTTAAGGCATTGTCGGAAAGCCTTGCGGATCAAGCTAAGTAAACAATTTCTTTCGTTAGCGGCAAGCGTATCTCCAAAAAAACGCTTACGATATTCCTTTTTGTCATACTTCGCCACATTTTGCAAAGCCATTTCCACAGTCGCACCCGTAGGAGTCACACTCGCATGCACTTCTAGGTAACCATAGTTTGCACACTGAAAAGACTCTTCTCGTCACATGCAGCATCAAACTTCCCTTACGCGTATTACAATCTTTATATTCTGTGAATCGTCATGACGACAATCGTGACCACCCCACGCGCTGCAACATGCGCTCTCCAATCAAAGGCTTCAATATTAACGTTTGTAAAGTAGAAGTTTGAAATTGGATTGCAACACCGCTTTGTTATATACGATATACACGTATTCGTATCATTTCTTCGGCCACATCACCGAAAAAGCATGCTCCAAAGTACATGTACCTTAGTGTAGTCGAACGTATTTGCTTAAGCCGCATGCGCATCATGGCACTGCAACTATTTATAACGCAGAGAGTACTAACAATGTCGTCGTACTATCATTTCTATACGTGACGTGGTTCTGGTCCAACTATAGCAGATGGAGAGGCTAAAAAAATATGGTGTGCGAACGGCAAAAACAATATGGATCTCCGCATACTTGTTAGCATGCTGGTCATCATGGAGGTCGGTTGAGGCATACGGTCTGCTGGTCACATGGAGTTGAAGCCTGGTTTTTGACTGTACCTGGACGGCTTCGGTTGTGCTAGCTACCCACACTCCAAGCGTCAAACCATCTTAAGCTCATTTCCAAATCTTCTCACTTGAGGTAACATCCAACAGTCGTGTACATCCAAGGCTTCCAAGAACAAGCAAGTAAAACGATGTTTACCAGCAGCAAGTTCAGTTCCCTGTGCCTCGCCGTCGTGGCGCTTTCAAGTGGCGCGTACGCTGAGAAGGAGGCTACTCAGACGTTTGGATTGCTTGGTGGGGGTCTTCACGGCGGGGGTATGCTTGGTGGTTCTAGAATGTATGGAGCTGGTGTAGGCGTTGGGCTGTATGGAGGAGGTATCGGCGTCGGAGGTATCGGCGTCGGAGGTGGGCTGTACGGACGAGGCATTGGCGTGGGCGTCGGAGGCGGACTGTACGGACGTGGTGTCGGTGTTGACTCTGGACTGTACGGACGAGGCGTTGGCGTCGGAACTGGAGTGGGAGGTGTGAGCGTCAGTAATGGGAACAATGTCGCTGGAGTTGGTGCCAGTGTGGGGCGCACTTACAGTGTCGACGCAACTGCTGGTACGGGTGTAAGTGCTGCTGCCAGTGTAGGAGGTGCTTCCGGCGGAGTTGGTGCGAGCCCTCTGGAAACGGTGCAAATGGCCCTGTTAGTGCTGACGGAAAGGTTAGCGCCACCACTAATATTGGAGGAGCTCCTATGGGTACCGATAGAGCTACCACAACGACGAACGGTAACACAGTCACGTCGACGTCACAAAATGGTGGTGCCACAGTGAGCGCAAGCACAACGGTCACAGGTACAGGACCAGGGACTAACAATGCAGGAACTGGCACAACCACGAAAGGCAACACAATTACGTTAACGTCGCAGAATGGTGGTACCAACGCGATTGCAAGCACAACGACAACAGGCACGATCCCCGTAACTACTGGAACGGGTAAAACAACCACGAGCACCGTGACCGCTGGAAAGGGAACAACGAACACGGGCGCTAGTCCCTCAACCACAGGAGTGAGTCCCGCAACCGCTGGCAAGAGTCCCGCAACCGCTGGAACGGGCGCCCCAAGTACGAGCTCTGTAACTGGTACAACGACCCAGAAGGGATATCGCAAGCTGCGTTCTGAGTGAACATTAGTGACACGCTTGACACTTCTTTAAATGAGTTGTGTACTCAGGTTTCATGTCGATGAGTTAGCTACCATCTTGTTGTAAGAAATAAATGTGCTACATTTGTTTGCTGCCGTTATATGACTTCTTATTGCATCTTGGCTCATACGTCAAGAGCAAACTTCAAAACGAGACGCAACCCTTGACAACTGCCGCTGCTCGTATCTTCCGATTTACTTCAATCAATTTGATTTTGTATCTTCATAACCGTGTCACTTTCGAAAAGGCTGAACTTTTCGGTAACCATAGCTTGCACACTGAAAAGACTCTTCTCGTCACATGCAGCATCAAACTTCCCTTACGCGTATTACAATCTTTATATTCTGTGAATCGTCATGACGACAATCGTGACCACCCCGCACGCTGCAACATGCGCTCTCCAATCAAAGGCTTCAATATTAACGTTTGTAAAGTAGAAGTTTGAAATTGGATTGCAACACCGCTTTGTTATATACGATATACACGTATTCGTATCATTTCTTCGGCCACATCACCGAAAAAGCATGCTCCAAAGTACATGTACCTTAGTGTAGTCGAACGTATTTGCTTAAGCCGCATGCGCATCATGGCACTGCAACTATTTATAACGCAGAGAGTACTAACAATGTCGTCGTACTATCATTTCTATACGTGACGTGGTTCTGGTCCAACTATAGCAGATGGAGAGGCTAAAAAATATGGTGTGCGAACGGCAAAAACAATATGGATCTCCGCATACTTGTTAGCATGCTGGTCATCATGGAGGTCGGTTGAGGCATACGGTCTGCTGGTCACATGGAGTTGAAGCCTGGTTTTTGACTGTACCTGGACGGCTTCGGTTGTGCTAGCTACCCACACTCCAAGCGTCAAACCATCTTAAGCTCATTTCCAAATCTTCTCACTTGAGGTAACATCCAACAGTCGTGTACATCCAAGGCTTCCAAGAACAAGCAAGTAAAACGATGTTTACCAGCAGCAAGTTCAGTTCCCTGTGCCTCGCCGTCGTGGCGCTTTCAAGTGGCGCGTACGCTGAGAAGGAGGCTACTCAGACGTTCGGATTGCTTGGTGGGGGTCTTCACGGCGGGGGTATGCTTGGTGGTTCTAGAATGTATGGAGCTGGTGTAGGCGTTGGGCTGTATGGAGGAGGTATCGGCGTCGGAGGTATCGGCGTCGGAGGTGGGCTGTACGGACGAGGCATTGGCGTGGGCGTCGGAGGCGGACTGTACGGACGTGGTGTCGGTGTTGACTCTGGACTGTACGGACGAGGCGTTGGCGTCGGAACTGGAGTGGGAGGTGTGAGCGTCAGTAATGGGAACAATGTCGCTGGAGTTGGTGCCAGTGTGGGGCGCACTTACAGTGTCGACGCAACTGCTGGTACGGGTGTAAGTGCTGCTGCCAGTGTAGGAGGTGCTTCCGGCGGAGTTGGTGCGAGCCTCTGGAAACGGTGCAAATGGCCCTGTTAGTGCTGACGGAAAGGTTAGCGCCACCACTAATATCGGAGGAGCTCCTATGGGTACCGATAGAGCTACCACAACGACGAACGGTAACACAGTCACGTCGACGTCACAAAATGGTGGTGCCACAGTGAGCGCAAGCACAACGGTCACAGGTACAGGACCAGGGACTAACAATGCAGGAACTGGCACAACCACGAAAGGCAACACAATTACGTTAACGTCGCAGAATGGTGGTACCAACGCGATTGCAAGCACAACGACAACAGGCACGATCCCCGTAACTACTGGAACGGGTAAAACAACCACGAGCACCGTGACCGCTGGAAAGGGAACAACGAACACGGGCGCTAGTCCCTCAACCACAGGAGTGAGTCCCGCAACCGCTGGCAAGAGTCCCGCAACCGCTGGAACGGGCGCCCCAAGTACGAGCTCTGTAACTGGTACAACGACCCAGAAGGGATATCGCAAGCTGCGTTCTGAGTGAACATTAGTGACACGCTTGACACTTCTTTAAATGAGTTGTGTACTCAGGTTTCATGTCGATGAGTTAGCTACCATCTTGTTGTAAGAAATAAATGTGCTACATTTGTTTGCTGCCGTTATATGACTTCTTATTGCATCTTGGCTCATACGTCAAGAGCAAACTTCAAAACGAGACGCAACCCTTGACAACTGCCGCTGCTCGTATCTTCCGATTTACTTCAATCAATTTGATTTTGTATCTTCATAACCGTGTCACTTTCGAAAAGGCTGAACTTTTCGGTAACCATAGCTTGCACACTGAAAAGACTCTTCTCGTCACATGCAGCATCAAACTTCCCTTACGCGTATTACAATCTTTATATTCTGTGAATCGTCATGACGACAATCGTGACCACCCCGCACGCTGCAACATGCGCTCTCCAATCAAAGGCTTCAATATTAACGTTTGTAAAGTAGAAGTTTGAAATTGGATTGCAACACCGCTTTGTTATATACGATATACACGTATTCGTATCATTTCTTCGGCCACATCACCGAAAAAGCATGCTCCAAAGTACATGTACCTTAGTGTAGTCGAACGTATTTGCTTAAGCCGCATGCGCATCATGGCACTGCAACTATTTATAACGCAGAGAGTACTAACAATGTCGTCGTACTATCATTTCTATACGTGACGTGGTTCTGGTCCAACTATAGCAGATGGAGAGGCTAAAAAATATGGTGTGCGAACGGCAAAAACAATATGGATCTCCGCATACTTGTTAGCATGCTGGTCATCATGGAGGTCGGTTGAGGCATACGGTCTGCTGGTCACATGGAGTTGAAGCCTGGTTTTTGACTGTACCTGGACGGCTTCGGTTGTGCTAGCTACCCACACTCCAAGCGTCAAACCATCTTAAGCTCATTTCCAAATCTTCTCACTTGAGGTAACATCCAACAGTCGTGTACATCCAAGGCTTCCAAGAACAAGCAAGTAAAACGATGTTTACCAGCAGCAAGTTCAGTTCCCTGTGCCTCGCCGTCGTGGCGCTTTCAAGTGGCGCGTACGCTGAGAAGGAGGCTACTCAGACGTTCGGATTGCTTGGTGGGGGTCTTCACGGCGGGGGTATGCTTGGTGGTTCTAGAATGTATGGAGCTGGTGTAGGCGTTGGGCTGTATGGAGGAGGTATCGGCGTCGGAGGTATCGGCGTCGGAGGTGGGCTGTACGGACGAGGCATTGGCGTGGGCGTCGGAGGCGGACTGTACGGACGTGGTGTCGGTGTTGACTCTGGACTGTACGGACGAGGCGTTGGCGTCGGAACTGGAGTGGGAGGTGTGAGCGTCAGTAATGGGAACAATGTCGCTGGAGTTGGTGCCAATGTGGGGCGCACTTACAGTGTCGACGCAACTGCTGGTACGGGTGTAAGTGCTGCTGCCAGTGTAGGAGGTGCTTCCGGCGGAGTTGGTGCAGCCTCTGGAAACGGTGCAAATGGCCCTGTTAGTGCTGACGGAAAGGTTAGCGCCACCACTAATATCGGAGGAGCTCCTATGGGTACCGATAGAGCTACCACAACGACGAACGGTAACACAGTCACGTCGACGTCACAAAATGGTGGTGCCACAGTGAGCGCAAGCACAACGGTCACAGGTACAGGACCAGGGACTAACAATGCAGGAACTGGCACAACCACGAAAGGCAACACAATTACGTTAACGTCGCAGAATGGTGGTACCAACGCGATTGCAAGCACAACGACAACAGGCACGATCCCCGTAACTACTGGAACGGGTAAAACAACCACGAGCACCGTGACCGCTGGAAAGGGAACAACGAACACGGGCGCTAGTCCCTCAACCACAGGAGTGAGTCCCGCAACCGCTGGCAAGAGTCCCGCAACCGCTGGAACGGGCGCCCCAAGTACGAGCTCTGTAACTGGTACAACGACCCAGAAGGGATATCGCAAGCTGCGTTCTGAGTGAACATTAGTGACACGCTTGACACTTCTTTAAATGAGTTGTGTACTCAGGTTTCATGTCGATGAGTTAGCTACCATCTTGTTGTAAGAAATAAATGTGCTACATTTGTTTGCTGCCGTTATATGACTTCTTATTGCATCTTGGCTCATACGTCAAGAGCAAACTTCAAAACGAGACGCAACCCTTGACAACTGCCGCTGCTCGTATCTTCCGATTTACTTCAATCAATTTGATTTTGTATCTTCATAACCGTGTCACTTTCGAAAAGGCTGAACTTTTCGGTAACCATAGCTTGCACACTGAAAAGACTCTTCTCGTCACATGCAGCATCAAACTTCCCTTACGCGTATTACAATCTTTATATTCTGTGAATCGTCATGACGACAATCGTGACCACCCCGCACGCTGCAACATGCGCTCTCCAATCAAAGGCTTCAATATTAACGTTTGTAAAGTAGAAGTTTGAAATTGGATTGCAACACCGCTTTGTTATATACGATATACACGTATTCGTATCATTTCTTCGGCCACATCACCGAAAAAGCATGCTCCAAAGTACATGTACCTTAGTGTAGTCGAACGTATTTGCTTAAGCCGCATGCGCATCATGGCACTGCAACTATTTATAACGCAGAGAGTACTAACAATGTCGTCGTACTATCATTTCTATACGTGACGTGGTTCTGGTCCAACTATAGCAGATGGAGAGGCTAAAAAATATGGTGTGCGAACGGCAAAAACAATATGGATCTCCGCATACTTGTTAGCATGCTGGTCATCATGGAGGTCGGTTGAGGCATACGTCTGCTGGTCACTGTATCGTAGGCTAGGCATCTGTACTGCTGAACAATATCAAGGATTCAATCGTCCGCCGCTAAGTTTCAGCACGAGTTGTGTACGGTATAACGACTGTTATCGTTACTTTATGTATACTCTATCTAAGTCGCGGTTTACGTTACTCTTCGCAGACATTAACTAGCTTTCGCAAATTCTTTCGCCAAGTCTCTGAGTAGCAGCTTATTGAGAGCAATGGCGTGGGCTTGCACAGGATCGATGTACTAACGGATGACCAGTGTGCCTGTCATTGAATGTAATAGCTATATACGGCGACCATATCTTTTCGTTGAATCGTATTTGTGTACAGCCGATTGCACTATCTGGTACCAGACGACGTGGAGTTTTATGCGGCCTATTAGCGCCAGTTGAAGCAAATCTCTGCGTTTGAATTAGTCAGTGGTGCATCACAGTGGTATCATTCATTTACTTGATCTCCTAAATGTTTATCAATTTTTTTTGCATCCGACATGGATGGAAAGTAAGTTATTACTTTTAAAGGAGGTTGTGGTTACTACCAGATCTTCATGCTCTCCCTTTTGCACCACTTTCTATGATCATGCGATAATCATATCAAAATGATGTGTAACATCATTTGCTCCTCATCCTCGTAGCGTGAAAATTTTGACAAAATTAAATGTTTGGAAGGCATAACTAGAGCCACGTGCGCTCGCTTCATTTTGTCAATATGTCAGACATATTGTATTGTTTCAACAGGTCTTCTGAAAAGGGGCCTAGGGACCATTGTTTGTGCTTATGAAAGTCACTTAATGCAAAAACATTTTGTACGTTAGCCATTTCTTCTATCGAGCAGCGCTCATCCTAAAAAAGATAAGCCATAGTTTGGTCACACTCTTTAGAATGCACGGCAGGTGAGCTAAATGTAACCACATACTGACAGCCTTCTTTTATTGCGAAAAGAAATGCACGTGAGTTATCAATCGCAGGCTCGAATGCATGGGGAAATCATTCAGACAATCGTTTTGAAGCAAAGTAGGATAAATGTCATTTTGAAAGGGTTGACGAGACGTAGCTTCAAGTAAAGTTAAAAAGACGTTGCAAATAAAAAAAAGTAGCGCACGGCTCTCATAAGATAACGTCGCCGTATTCAGACAACGTCGCCGTATTCAGACACCGAGTCGTATTCAGTCACCAAGCCGAGACCCTGCCTTCCTACCTAAAATAGGTACAGTTCAACAAGTGCCACATTTGACGTCGATTTAAAGTTTCCTATGAAAAATCTCTATATTACTACCACTAAATTCTGAAAATTTGAAATTACTTAAGTACGTAGTAAAAATCGCTTAAGTACTCTTTTTAATTGTTCTCACACCACAAGAACTTTGGCACAATCATTTCGTACTTAAATTATTTTTTCGACAAACAAAACAACTCATTAATTCGTGCTCTTCAAACCAACCGTGGGCAGGTCTACTTCCAATTGCTGCTCATCATTTGCAATGCTGGTTATGGCCCAATGTGCCCCAAATCCAAGTTTTACAATTCCATCACTTGCTTCCTCTGTTTTGAAACCGGCACAATTGACTCTGCACGACGTGAAAACAAGCCTCAACAAAACCGACACTTCCGTTCCCGTTATTGGCGCACTTCCATTTAAGGCGCAGTGCAAATCAGCTGTTGCTTTAGTGAACGAGCGTCGCATAGACTTTGTTCGGGCAAAGAATGTCCGCACGATCGGTCGATTGTATGGCAGCGCAAATGAAAAGATGAAACATAAGAAGAAGGAACTGACCACTGCCAAGTCAGTGGAGAGGATGTTAGTCTGGCAACACTCGAAGAAAATCGGTCCAGGCTTTGCTAATCTTGGTAACACGTGCTACCTTAACTCGGTACTGCAATGTCTGACCCACACTCCTTGTTTTGCTCAGCTCTTATTAGACAGAGAAGTGTTTGCGTTGTCTAATGGCAATGCATTACCGTCCAGTAGTGGCCACACTAAATATAAATCCGGTAATGATTTTGGCAAAAACGGGTTTTGTGGCAAGTTGGATGCTAGTGGCTTTTGCAGTATTCGTGCAATGTCAAGACTGTTGCAATCCGTGCATGGTAACAACGCCGTGCGAGTCTTACAACCGAAAGAGTTTGTGATGAATATTCGTCATATATCAAAACGTTTTCGCATTGGACGACAAGAAGATTCGCACGAATTTTTCCGGTTGCTTTTGGATTCCATGCAACGTTCCTGTTTACGAAAGGCGCATATCAAGAGTGAAAATCATCTGGTTGCATCTACTACATTTGTGCATCGCATATTTGGTGGTAAACTAAAAAACTCGCTCAAATGCGCCAAGTGCGGGTATGTGTCGGAACGTTTTGACGACTTTTTGGACTTGTCGCTAGAAATCTCTAGTGGCGTGAATAGCGTCAAAGGCGCCTTGCGACAGTTTACCACCATTGAGAAGCTGGACGTCCACAATTCGTGGAAATGTTCTAGTTGTGGCAAATTCAGTTGTGCCGAAAAAGGTCTGACAATTGCCGAGTGTCCAAACGTTCTTGTGATTCAGTTAAAAAGGTTCGATCTTATGTTTGGCAAAATTAAACGGCATATTGAGTTTTCTTGCTCCCTTGACATTGCGTCAGGAATGAGTAAAATTTGCGAAGATCGTTGTCAAGGACGTACTAAATACGAGCTGCACGCAGTTTTGGTCCATGCCGGATTTTCTACGGATTGTGGACATTACTACGCCTTTGTGAAAGGATCATCCGGTCAATGGTATGAAATGAACGATGATTCTGTGCGGTGGGTGAGTATAGACACTGTATTAAAGCAGAAAGCTTACATGTTGTTCTACTCGCGAGTGTTACCCTTGTCTGAACGTTTAAAGCTGGAAGGAGATGAGGCACATTCTAAGGAAAATAATGAGACGAAACAAAGTCGAGTGGCGTCAAAAAGTATGACAAAGTCGGTGCTGGCGACAACAAAAGAGTTAGACATGAACGCAATTCTAACCAGTCTAAAGATGGTGGTTGCTAATCAGTTAGATGCTAAAACTGATGACAACTTTTCAGATCCGGCAAAGGTCGAGAAGGCAACTGTAACATTTAAAGTCACGACGAAGCTGATAGTGTCTTCATGGGCTCTTCTTGCCCACCACCGAACGAAAGGTTCAATACTGTCTAACTTTGGTGGTCACGTTGGTCGACTGTATCGGTATGGACTGGCATTGTGGAAATCTTGTCCGCGTTTGGTAATGAACCAATCTGTGGAGGAAGTGTTAGTGGATGCCATATCGGACGCAAATACAAAAAAAAGCTGTCACTTGCTCAAAAAATTTGATAGGTGCCATACGAGTGCCGTTTAACCCCTGGCATGTAAAGAAGGTAGGTGTACGCAACGCGGCGCTCTTTGGTCGAGAGGTGTACACGTGGGCTGACGAGACGGACGTCGAGTATTCCAAGACGACGAGCAGTAGTGACACTACATTACATGAAACGATTGACAGAGAGTTGACTGCAAAGCGTGACCGGGTGCTGAATACTCTGAAACAAGAGGAATGGATACGCCGCAACACCGGTCGCCAGGGTTGCTGGGATGAAAACCTTGACAAAGGCAAGGTCAAGAAGGTTAAGAAGCGCAAGGAGTTTGTCGCTAACGAAGGTCGTAAGAACATCTTTCAGACGACTTTTACGGGCAAGAGAAAAGATGTCAAGCGGCAGCGCACGACGGCGACCCCGCAGTTGTAGCAACTGACAGTTACAACAAAAACCAAGACGGATAATACACAATTCAAAGATCTTATTGATATATTTTTAGTCCTCTGTCACAACATGTCGAGTCAATTTTGAGCAACGACCGGCTTGTCTAACTGAAAAGCGTTAGCAGACCTGATAATGTTGCAGCCTGTTGGTTAAAGCTGAGATGTTGCTATAGACTGACAGGGAATACCATTTGTTGATGACACCTCTGTTATATTTGCTGAAGAGCACCTCAGATTTGATGAAGACCTTGGAGGTTCAAAACACGCGATGAGATGATGGTTCATCGGAACAGATGCAGGACACCGATCACCTACGAACCACAGAAACAGCGATGACCAAATTGTACACAAATATTGCTTTTTCTAGACTTGATTTCATCATTTTTGATCATATAAATTACCGAGGAGACCAACAACAACAGCAACAATATTATTTGACAAGTTTTAGGATCATCTGAGTTGAAGACTTCTACATCGGTTACACGAAAGTGTGTATTTTACAAACAGACCTGCCACACCAATGTGGTGTGGCTGTACCTTGGGTACAAAAGTAGGTGATGTGACCGTTCCTGAAGTACGAAGGGTCGCATCGTGACAGAGGCCACGTAGTCACTATACTTATTTAAAAAAGGATAGTGACTATGCATGTTTGCATAATAATAAAAGGCTATAGAGCCAGTAAATAGTGACTAGCACTAAGTATAGAGTAGGTGCTTCTATATTTAGTGTTAGAAGATAAACATAAATATAAACCAGTTTCAAACCTGCTCTATAAGCATCACTGCTTGAGCTTTCTATTCCTCCTGAGAAATCAGTATCTTTGATACTAGTCTCTTTGAGACTCGGTTGTTAATGCCGATGACCACAAGCTTACGAGCTAGCCTAGGAGGGTTAAACACCCTAAGACGTAGAAGCTCTCTGAGTTTGTCTTTCTCTGCACATAGTGCATACGTAGCTTTGCTACAGTAGTTTGACTACTACTTCTGCACATAGTGCACAAGTAGCGTAGCTACAGTAGCTCGGCTACATAAGCTTGCGAGTTAGCCTAGAAAGGGTTGAGAACCGTAAGACATATAAGCTTTTTGGAGCTTGTCTTCCTCTGCACATAGTGCATACGTAGCTTTGCTACAGTAGTTTGACTACTACTTCTGCACATAGTGCACAAGTAGCGTAGCTACAGTAGCTTGGCTACAACTGGTAGCACTTGTAGTCAATTCCGCACCTGGGTTTGCGACTACTTCTCTGTGTGAGAATGGATATCAATGAGATGTCAGTGGTTGGCCTGTCTCAGGCACAACAGGAAGGGTTGCAGAAGCTGCTCCCTACCTTGACACTAAGGGCGTGTAATAACGAATCGCCCAAGGTAAAGATGAGATTTACAAGCGTCATATGCTTGATGAATATAATAAAGCTCTAGTCGAGCATGTAAAGGCACAGATGCCTTCTTCTGCGCCTTCGCCCATGGCGACTATGGCGCAAGAAGTGGTCCGCAGACCAAAACCCATACAAATGGAAGTCGATAAGTTCGACGGCAAAGAAGGTGACAACCTTATGCTTTGGTTCCGACAGGTCGAGTCGGCTATGTTTACAGCCGACATCACCTATGAACCGTACCGTGTGGGCTTTGCCACGGGTAAGCTCGGAAGATTAGCCAAACAGTGGGCATTCACATGCGGTGCATCATTGCAAGATGCTTTTCCCACATGGGCCGATCTGATAGTTCAGATGACCCGGTATGCACCGCCAAACCAAGCACACCGTAACCGGTCGCGGTTTTTGGCGTGTCGCCAAGACAAGCGTGAGTTTGCAGAGTTGAGAACTCTCATTGCTGCCATGGTCAAAGACCCTATGCATGAGGCAGTGACCGTCACGGTCTTTATGGAGGGCCTCCGAGTTGGCGTTGCCAGAACGGAAGTCTTCCGGGTAAGCCCGTCCTCATTCGAAGAAGCTGTTGGAGTGGCATGGAATGCCAAGACCAACTTTAAGGCCGCTAGGCCTGCCACTTATAACTACTCGTCTGATGGCGCTGTACACATGGACTGTAGTCAAGTGGAGGATGAAGAAGCTGAGCTTCAAGCTGCGGAAAAGCGCATTGTACGCAGATGCTATATTCGTAAGAGCACAGGTCATTTGGTGGCAAAATGCCCTGCAAGAAAGGCATCTTTGGCCTTGAAGGGCTGCGCACCATGGGTAAACCTTCTGGCTTGCCGCGGAGAAACGGCGGAGCCCAGTAGGCGCGGGTCGCCCTGCTGGGGAAGAACTGAGTTCTGTTGAGCCTCTAGGAAGTAGAAGTAAACAGGGCCCAGCCCCAAAGAGATCCGAACTCTCAAAAACGGAACGAGAATGCAAGCCAGGCTTGCTAGTGGTGGAAGGGACAATTATGGGCTATGATAAACCATGGATCATTTTGATCGATTCGGGGGCATCGGGCAATTATGTGCGCCGTGCCACCGTGGAAGATAGTCAGCAGTATGCTGAAGCGCTTGTAGCGCTTAAATGTGACACTGTCACAGTTCGCTTAGCGACGTGTACGCGTGTTACAATACCCAAAGTCCCGATGGACTTAAATGTAAAGTTCTTGGACTTTAACATCATGGAACGCTGTTTGGTCTTAGACCTGGGGGGGGATGCGAGGTATGACCTCATCCTAGGCATGGCATGGCTAGAACGTCATGAGCCATGGATTGATTGGAGGTCGAAGACCTTAGGCACAACGCGCAATGCTCCTGGTGGGGCTCTGGAGAGTCATGAACCCACCCGTGCTCGGAAGCAAAAGCGCTTTTGGCGCGGATATTGGACCGAGTCGGTCAATATGTTGGATGTCGGAATATCCGACTTTGTAGACGCCGTAAGTGTCGAGGACAATAGTCCTGGGCGAGGCCCAAGGACTGTCGATAGTGTGGTGGAGAACCCACTAGATGACACACATGACATGCGTCATGAGAATGGTGTTTCATCATTAAACACCGTGAGTGGTGTTGGTAGCTAGAAGCCAAGATGTCAGGTCAATAGTCCAAGTGATATGAATGACGAGGTACTGACCCTAGAGGGTCGGGTGAGGGCCCCAATGGATGTTGACTTTGAGTAAAAAAAAGAAGCTGCAAAAACGTTGTGACAATGAAATAGCTCGAGAGGGTTGAGTAAAGTTACCAATAGATATTCTACTGGTGACAACGAGGGGCATACACCTAACGACGAGGTACTGGCCCAAGAAGGTAGGTGAAGTCATAATGACGGGTGTCTCCGAGACAACGAGGTGCAAGCACCTCATGACGAGACATTGACCCAAGAGGGTGGGGTGCAGTCAGTAAACGAAGAGGTCTTCGACCTTGAGGTGTGTACACCTGTAGACGCTGATGCATCGGATGCTGAAAGCATCATGAGCAGCGATGGTGATTTTGAGTGACGGTGATAGCAAACAGCCATATAGACTCGTCAATGGTTTGACTGGGGATGTTGAAGAGCCGGTGGCTCTTTCAGCTCTACCCGCAGTAATTGCTCTGTTAGAGCTGGACGAGTTGTCCTTTACCGAGTTTGACATTGCCTTACAGGCAGGCAACATCGCCGAAGTAGCCGTTACACGACCTGAGGAGGAGTTGAAATCCTCATCGCTTTTGGATAAAGCAGTTCTTGAAGATACCAAGAAGGCGCTGATTGCGCGCAGTGGATCGCAGATCCTGAAGGAACCTTCGGATCCTTTTTTTCCTTTACTGAAGGAATATGGAGATGTTGTCTCCAGAGAACCTCCTAAGAGGTTACCTCCGGATAAAGGTATACGTCATGAGATTGACTTGGTTCCAGGAGCCAAATACCGTGTGACGCGACAGTGGCCGCTTCCACAAGAACAGTGTGACGTCATTGACGAGTTCTTTCGCGCAAAGCACGCGATTGGCATGGTGCGTGAGAGTAAGTCTCCTCACTCTACGCCCACGTTTTGTGTGAGGAAACCTAACGGGAAGTGGCGAATAGTGCATGCTTAGAATAAGCTGAATGCAGCCACTATACCGGCTTAAACACCGATTTCTCGCAAGGATGTTCTTCATAATAATATGGTGGAATGTACGAGGTACAGTGCCCTCGACTTAGTCGATGGATATTACCAACTGCTCATGCGAGCTAGTGACATTCCGCTGACAGCGGTCAGTACTCCGAGAGGTATGCTCTGGGAGTGGCTAGTGATGCCCCAACGGCTGTATAACGCACCTGCAATGTTTAATCGTCTAGTAACGCAGTTGTTTCGGCCCCAAAGGGCGTATGCACAGACATACTTTGACGATATATTCGTTCATAGTCGAGCCGAAAATGGAAAGAATGTTGTGGAGAATCACATCGAGAACCTGCGAGATTTGCTCGGTTGCATGAATATGCATCAGTTGTATGCCAATATTGACAAATGCATCGTCGGTGCGGAAGAGATTTTCTTTTTTGGGATGCTTCATTGGGAAGCGAGGAATCCGGGCAGACCCTGTTAAGGTCAAAGCCATAGTGGATTGGCCGGTTCCGAGAAACCAAAAGGACCTCCGCAAGTGGTTGAGATTGGCAAATTCATTGCACAAGTATAGCATTGACTATGCGGAAGCGGATAGGTCATTGTCCAATCTCCTTAAAAAGGATTTGGAACGGTGTTGGAGCACCGAGAACCACGAGGCTTTTGAAGCCATTAAGAAGAGTATCCTTCAGGCGCCGATTCTGAATCTGCCTGATTCTGATCGTCCGTTTGGCGTTGTATGTGACGCTTCGGACTTTGCCATTGGTATTGCACTTTTGCAAGTCGAATCTGAGGGTCGAGAACGCGTCATCGCGTTTGAGTCTCGCCAGCTGAAAGCTGCAGAGAAGAACTATCCAGTTTATTACAAGGAGCTACTTGCGATGAAGTATGCTGCTGCTAAGTTCAGGGTACATTGGTTGGGCTCCAAGCCGTTTGTGATCTATACCGATTATTCTTCATTACGCACATCGACATAGTCGCCTCATCTCTCGCAGAGA